TCTCTGAGTTAACCTTGGTACTTTATTCGTATACACAGACAGCTCAGACGACACGTGCTGTCTCTACCTTTCGTTAACTGCCTCACAAGTACACATCATATACACAACACAGTAAACACAATGAACACTCAAGGAACGTGAGCATGATATACACAATACGGGAGACGTAACAATCACTAACGTAATAGGTTTAGGTTATGGGGTTAAGGATAGCGCTGACATTAACAAGACATATTTGTATTTAGTTAGCTACCAATAATCTATCACAACAGAGGATTATACAAAACTGCCTGCTTTTCACCCACCCCCCCCCCCCCCCCCCCCCGCCCCTTACACAATATTTTATTTATATTTGTGGTTTAGACAATCAATTTATATTCAAACTCTAAATTTGACTTTGTATTCAATTGTGTGTATAAAAATCAATATATGTATAGTACAAAAATCTATACATGTATACAACAATCATGATTGAACTGTAACTGTCGTCTCCAGCCCAATGACCGACCTGTTCACGAACTTCTACGCCGCCTACCAGCCCATGACCTTGAACTACACGCAGGCCCGGGCCGCCTGTGAGTGCCTGGACAGTCACCTGTTTGTGGCCAAAACCTTCACCAAGTTCACCGTCTTCCAGTCCCTGGCTACTCTGAGCAGAACCTGGATAGGCCTGGATGATATCGCCACGGACGGGACCTTCACCTGGGTGGATGATGGTCAGAGCCTAGACTCTGGTTTGAGGCTGCTGATCTTCAACATTTTCCAGCCGTCCATTTCAAACAACAAGGACGATTGTGCCTATAGTAGCCTTCTGCTGCTTGACGTAACATCTTGCTCGAGCTCGGCGGCGTTCGTGTGCGAGAAGGCGACGTGTTGATGTAGACTACCCAGATGTTAACTGTGCTAATGTTAGCTTTGTCCTGATTAAGGTTTATGTTGCACGGTTTAGCTTTAACTGTGCGCAACTGAATGTTAACTTTGCCCTGTTTAAGTTTTATGTTGCATGGTTTAGAGTTAACTTTACACATTCAGATGTTTACACAGGTTTAACTTTTACTGTTCACTGCCGAATGTTAACTGTGCTGATAGCTGAAGATTAAATGTGTCATTTCAGCAGTTTTTATGCCGTGTTTAAGGTCCGTGTTTTTATAGTAAGTGTTTAATTAATCAATATTATAAAATATTCTTATTTATAGTCTTTTTTTTTTGTCTGCGTTTTTCTAGTCCATGTTTTTCTAGTCCATGTTTTCATAGTCCATGGTTTTATAGTCCATGTTTTTAGTCCCTGTTTTTGTAGTCCATGTTTTTATAGTCCATGTTTTTATAGTCCATGTTTTTATAGTCCATGTTTTTATAGTCCATGTTTTTAGGTCCATGTTTTTAGGTCCATGTTTTTTAGTCCATGTTTTCATAGTCCATGTTTTTATAGTCAGTGTTTTTACAGTCCATAATACATTATTATTATTGTAAAAATTAATAATCAATATTTATTTTTTGTAAAAATTGTATCTATAGTTAAAATCTTTTTAGTGCGTAAAAGCCAACAACTTGAATTGATTTTTATTTAATTCACGATTTATACACAGGAAGCTGAGCAATGATTATAAAATAAATCAAGTTAACATGGGAGATAACATAATTATTAATGGTGTTATATTTACGTCCCCTTTCGGCTAGCGATTTTACTGTATTGAAATTGCAGTTCATTGAATATGAAAAGACAATGTGTAGGCGTAATAACCATAATAGTTTAAAGACGAACTTTTACAGTTGTATATTTATTTATTTTTTATTTTTGAAAATTCTTGTGTTTTTTTTTTTATTTTTATTTTTTTTTATTATGTACAGCTGTAACACACTTCGGTTTCACAAGATGATTGAAAATCAAATGTAAAAGAGTATCAATGTTGATCATATGATTATCTCCCGTTCGTGTCCAAGACACATAGGGCAGACGAAGTAGAGTTCATCTGCTTCAGAGAATCGGCCCAGCCGCCTTGGTTTCCCTAACGTAAGTAATGTACCAATCAGAATTGGGTGGCCTCAGGGAAGTTCCACTGATTTTGAACCCGGATTCGAACTCGAGACTCTCGGGTTAGCAGTCTTGCTCTCTACCACTAGACCAGGGGTAGGCAACCTGCGGCTCGCGAGCCGCATTCGGCTCTTTTGATGACAAGATGCTGCTCTCGAGTTCCATGCACAAATATTAATAATTACAATATTTCATTTTCAAAACTCATTCAAAATGTTATTCTGTAAAAAAACAACTTTAACGGAGGAGAACAGAGGCATTAGGTGGGTTAGAAAGTATACGGACAGCTGACAGCCGCTTGAGTAAGAGATCCAGTCCCACGGCCGTGTAGTGGCCAGCCCGTGGTAACAATACAATGCTTGCCACTGCCCAAGTGCCGACTTTTTCGAACATCGTTAAATGGTGAATGTTATTTTATTCAGAATGCATTCCCCTACCTGTCAGTATGCATTAATTTGACCTGAGTGATGAAGTATTTTAGTTAATAGGTTGAGCCAGGTACTGGACTGTGGGGTACGAGTAGGGTGGAAGATAAGCCCTGTGAGAACCGAAGGACAGAAGCGACCGATACAGTAATCAAACCGATATCCAAACCAGTAAGTCGAAGTTGGCCGTGTTGAGCCACCTCCTGGGCCAGTGGTGTCCGTAAAGAGAAAGGCTTCTAATGTGTATTGGGATAGTTATATAATATTATTTGATTACTAATTTTATCATCTGCGAAAAATGTGTTTGTTTTTATATGAATCAATATCAGTTCATATTTATCGCTATTTATTTCAAATCATATATCAATTTTATTTACCTAATCCTTATAAAATATCAAAATATTGAAAATAATGTTAATGGCTCTTTAAAAACTGGGAAATTTTGTAAATTGTTACTTTGGGCTCTTCAGTCTCAAAAAGTTGCCGACCCCTGCGCTAGACCACGCCGTCCCTTTCAATTGTTACTTCAAGAACTAGTGTGTACAGAATTTTATAGAATAAGTTATAGCCTGACAAATTAAGAAATTGAAGCCGTAATTAAAAACATAGTCGAATAACAACACAAAATCAGACTTATATTATATTGTGTGTTAAAGCAATTATTTATTAAAATTGTCTGTGTCACAGAATAAATCCAAACAAAAATCTAGTAAACCAGCATATCTAACAGAAATGGAGCAAGTATTTCTCTAATATTTTTTTAATATTGAACAACAAAAGATTTTTTTACAAGAAGGAAACAAAAAACCATTAAGTGAAACGAAAAACTCTGTGGTTATTTCCCCTGGTTCATCATCGGTTATTGTCCTTTACCAGGAGCTTAAAATAGCACAATACAATCATAGCAACGATGTTGACGCAGCTATGAAAGGAGCAGACATAGCAAAGGTTATTATAAACCATTATTAAGTCTACCCTTCTCTCTAGTTCTTACTGTCTTTCTTTAGATAATTCAAATGCGTTTTATCTCAAGAGAACTCCCGAGAAACAGGCAGCCGTTAAAGTTGTTTCATTAAGCCTGCACGGAAAGTGTTAAGAGTTATCTGGCTAACAAATAATAACCAACCTGTGAGGGTGGGGATTTTACGAGGCGTAATGAATGAATCCAATAACACACAGTTCAAGTTCAACTATAATTGTTCTTAATTAAAATGATATATATGTTCAAGTTTCTACCTAACTGATCTACACTGTACTATTTACTTCTACTACTGACTGTTCATACCACATGCTACCTACTACTACGCACTCCCATGACCAATCCTAACACTAACTGTTCTCTACATTCTACAACCTAACACCTTCTACCTTCGCTAGCTAATCATGATCTCCTAACTATCTACATCCTCGGCCGTCTCTCTACTGACCCACGCCTCAGTGGTCAGCTGACCGTCCCACGTGACCGGTCAGTCCTGTGCGCCCATTGGCCTCTCTAACCAACCAACTAGGCCTATAGTCTGTTTCTGCTAACCTATATCTGCTAAACATGTCTGACGTAATCTTGCGTCATCACACAACCCCATTCACTATTCGAGAGGCCTGTTAAATATTTTTAAAATCATGTACAATGTTATTAAAATAAATATAGTTCTAAAAATCTGTTTGGTTTTTGTCGGACTTGACCATAGAATGGATGTATGTTATTGGAATTTTCGACAATTAACTACGATTTTAAAAAAGCTAAAAATAATTTGGTTGTTTTCATTTTGTTACTGAAAATATACAAAATGATGACATAACAAGGCCATGTTGTTAAACATTGTAGTGAAAAATTTTCTCGGCGAAGTTTTCAGTTCAAATTACTTGAAACCGGGGTTTTCAGAATATCGCTCACAGAGTTTCTATACATCCAATCAATGCTTGTTTTACGAAAGTAAAACTTAGGGTTATAATTTAGGATTGATGAAAATAAGTAGATTCTAGAAATGTAGCCTTAAAGACAAAATTATTTTCTAGCTCTAAACATTTGCAACTTTTATATCACCTAAAGGCAAAATTGACAAAAAACGCGATTTTAAAAAATGTCTTCAATAATGCTGGATTGATTTTCGTCAACTTGCCGATGTCCATTAGTGGATATTTGTCCAGAAAGTTAATGTTGGGGGGGGGGGGGGGGGAGGGGGGGGGTGTTATGTCTACAGGGAAAATGTCCAGGGGCTATAGTCCGGCTGCTTCATTTCATCAACACTCAACATTAAACACTGCAGGCATTTGTACCACTAAGATAGGGATATACATTTGGTGGTATGTGAATGATACACGCTATTACCCCTAACCCCAGCATATCTACCCAAGACGATTATATTAATAAAATATATAACCTGATACTAAAAAGTCGTACACTGTTCGCAATCTCTAAATAAAAAAATAAAAAATTACGTAAAAAAACACATTAAATTTTAAAAGAGTTGTGTCCCATTAAGATAAAGCTCAGCTGCCCCTCAACACACCTCAAGCGATGTGTGTAACACAGCACAACATCAAGCTGTGTTCAAATTGAGTGTCGTTTAATCCAGTGCGCATGTTTTCCGCGCAGAACCTGATCTCGCAATTGACACCTCAAGTCGAAGTGAGCTCAAGGGTAAATTTTTGCTTGTTTCCCTAGTGCTGACAATGGTAAGTTTTTGCTCGTTTTTGAAAGGTTTATCAAGATTTTTGCTAGTTTCAGAGGAGTTTATAAAGATTTTTGTTAGTTTCATGGGAGTATTTAAAAGATACAGCACGGTTTATGAGTGTTGAAAATATTGGCGAATTTGAACCTAATTTGAAGCTATTGATTTTGCTAGCCATTGATTACTTTTTACGATCGATTAAGCTACTGTAAACAAAGTTTACATTCTAAACACAATCTTTTCAAGCGACTCAGCTTGTCAATGTTTCTAAAGTCTTTTGTGTGCATGCTAGAAAAATGTCTTAAAGAGTATAATTCAGTGTAGACAGTGCTAACTTTCTAAAAATAATGTGTGTGCTACTAGACGAAACACGTTTCAAAGAGTCCATTGTACTTTGACGTTGTATACAGAGTTTCTTCCAGGCATCTCTTCGGGGAGGGGGGGGGGGGGGCTAAGCACCGCCGAAATTTTTTTACCGCCCCCCCCCCCCCGAACGAAATGAAATTTATATAATTTATATCGAAAATATATACGTTTAAGTGTCCGCCCCCCCCCCTCCGAAGAAAGTCTACCGCCCACCCCCCCCCCCCCGAAAATTTCAAATGCCCTCCCCCCCCCCCCCGGAGAAAAAGTCTGGAAGAAACACTGTGTATAACACTGGTGTGAATAATACTCAGCCGTACTGGGTTTTCAGTTAACTACGTCATTCCTATTTTGGAGTGTGGTTGTCTACAAAAATGGGTGTGTAAGGTTGATGGTATTGTTAGTGTTGAAGTCAGAAATTAAGGATGGCGCTATGGTAAGACTCGTGTTACGGATAGGGTTTGTTAGCTTGGGCTGTTGGAGGGTGAATTTTTATACCGGTGTCTGATAATGGAATGTTCTTTAAAAAGGGGTGTTAGGTTACTGGATACTAACTAAATACACACATGGCTGGCTAATGTCCCTAACCCCAACCCTAGTCCTAACATACCCCAGCCCGCTTTTTCAAGATTCACTGTTACATTATCGAATACTGTTATAACATATCACTCTTTAGGTTTGCCATTATCTATGTACATTTATCAGCCCAGTATGATTTATTAGAGTTAGTCTTACACCCCTTGTTAAAGATTCTATTCTTATGACATTATCGCACACTGGTACAACAATCAATGTTTACAACGGATATCACGACCTGTTCTATAAATAACTCATGTTGATTTCAGCGTGAGTGCATCTCTGTGCATGTTGGGCAGGCGGGAGTCCAGATGGGCAACGCCTGCTGGGAGCTCTACTGTCTGGAACACGGCATCCAGCCGGATGGTCAGATGCCGTCTGGGAAGAACCACGGCGGAAGTGACGACTCGTTCAACACTTTTTTCAGCGAGACCGGCGCGGGGAAACACGTCCCGAGGGCGGCGTTTGTGGACCTGGAGCCTACGGTTGTGGGTAGGTTTAGGGAGGTTGGGGCGTGGGTGAGGTTGAGGTGTGGGGTTGGTAACTGGGGAGGTTGGTTTGTGGGTAGGTTAGTTTGTGGGTAGGTTGGTTTGTGGGTAGGTTGGTTTGTGGGTAGGTTGGTTTGTGGGTAGGTTGGTTTGTGGGTAGGTTGGTTTGTGGGTAGGTTGGTTTGTGGGTAGGTTGGTTTGTGGGTAGGTTGGTTTGTGGGTAGGTTGGTTTGTGGGTAGGTTGGTTTGTGGGTAGGTTGGTTTGTGGGTAGGTTGGTTTGTGGGTAGGTTGGTTTGTGGGTAGGTTGGTTTGTGGGTAGGTTGGTTTGTGGGTAGGTTGATCATTTTTTTTTTGGTGGGTTTGTTGGTAAAAATATATCCGATAATTCCAAACCTAACGACACATGTTACCCAATTTGCTCCACCATGACGACACTAGACGAGGTTCGAACTGGGACCTACAGACAGCTATTCCACCCCGAGCAGCTGATTACAGGCAAGGAGGATGCCGCTAACAACTACGCCAGGGGTCACTACACGGTCGGCAAGGAGCTCATTGATTTGGTGCTGGACCGTATCAGGAAGTTGTCTGACCAGTGTACGGGATTACAGGGGTTCCTCATCTTTCACAGGTAGGTGCGGGTCTTTTACAGGTAGGTGCGGGTCTTTTACAGGTAGGTGCGGGTCTTTTACAGGTAGGTGCGGGTCTTTTACAGGTAGGTGCGGGTCTTTTACAGATAGATGCGGGTCTTTTACAGATAGATGCGGGTCTTTTACAGATAGATGCGGGTCTTTTACAGATAGATGCGGGTCTTTTACAGGTAGGGGCGGGTCTTTTACAGGTAGGGGCGGGTCTTTTACAGGTAGGGGCGGGTCTTTTACAGGTAGAGGCGGGTCTTTTACAGGTAGGGGCGGGTCTTTTACAGGTAGGGGCGGGTCTTTTACAGGTAGGGGCGGGTCTTTTACAGGTAGGGGCGGGTCTTTCACATGTAGGTGTGGGTCTTTTACAGGTAGGTGCTGGGTGGGCCATCTATCACATGTAGGTGACAATAAACACCATGATCTCGTCATAATCATTGACTGCAAGGTACAATATGTACTGGGTAACTAAGGACTAGGGGACATGTGAATACATCAATACATTTTCAGGTTTATCTAGAAGTATTCATTCGAACCAGTCAATAAGTAACGCTTTTACCTTAACTGATGTTCATTGTTGAAACCTGCCTTTGATTGTACTCAAGTTCTGTTCCACCTTTCTCTCCCCCCCCCCCCTCTAGTTTTGGTGGTGGCACTGGCTCTGGCTTCACATCCCTGCTAATGGAACGTCTCTCTGTGGACTACGGTAAAAAATCCAAGCTCGAGTTCTCGATTTACCCAGCACCACAGGTAATACCTTTTTTCCCCCAGTTCTCGTCTGCCATGTTCGTTTTTCAATGTTCGTTTTTCAATGTTCGTTTTTCAATGTTCGTTTTTCAATGTTCGTTTTTCAATGCTCGTTTTTTAATGCTCGTTTTTCAATGCTCGTTTTTCAATGCTCGTTTTTCAATGCTCGTTTTTCAATGCTCGTTTTTCAATGTTCGTTTTTCAATGTTCGTTTTTCAATGTTCGTTTTTCAATAATCGTCTGCAATGTTCGTCTGCAATGTTCGCATTTGTTATTTAACATGTCCAGTCCTCGACCCCTATAAGTGTGTACGAATCTAACCTCAGGACTTGCAACTTGCATAACCTGTACTTTCCTTGACCACGACAGGCGTCAACATCTGTGGTCAAGTCATATAAATCTCACCTCACGACTTGTATGACGTGTACTCTCCTTGACCTTGCAGGTGTCGACTGCTGTGGTCGAGCCGTACAACTCCATCCTCACCACCCACACCACCCTCGAGCACTCCGACTGCGCCTTTATGGTGGACAACGAGGCCATCTACGACATCTGTCGCAGGAATCTGGACATCGAACGTCCATCCTACACCAACCTCAATCGTCTGATTGGTCAAATCGTTTCCTCCGTCACCGCCTCCCTGAGGTATGAGGGTTACAGCGGTAACTTTAAATCACACTATTTTAAATTGGGAGGTATTAGAGTTACAGCGGTGACATTAAATCGCAATATTTTAAATTGTCTTTAAAGTTGTCTTTAAAATGTTTTCTATTTTCAAAAACCTTCAATCTTTAAAATGTTAAGTTCACTGGTGCTTTAAAAGTGTTTAAACTTTTGTTTAGGTTTGATGGGGCGTTAAACGTCGACTTGACAGAGTTTCAAACCAACCTAGTGCCCTACCCACGAATACATTTTCCCCTGGCCACGTACGCTCCCGTCATCTCCGCTGAAAAGGTTAGTCAGCTCATCACCAAGTCCAAAAGCTAGCAAATCAGTTAAAATAACAAAGTCCAATACAAGTCTATTTCCGTAAAATGGCTGTACACTTAGGCGTCCGGGTATTGGGTCGGTTTAGCCGCATCTCCATTAAATTGTATCTAGGCATACCTTTCTGTACGCTTGAGTAAAATAAATCATTTCTGGAACGACTCTTGGAAAATAAGCACAGAACACCTCCTGGCGTCTTGGTTTCTCCATTTCTCCAAAGCTCTTCTTCCTTCTTAATTTTTAGTGTATGAGGGAATCCTGCCTTATCTGCCAGAGGGTTTGAACTCGAGACTTTTTTCGAATTTATCAACTATGTGCTTTGCCGACTCGACCAAGCCTCCATCACAATTAAGCGTTACGTGTCAACTGGTTATGCGCTATTGAGGCCATTGACTACGATTTCAGCCTGCTTTTCTTTGTGGCTTTGCTTCCATAGCCTTTGTCCAACCAAGAACAAGGCAGCAGTTGTTTGATTTTGGAGTTGTCTCTCCTAGAAGAGTGGCTGTTCCCATCTAGCGAGCCTCATCAGCCCGAGGTCTCGAACTCGAGACGTTTCGGTTTAGCAACCATGAGCTTTACCTGTTCGACCACGCCGTCCCTCCAAAGCTTAATTAATGTGATCTGTCATGAAAAAATAGATTGTGTATTATTTCTATCTTTACACAGGCCTACCACGTAGAACTAGACCATATGTTTCTTGTATGTTTACACAGGCCTACCACGTAGAACTAGACCATATGTTTCTTGTATGTTTACACAGGCTACCACGTAGAACTAGACCATATGTTTCTTGTATGTTTACACAGGCCTACCACGTAGAACTAGACCATATGTTTCTTGTATGTTTACACAGGCCTAACACGTAGAACTAGACCATATGTTTCTTGTATGTTTACACAGGCCTACCACGTAGAACTAGACCATATGTTTCTTGTATGTTTACACAGGCCTAACACGTAGAACTAGACCATATGTTTCTTGAATGTTTACACAGGCCTACCACGTAGAACTAGACCATATGTTTCTTGTATGTTCACTAAGGCTACCACAAACTAGATATGTTTCTTGTATGTTTACACAGGTTTACCACGTAGAACTAGACCATATGTTTCTTGTATGTTTACACAGGCCTACCACGAGCAGTTGTCAGTTGCAGAGATCACCAACTCGTGTTTTGAGCCAGCCAATCAGATGGTCAAGTGCGACCCACGCCGCGGCAAGTACATGGCCTGCTGCATGCTGTACCGTGGGGACGTGGTGCCTAAGGACGTCAATGCTGCCATCGCTACCATCAAGACCAAGCGCACCATCCAGTTCGTGGACTGGTGCCCCACAGGGTTTAAGGTGGGTCCCACAGGGTTTAAGGTGGGTCCCACAGGGTTTAAGGTGGTTGTTAAGTGGGTCCCACAGGGGTTAAGGTGGGTCCCACAGGGTTTAAGGTGGGTCCCACAGGGTTTAAGGTGGTTGTTAAGTGGGTCCCACAGGGTTTAAGGTGGGTCCCACAGGGTTTAAGGTGGGTCCCACAGGGTTTAAGGTGGGTCCCACAGGGTTTAAGGTGGGTCCAACAAGGTTTAAGGTGGGTCCTACAGGGATTTAGGTAGGTTGTTAGCTGGGTTTAAGGTGGATCCCACGGGGTTTAAGGTGGGTTGTTAGCTGGTGCCTCACGGGGTTTAAGGTGGGTTGTTAGCTGGTGCCTCACGGGGTTTAAGGTGGGTTCCACAGGGTTTAAGGTGGGTTGTTGGCTGGTGCCCCACAGGGTTTAAGGTGGGTTCAACAGGGTTTAAGGTGGGTTGTTAGCTGGTGCCTCACGGGGTTTAAGGTGGATCCCACGGGGTTTAAGGTGGGTCCTACAGGGTTTAAGGTGGGTTGTTAGCTGGTGCCTCACGGGGTTTAAGGTGGGTCCCACAAGGTTTAAGGTGGGTTGTTAGCTGGTGCCCCACGGGGTTTAAGGTGGATCCGACGGGGTTTAAGGTGGGTCCTACAGGGTTTAAGGTGGGTCCTACGGTGTTTAAGGTTTTTGTGAAAAGTTCCTTCTTCTAACAAAACTGCTAGCTCTGCTACATGGAACAGCATTGAAGTTTACTTCTTATAGTTTTACATTCTATATTAGGGCTAGGATCGAGGTAGGTTAGGACAGTCACGAAGGCTAGGGTATATACAACTGTTAATTACACCTTACTACCAGTAGCCTATGTGGTACACCATCTCAGTGTTATGTGTTTAACTATGGAAACAAAATCATTGCATACTTTGTTTTTCTTTGCCCTTTGTCAAACTGCAAGATTTCTGCCTGACAAAACTTGATCTTAGATCTTTACTTTTAAGGACATTGCATTCCCTGGTTTAGCTATGTTAATTAACTAGTGTAATTAATTTTACGCAGGTTGGCATCAACTACCAGGCCCCTACCGTGGTGCCAGGAGGTGACCTGGCCAAGGTCCAGCGAGCCGTCTGCATGTTGAGCAACACGACGGCCATAGCCGAGGCCTGGGCTAGGCTTGACCGGAAGTTTGACCTTATGTACGCCAAGCGAGCCTTTGTCCACTGGTGGGTTGGGATTGGATGAGATATGTTATACATACACGACAGGCTCTTATATACGCAGGCCTACATATTTTATAATGTTGGCTATATTTTCTCTAAGCAACTTTTTAGTCGAGTGTGTGAAGTGCATGTATTTACCTACTATAGATGAGAGATTAGGTATATTATTATATCGTTTTGTACCACCGAGTTAACCAGTTACTAGCATGCAGTGTTTCTTAAAATAGGCTAGACGCTGGTTTAACAACTAAAAACACTTAATATAGTAGAGTGTGTAGGCCTACCCACTAAATAAGTTAAACTTAATAGAGTACGTACCCATTTAGTACCCATTTAATCCGCTAAAGGCACTTAATATAGTGGTGTGTACCCACTAAATAAGTTAAACTTAATAGAGAAGGATGTACTTTGGATAATTTCTATGGTGCACTGTTTACTCACCAGGTATGTTGGCGAGGGTATGGAGGAGGGTGAGTTCTCTGAAGCACGTGAAGATCTCGCGGCACTAGAGAAAGATTACGAGGAGGTCGGCGTGGACTCGAAGGACGCGGGCGGGGAAGAAGAGGGGGAGGAGTATTAAATCTACTGGATCTACTTGACAATCTACTGGATCTACTTGACAGACTGAATCTACTGGATCTACTTGAATACTTTATTGAATCTACTTGACAGAGAAAATACATGAGATTGTATCGAAGACGCTGTATAGCTACTGTATAGTTTACGAGTATTATTTTGTTAAAACTATCTCAATTGCTCAGGACTGTCTTGTGTTTTGTGGGTTGTTTTTGTCGTGCTTATGTCTAGTTTATGTCGTAGATTTACCTAGCTACTTCTAACACAAACATACCACATATGCAAACAGCTGCCAATGATTAGACTACTCTCGTAAAACGTCTTGGTATCTAATATTGCAATCGGAAAAAGTTTGAAGTCATTTTCTTGTACGCAAGTTGTTTTAGATTGTATAAGCTAAAACTAGCGGTCAAGAAATTATCCAAAGAGCAAATCATTAGAGCAACATATTCTGAGTTGAGGCGGTAGGGTTGGGTTCCATCATTATTGTTGACAACGATAAGTGGTAATTACTTTTTTTTAGAATAAGCCACCAAAGTGGCCCCTAAAAAAGTAAACTTTAGCCAGAGGCGTAGTGAGGGGGGAGCGGAGGGTGCGGACCGCACTGGGCGACACCATTTAGGGGGGGGGTGACACCAAGGCAAAAAATAGTAAAATATAAAGAGAAGTTTGAGGAGGGGGGGTGAAAATCGAAAATTGAAAGTTTATCCCCGGGAAGAGTCGCTACGCCTCTGGGGGGGGGGGGGGTGAAACCATTAAGTGCCGCACCGGGTTACACCCGACCTCGCTACACCACTTCCTTTAGTTTGTAACTTAGAACTTTTTTTTAGAATCAATGCTAGTAAAGTAGTAAAATAATTCTTTGAGTGTAAAGCTACATTTGTAATTATTTCAATCTAACCTAAAGTTATAACCTGAAATTTCACTTTCGTAAGACCAACATTGAATGGCTGTTCAGGAACTCCTTGATCGATTTTCAAAAAACCCACTTTATATGAATATGTTCTAAACCTTTGCCGAATAAGTTTTTAAACACATTTTCTTAAAACCACATTTGCATAATTCTTCCATTTTAGTTTATACTTTCTGTGATAAAATGTAAACAACCAAATTGGTTTTGCTTTTAAAAAATAGTTACCTGAACATTAAAACAAATACCCCGAATCTTTACTTAAGTCAGAAAAAAACCTGTCGGGTTTTTATGACCATCTTTATTTTGATACCATCACATCAGATTTTAAAAATATTTTATACACCATTTCGACTCTTTCACGATAGCATCCCTTAACTTAGATTCTCTCAACCAGATGTATCCTTTACGTACATCATGTTTCTACTTTATGAAATGTAATCCTATTTAATTTTACTACACACTTTTTTTAAATTACTTGAAAAAAATGTCATTCATCTCGCACAGTTAAATCGCTCGGGGTAAATTGGTATTGTATCAATTTAATGTTTGGTTAAAAAAATACTTTCATTTTTTAAAAAGACTTCCACCAATTAGAATAATCATAATTATGGTATCAGTAATCTACAAAACATTTTTAATACCTCAGCGTATATGAATTGTTTATCAATAAGGCTGAATCGACGGCATCTCCAAATTCAAGAAACAAGAGTGAACGATTAGGGCAAATTACAGTCGACGATACATAATTGACTTGATTTAACAATCCATCGACAATTACGGTTTTAAAATTTTAAATAATTTTATAATTGTACGGTTATTGTTTCTCTGCCCGATCTTCAAAGAAAATTATTTCAAGAAATTAATTTTAATATTTGTATTATTTAAAAAGATAAAATGACATCAAAACGCTTATTCAAAACTGGTAAAACAGATTTATGTATAGTTTATTATGCATAGTTTTTTTTGTCAATTATTCATTCAATTTATTCAATTACGGTAACAATTACGAATATATATCCTACAAAGTAACTGTTTCCTCCCACTAACATATTTACGAGCAATAAAATACAACAAGATGCGTGTTTAACTAAGAAAATGTATTAAGAAATTCAGATATAAATGATATAGGCAATCGGACCCTAGCTAAAAAGATATACAATATTGAATTATCAAAAATGGGTACGTGGATGACAGACATTGAATGGATTAATTTAAAATTAATTAAGAATACTGCGTGAAAATAACGACTTCAATACAGTTTGGCATACATGTAGTTTAAAAAATCAGAATAACCTGTTTAAGTCGAACCATCTAAATCATAAACAGCACCACAACCACCTGCTAAAGTTGAACCATCTAAATCTTGACCAGTACACAGTTGTGATGATCAGAACAGCACCACAACCACCTGCTAAAGTTGAACCATGGGTAACTTCAGCCTGGATCAGTACACGGCCCTGATGACAGACTATGACAGGGAGATAACCAACATTGTGTTTTTCGCTGTCGTCATTAACTTAATTAGCATCTTTGGATCTGTAGCCAACGTCATCAACATTGCTGTTTTTATAAAACAGGTAAAAGTGTATCGAACAAATGAAAATACATTTCCTTTTATTGTTTTTTTTTATTATAATAAACAGAAATGCACAACAATGCACGCTTTACTTTTATAAAAATTATCTTCCTTTTAATTATAAAAAAATTTCGCACATATCGCTTAAGTTATCCTGTTTTTTTTGCCATAGCGATTAAAAAATAAATTAAAATAAAATAAAATTTAGCCAAGTAGTTGAAAATATTTGAATTATGATGCCGACCAACGCACACACCCGTATAAGGCGAAGTACTTCTTTGAATATTATAGTAAATATGATAATGAATGAAATGTCACCATTGTATATCCATAAATTCAGGTGTTATTGATGAAATATCCATTTAATAAACTTACTGCGTAGAATCTTACATAGCGAAAATCTTTTGAATATTTGATAACGTTTATTACGTTACCTGGATCTGTTGTGTTGACTCTCTTTGTGTCGACTAGGATTGCGTATAACTGTTGAAGATTGGTTAAATAGGTGCTAGATCGATAGATAGCGTGGAGTTGGTTGTCAAAAGACGGGGTAATGTTTTAGAGTGTGTGAGGAGGGGAGTCGGGTCACGTACATGAGGTGGGGGGGGGGGGGGGTAGGGGGTATTGGCATTAGGGTCTACATACTACATATGATGTTAATGAAATGAGTTGTCCACCAGTGTTTCGTCATGTCCACCACAGCGTGACGTCATACCCACCAGTGTTTCGTCATGTCCACCAGTGTTTCGTCATGTCCACCACAGCTTGACGTCATACCCACCAGTGTGACGTCATGTCCACCACAGCGTGACGTCATACCCACCGGTGTGACGTCATGTCCACTTCTGCGTGACGTCATATTTTTTTTGTCTTGCCAGGGTTTCCAGGACACGGTTAACATCAGCTTCCTGGCCTTGACCTTGTCTGACCTTGGCAGTCTGCTGACCATGGTGGCCGTGGGTGTGACCATTCTGGTAGGTTCTGTGTGGCCCGAGGCGCCGATGGTCAAAGAGGACGTGGCATACCTCATCGGAGGTAGGTCTAAACTTACTATTTCATACGATTAAAACAAGTGCAATACAAGCAGTCTTGTTTGAAATCGAAAGAGAGCTAGTCTAGACATCTAAAAGTTGTCAAACACTTTCTCATGACACCTAAACCCGCTCGGTAGATCTAGAAGTTGGCGACTATATCTGTCTCTTTGTTTTAGATTGGCGACTATATCTGTCTCTTTGTTTTAGATTGGCGACTATATCTGTCTCTTTGTTTTAGATTGGCTACTATATCTGTCTCTTTGTTTTAGATTGACGACTATATCTGTCTCTTTGTTTTAGATTGGCGACTATATCTGTCTCTTTGTTTTAGATTGGCGACTATATCTGTCTCTTTGTTTTAGATTGTCGATAGAAGCTGTGTCTATGTTTTAGACTGGTGGTGATTAAAGTTGTGACTATGTTTTACAAAGCGGTGTCTATGTTTTAGACTGGTGATTTAAGCGGTGTCAATGTTTTAGACTGGTGATTAAAGATGTGACACTGTTTTAGACTGGTGATTAAAGCTGTGTCTATGTTTTAGACTGGTGATTAAATCTGTGTCTATGTTTTAGACACGTGATTAAAGTTGTGTACTTGTTTTAGACACGTGATTAAAGTTGTGTACTTGTTTTAGACACGTGATTAAATCTGTGTCTATGTTTTAGACTGGTAATTAAAGCTGTGTCTATGTGTTAGAAAGCAGTGTCTCTGTATTAGACTGGTGATTAAAGTTATGTCTATGTTTTACAGAGCTGTGTCTATGTTTTAGACTGGTGATTTAAGCTGTGTCAATTTTTTAGACTGGTGATTAAAGTTGTGTCTATGTTTTAGAAAAGTGATTAAAGCTGTGTCTATGTTTTAGACTGGTGATTTAATCTCTGTCTGTGTTTTAGACTGGTGATTAAAGCTGTGTTTATGTTTTAGACTAGTTATTAAATCTGTGTCTATGTTTTAGACTGGTGATTAAATCTGTGTCTATGTTTTAGACAAGTAATTAAATCTGTGTCTATGTTTTAGACTGGTGATTAAAGGTGTGTCTATGTTTTAGACTGGTGATTAAAGCTTTGTCTATCTTTTAGACTGGTGATTAAATCTGTGTCTATCTATGTTTTAGACAAGTTATTAAATCTGTGTCTATGTTTTAGACAAGTGATTAAAGCTATGTCTATGTTTTAGACACGTGATTAAAGTTCTGTCTATGTTTTAGACTAGTGATTAAATATGTGTCTTTGTTTTAGACTAGTGATTAAAGCTGTGTCTATCTATGTTTTAGACAAGTTATTAAATCTGTGTCTATGTTTTAGACAAGTGATTAAAGCTATGTCTATGTTTTAGACACGTGATTAAAGTTCTGTCTATGTTTTAGACTAGTGATTAAATATGTGCCTATGTTTTAGACTAGTGATTAAATCTGTGTCTATGTTTTAGACTGGTGTCTATGTTTTAGACACGTGATTAAACCTGTGTCTATGTTTACCACCACAGCCGCCCCCCACGCGGCGTTCCTCCGCATCAGTTGGCTGATCACCACCTTCATCACCATCGAGAGGTGTCTGTGTGTCACCATTCCGCTCAAGGTCAAACACATCATCACTGCCACCAGAACCATCATCGCTATGGTGAGCATCTACCTCTGTGTTTTTCTCGGTACCTCCCCGTTTTTCGTTTCCAGTGCCCTCACCAACGTGTTCAACACAGCGACCAACGCCACCAAACTCACGAGAACATTCCACGCGGATGTGTACTACACGGACGGCATCGGGTACAACTTCACCGTGTCGGTGCAGTTCGGCTGCATCATCGTGGATCTTTTATCAACGCTGGTCATTATCCGACAGATGCAGGTCAAGTGGAAGTGGAGGCTGGAGTCCACGTCTGCTAGCGCCAGTGACCGTTTGTCATTGAGGGACAAGAAGTTGGTCAAGATGGTGCTGGCCATCTTGTGTGTGTTCATCGCGTGCTTGATTCCCAGCTGCACCAGCTTCGTGTGCGAGCTGGTCTACGGCTACATGTTCAACATCACCGGACCCAACTACAACATCTTTATTTGTGCTAGCTCCGTCATCATCACGTTCGAGGTGGCGCACAGTTCTGTCAATATTTTCATCTACTACAATATGAGTGCTAAGTACAACGCCACTTTTAAACAAATCTTCTTCAAGTGCGATCAAAGGTAAAGATTGATATAAAGGTATATTTAATTAGACCTAATGAACAAATGAGAACCACAAAATGGAAAATTGATTTAAAGTCCTACTTAATTAGACCTAATAAACAAATGAAAATGCGAACCACAAAATAAGAAAAGTCGTATTTAATTAGACCTAAGGAACAAATGGAAATGAGAACCACAAAATGGTAGCCTATATTGATGTAAAGTCGTACTTAATTAGACCTAATAAACAAATGAAAATGCGAACCACAAAATAAGTAAAGTCGTATTTAATTAGACCTAAGGAACAAATGGAGGTGAGAAACCCAAAAATGAAGATTTACGGACGTATTCAATTACACCTACGAAATGAGAAACCCAGAGGTAAAGATTTACAGAAAGCCCTCACCTGAAATTCCCCGGGACAAAGAATAAGACGCAGGTCTGAAAAACCTGGTCACTTCAGGGCACTATCGAAGCTTGGTACAGGGTTGCCGGGAAGGCTCTCTTCAGCGGCCACTGACCAAGTTTCACGATAGACTAAAATACATGTACAAAATCATTGTTTAATATATTTCTTTTGTTTAAATTTGCATCATTTCCATGAGGAATTTATTTTTCTGCAGTTTTTCTAAACCTAACTTAAAAGGATTTATCTAACAACTCTTTAGATTGATCTTACAAACACATGCTAGAAAAAAAAAAAAACCTTGCCTAACAAAAACATTGCCTAATTCTTTTTACCCAAACAATGTTTTAAAACACTTTACCTCCCCCCCCCCCCTCCCCCGTGGCATCACGTAACTTTGGCTATGAACATCCAACTTCTGTTTCACAACAAAATATGATCTTGTGTAGGCGGTAGTTCAGATATTCCCAATCCGATCTGTAACAATTCTTACCTATCTACTTTAGTAAATGTACACGGTCAGAAGCAAAATGTTTGGTAATACATTCAAGTTTCAAAAACTACATATGAGTATTTAAAATAAAAATGTGTAAACAAAATAATTATATTTGAACCAATAATTTAATAAATATAAAATGTCTTACTGTGAATACAAAAAATTTACCAACATTTAACGCCCTTACAGAAAGAAAATCAGCCAAAAAAAATCGAAATTAAATCACAAGGGAGACAACTATAATTTGCTGTAAAGATCAAACACAAAAATGCAAACTTGAAACAATTATATCTTTGTTCTATAATTATTTTTTTTCTGTTGACGAACTAATTAGTTTAATAACGTTGTCTAGGCAGCAAATATAATTGCATGACTTCACAGTGATTATTAAGTATAATTACTGTAGATTTTAATTAGCGATTGACCGTACCGCTGGTAGGAAGACAGAATCTTTAGTTCCAAAATAATTGCTTGTAATTTTAATTTTCTGATCTTAAAAATAACTATTAAGTTTTTGGCTTTCTCTCTCGGTCAATTATAATAAATAAATTTTAAAATAAAGGTTAATTATAATTAAATCGCTTATTATAAATTTGTCTAAGTCCAAGTTTTTATACAAATAAATACTTTAGTCTTCTCGGGTAGATTTATTGTGTAATATATGTAACTATCGTGAAAGATGTCCATGCAGAAAGCGTCCAACATCTCGACCACAGCGCCGCCCGTGAGAGCGGTCGTTGACCTGATCGACTACGAGACGTCACGTGTCGCCTTCCTGCTGGTGGTGCCCCTGGGGTTCGTAGTCCAGCTCCTGGGCGCCGTCACCAACGGCATCAATGTCGTCGTCTTCTTCAAGGTCGGTCTCAAGGACGTCGTGTCCGTGTCGTTCTTCGCCTTGTCCCTCTCCGACCTCTTCTTCACCATCATCAGCTCCATCCTCACCGAGGGCAACATCATCCTCTACATCATCTACTACAGGACGCTGTGGTCGCGTGACGTCAAGCTGTTGGGGGATTTCGTCATCTGGTACAGCGTCATCTTCAAGGACAGCACGCTCCTCTTCACCACCTACATCGCCATCGCCCGCTGCTGTTTGGTGACCTTCCCCTTGCAGTTTAAAACGACCTTCACCCTTCGTCGTACGTACTACGCTTTGTCCGGGATCTTCATAGGAAATCTATTCCTTCACCTCCCGATTCTCTTCACCCAAGGGTTAATGTGGGCGTTTGACTTAAAGACCAACACAACCCGTCTCGTTCTCTGGGAAACTCCGGACGTCAAGACCACGCTGGCTTTTCACGACCTCGTCAACCGAAACGTCATCCCTTACGTCTGCTACTCCGTCATCTTCATCTGCCTGATCGTCCTCTACTCCAAACTCGTTTCCGCTACCAAGTTCCGTCAACGTCTCAGAAACGACGCGGCGAAAACGTCATCAAAGTTAAGCCCCAGGGACGTCCGTGTCGTCAAAGCTGTCTTCTTCGTCTCGCTGTTCTATCTGGTGTGTTTCGTCCCCGTGGCTGTTCTCGCCTTCTTTCACTTCCTGTTCCCAGAATTCAGCTACGGGAAGTTGTACAACAATACATACAACTTTGTCTTCGCGCTGTCTACGTTCATCTCGCCGCTGAATTCAACTTTCAACATCGCTTTCTATTTAAAATATAACACAAAGTTCCGAGAAACTGTTATGAAATGCAGGTTTTGTTACACGACTAAAATTAAAAAATAATAAATATTCAGTCAAGTCTAAAATGCTGTTACATTTACTATGTTAATATTTCTACATTTTTTTTCTTAAATGTTTTTTTTTTTTTTAACTTTAAAGACAAGATATAAAACTACGTTCACTGCCATATAAAGGATCCGCTCTATACATGGTGATTCAAGAATTGATTTATTTTAATTGGAAGTGCCCATACCAGACGTCCACAGAACTCAAACAATTGGAATGTTTTGACGATGTTTGCACTGGACACGGTGAATTAGTAGACTCTTCTAAACTAAAGGTTAAAACTTGAACAGCTTTCACACTCCACACGATATTTGTAATGTTAATTCTGTTCATACAGATACATTTGCAATGACAGTATAATCTAACACATGGCAACACAGAGAATATTGTGTTTTGTCACGCTAATTTTTTTTTGCTAATCAATTGAAATATATTCCCGGAATTTTTACTTATTATGTTATCAACCAAAATGGTTTCTTGTTTAACACGTCGTAATTTCGACCAATGAATTACGTTGTCGTGATGTGATCCTAGACCTGTGATGTTGTCGTGATGTGGTTCTAGACCTGTGATGTTGTAGTGATGTGATCCTAGACCCGTGATGTTGTTGTGATGTGATCCTAGACCTGTGATGTTGTTGTGATGTGATCCTAGACCCATGATGTTGTAGTGATGTGGTCCTAGACCCGTGATGTTGTAGTGATGTGGTCCTAGACCCGTGATGTTGTAGTGATGTGGTCCTAGACCTGTGATATTGTAGTGATGTGGTCCTAGACCCATTGATGTTGTAGTCATCAAACACCCGCCAGTCAATATTACGAGCAGTCGCGTCAAATCAATTCAGGAAACATAATTACAACGGCTTCTTGTACCAGTAATTAAACGTGAGTTAATTATGGATTTTTGGGGTCCATGGATCATATCCATCCCGCCCCCTTCAGGTTCCTAACACCCGCCCAGCATACGCCACTGTGTGATACAAATTAGTACTTTCAACTACTATTTTTCATTGACAAAGCAGTACCAGTATCTACAATACGTGTAGGCTGTAATGAATACTCCAGTAGAATATATCGTCATAGATTTCTCATGTCAGGAGATTCCCGTCATGTTGCCTGATCCCGTCATGTAAAGTGATCCCTATCTTCTCAGTTGATCCCTATCATCTCAGGTAATCTTAATATAGTCAGGTGATTTAAATTTTCTCAGGTGATCCCAATATTTTCAAGTGATTCTAATATAGTCAGGTGATCCCAATATTCTCAGGTGATCCCAATATTCTCAGGAGATCCCAATATTCTCAGGTGATCCCAATATAGTCAGGTGATCCCAATATTGTCAGGTGATCCCACTATAGTCAGGTGATCCCAATATTCACAGGTGATCCCAATATTCTCAGGTGATCCCAATTCTCTCAGGTGATCCCAATTCTCTCAGGTGATCCCAATATAGTCAGGTGATCCCAATATTGTCACGTTATCCCAATATTGTCAGGTGATCCCAATATTCTCAGGTGATCCCAATATTCTCAAGTGATCCCAATATTCTCAGGTGATCCCAATATTCTCAGGTGATCCCATTATAGTCAGGTGATCCCAATATAGTCAGGTGATCCCAATATAGTCAGGTGATCCCAATATAGTCAGGTGATCCCACTATAGTCAGGTGATCCCAATATTCTCAGGTGATCCTAATATTCTCAGGTGATCCCAATATAGTCAGGTGATCCCAATATAGTCAGGTGATCCCAATATTCTCAAGTGATCCCAATATAGTCAGGTGATCCCACTATTCTCAGGTGATCCCAATATAGTCAGGTGATCCCAATATTCTCAGGTGATCCCAATATTCTCAGGTGATCCCAATATTCTCAGGTGATCCCAATATAGTCAGCTTATCCCAATAAAGTCAGGTGATCACAATATTGTCAGTTGATCCCAATATTGTCAGGTGATCCCAATATTCTTAGGTGATCCCAATATTCTCAGGTGATCCCAATATAGCCAGGAGATCCCAATATTGTCTCGTTATCCCAATATTGTCAGGTGATCCCAATATAGTCATGTGATCCCAATATAGTCAGGTGATCCCAATATTCTCAGGTGATCCCAATATAGTCAGGTGATCCCACTATAGTCAGGTGATCACAATATAGTCACGTGATCCCCGTTATGTCAGGGTCATCATGACCAAGAAGTGGACGTCAAGTTGATCTAACGTCAAGTGTTACCTGCAGTAGACAATGTGGGGGGGGGGGGGGGTAGTATAAAAATAGACCAGACACGTCTTTAAAGAAAACAATGACCTGGTCTAAAACCAACCCAGGCTATGTCACACTGACCTAATTACCTTTTTTCTTTAAAATAAAGTAAGGACGCTGGTAATTAATTAAAGGTGATAGTAAAGTACTTTCTATAAATAACATCACATGACCGGTTATTGTTTCCCCACCTACCGGACACAATAGTGTTCCACCCCATCCCACCCCACCCCAACACCTAGTGATATGACCATTATTCCCCTATGACATAACTATTGTTCTCATTTTATGCGTGTCATGTTGCTTGTGACTATGTCATATCTTGACTGTACGGGCCGCCAGCTCTTTCTCTAACCTTTGTCTTGTACTGTCGTTTGGTGTGTCCTGTCCTATGTTTTGTCCAGTCCCGTGTTTTGTCCTGTGTTTGTCCAGTCCTGTGTTTTGTCGTGTCCTGTGATGTTGCCCCCCCCCCCCCCCCCCACACACACACACTTCTAACATGACATCTGCCATAAGCAGTATATTAAAAAGTTGGAGGAAATCAGTAAAATTATTATCACCTCTATAGAACTCCACTTGTCCTCCCATTGACAAATTTCTACACCCCTCCCCCTATATCACATCGAAGTTAGCACACCTTCCCCAACCACCACACACACTTAAAAACAGATTACGAAACGCCATATGTGGACGGACATTTATAGACCGAACCTAATCCCCCTAAAGTGATCTCCTGTCTAACAAAATGTTACCAAATATTCATCAAACGTTTAAAAACTGAAGCTGATGAGCCACGCAACACATTGTTGTCCTAGCTCTCTTGTTGAATCGATGACAACACACATCTGTTCCCCGTATACAGGCCAAAATGCCTCGTCTCCGAGTATTAAATTAGGGCTAAAATAAATAGCTATATATTTTTATTACTGCAAGTTGGTTCAAATTTTTGAAAGAATAGTTTACCAAAAACCTGAAATAATATTATGAGAGCCCCATATTCGCTCACCAGGTGAATGCCAACTGCCCGATGTCTCCACATAATTAATGATGTGCTTAATTGTCAGGTTTTAATTAAGGCCATTGGGCACGCTTCGTCTAAATATATTCCCTTTCATTGTGCTATTTGTAAACACAGGACATGCGTAGCCTACATATCTAATAGGCTAGTGTTACAGTTATGTAAATATTTGTTTTTAACAAACGAGACATAATTAACATTGATCTACATACCGGATACTACGTCTGCTTTGAAACTGTGTTGGACATTGTTTTTAAACAAATTTCTATTAATAGGATTAACAACCACGTTAAATAAGCATAGAGCAAATTTTCCATTTTCAATTATGTATTAAATCAGTTATATTGCTATGGCGCTCTACCATTCAGCTAATTAACGATGTTGTGATTAGGGTTAATCTACAGTTAATCACTCGACAGGACAAGATTAATGACGGCCATTTAGTTATTTTGGAATTTTAAAAATGTATCTGACCCTAATAATTTTCATGGCCTAACTCTTATCCCAAGACATCCTTTCTCTTTTAAACTCCATGGCTTCTTTTGTGCTGTAGTCATCCCCCTATTTAAGAGCCATGGTTTCTTTTAAGTTAGACACATCGTTTTATGAGATCTCCCCCCCCCCCCCCAGCCGTCGCCTGATGCTACAGCCAGTAACTAAAAAAGTATAAGAAAACAATAAATCTTATATTATGTTTATATGAGGTAATCATCACGTTGACATTAATAACTTGTCACATGTATGTACACACACAACAATGATTTCAGTCAACATCTTAGACTCGCTGATGACCGTAATACAAGTGATAAAATAAAACAAGTTGTCTATAGTTTCAACGTGGTTTTTCAATTTTGAACCAGGCCAGACACAACTTTAAAATACAAATTTATTTGGATAAGAGAGTGAATTTTTAAAAATAAATAATCTTTTGACGGATTAATTTTTGAGAAAGTATATAACTTAATTAGCCTAAACAAAATAAAAACGAGAGCTTTGAAAAATTGCTGACTGTTTCGGTTAAAAACTGACCGAATTATATATATTTTATTGCAAACGTGTGACCATAATTATTCAACACCATATGTCATATCAAACTGTTTGTTATAGTTTTGAATAGGCCCGGAACTGTTGTCATTTCAGTTTCTGGGGAAACTATCTTTTGTGAGGCTTTTTGTTCGGAGTAAGCTGGTATAGTGGGTGGATTGGTGTTTGGAGTGGATTGGTGTTTGGATGTGTGGTGGATTGGTATTTGGATGTGTGGTGGATTGGTGTTTGGAGTGGATTGGTGTTTGGATGTGGGGTTGATTGGTGTTTAGATGTGGGGTGGATTGGCGTTTGGAGTGGATTGGTGTTTAGATGTGGGGTGGATTGGTGTTTGGATGTGGGATGGATTGGCGTTTAGATGTGGGGTGGATTGGTGCTTGGATGTGAGGTGGATTGGTGTTTGGGGTGGATTGGTGTTTGGATGTGAGTTGGATTGGTGTTTGGATGTGGGGTGGATTAGTGTTTGGGGTGGATTGTTGTTTGGATGTGGGGTGGATTGTTGTTTGGATGTATAGACGGACTGAGGAATGCTGGGAGGGAGGAATGGAGGCAGGGACTGAGGGACTTAAGGGCGGGTGGATGAAGTTTTTACGTTGTTTTTGTTTTTAAAGTATCGAAACTATGTTCTGTACTTTTAATTGTAATCGCGCAATTCGTATTGCGTCTAACCTAGATATGAACCGAATTGTTACAAAATACTCTCTGATTAATGCAAACGACCTTGACATTTGATTACATCTACTGTGATCGCTGATTGGCTGACGTGGACGTTATAAATCATTGAGCCCAGGGTGTGACGGGACACACGTGACTGAGATGGAGCAAGAAGCAGACGACTACATCCACACCTTGCATTGTGGGAAAACATTTTCCAAGTGCTACTCCCTGTACAGGCCGCTGTATCCTGACGATGTGTACCAAAAAATTATGGGATATCACGTGGGGTCAGGAGGTGGTCTGGAACTTGCTGTTGACGCGTGTTGTGGGAGCGGACAGAGTTCGATTCCACTTACGGAGTATTTTGAAAAGGTTGTGGTGATTTTTCTATAAACGTTCGTGACATTATTTTCATACTTTACCTACATGTTCATTGTAAAACTGTGTTTCTTAACCTGGGTTCGATCGAATCACATGGGTTCGGCGTTCATCAAGACACACCCGACTCATATGTGTAAGCCCTGCTAGGGGGGGATACCTAAAATCTACCCTTCTAGGCTTAACTAACTAATCTGTCCGGTCAGTGCAACCGTGGTAGAACCCACAGTGGTTAAACCCTAACCTTAGTCTAAATAATAAGCTACTAAAATAAAACAAAAACTTTTACAGTTAATAAAATTTATTGCATGGGACCAAAAGTTATAAAAAAAGAATAGATATAAACTGACACAAAACAGAACCAAACGAAACAAACTTTTTACATCAAACACAACACCCAATTTCGGACTACGTCCAGGACTACGACGAACACAAACACAAAATAAATATGGCTGGATGGTGCGAATTTGCTATTCTTTTCACCCGATGACCAGAGAGACTGCCTGCTCCCTTCACCGCAGCTTTCCACACAAAAGACAGAGTTGAACAAGCCGGAAAACGACTTCCACACACCTCACACGCTACACGTAAACAAATAGTCCCTAATTCACGGATAACAAACCAAACACGACGGAACATGCAACAGAATATTATAAAAAGACACTTACTATAAACAATGACAACAATATAAACGAAATATATATAAACTAGCTATAACCAGGGACATAAACAGTGAGACAGCGGCGCCATAATACGGGACTACACGACTAAAAAAATACGAACAATTTACGACATGAAACGAAACGATACATTCGCCTTCTAATTTACAAATAATAAAAATACACTCCAGCCGCTCACATATGATTCACAATCTGATTTTGTCGAAAGATTATTTATTACATATCATTTAGATTAGGTAACTAACAACAGACGCGAATTTTTCTAAATATTAATTGACAAAACAACAAGCTTGACGTTAGGTATTCCAAGTATGTTTTGTAAAGTTATAAGACAGATACACATTCAAGTGAGGCTTGAAACCTGGGTTCCCAAGATGACTATAATGGTACTTTGTTATTGTGTTAAGTTATACCCACTAGCTCAGGGGTCGGCAACCTTTTGAGACGGAAGAGCCAAAAGTTACAATTTTCAAAATTTCCCAGTTTTTAAAGAGCCAGTAACATTTTTATTTTAATATTTTATTATTTGATTAGGACTAAGTAAATAAATGTGATTTGTTATTTAAAATAAATAGTTTTAAAAATGAAATAATATTTATTCATATAAAAACATATACATGTTTTGCCAGAATAATAAATTTAGTAATCTAATAGTATAACTATAGGACTATCCCAATCCACTTTAGAAGCTGTTAACGTTTTTTTTTCTTTCTTTATGGATATCACTGGCTCAGGAGGTGTCTGCCATTAGCAAAGCAGGCCTCAACACGGCCAACCCCGACTACCGGGTTTGAATATCGGTTTGATTACCGTGTATCGGTCGCCTCTGTCCTTCGGCTAACACCAGACATATCTCCCACCCCATTGAACGCAGGGTAAACTCGTACCCCATAGTCTAGTACCCGGCTCAACAGTAGGAGGCGAATAACTAAAAAAAAAAAACTACGTCACTCACGTCAACTTTATGATTACTGACACATATGGAAATGCATTCTGAATAAAATAACATTCCCATTTAAAAACATTCGAAAAAGTCGGCACTTGGGCAGTGGCAAGCATGGGATTGTTGCCACGGGGCTGTGGGGCTGGGTCTGGTGCCCAAGCTGCTGTCAGCTGTCCGTATACTTTCTACTGCACATATTCTCAATGTTCTCTGATAAGTGTTTTAATTTTGTTTAAAGTTGATTTTGTTTACATTATGATATTTGATATGAGTTTTGAAAATGAAATAATACATGCAACTTCATGTCAATTACAATATAGTTATTATAGATAATAATTCAGTCTGTTACATACAACTTTTAATATTTGTGCAAGGGGCTGGAGAGCCGCATCTTGACCGCAAAAGAGCCGCATGCGGCTCGCGAGCCGCAGGTTGCCGACCCCTGCACTAGCTCATGTGTTATGTGTGTTTTAGCTTGTAGTTTTGGACAATATGTTGACCAATTGACCATTTAACTGGTGTTGTTTGTGTTTCAGATTGTAGATGTGGGCATATATGTTAATCAGTTGACCGTTTAACTCTGGTGTTGTGTGTTGTGTGTCTCAAGTTGTAGGTGTGGACACATCTGTTGATCGTTTAACTCTGGTGTTGTGTATTGTGTTGTGTGTTGCAGGTTGTAGGTGTGGACACTTCTCTTGACCAGCTGACCGCTGCCCCTACCAACGTTCCCCGTTTAACCTTTTACCTATCCCTAGCCGAGGAGATGTCCTTTCTTAGGCCAAATTCGGTAGATCTGGTTACCATAGCAGCAGGCTTGCATTGGGTCAATCACAACAAGTAAGTCACGTGATGTGTTCGTGAGTGTTTGTGTGTATGTGTGCAATGTGCAAATGTGCAAATGTGCATGCAGAGAAAAATTTGAATTTTAAAAATCCTACTCAATAATAGTTAATTATTAATGTATTTCCACTTACGTTTTTAATTTTTGTTTGGTAAATTTAATGAGTAAATAAGCAGAAAAATAGTACAATTGAAAGCAATAATGATATGAAACAAAAAAGAGATAGTTAAAGAAAAATGGTAGAGTTTGCTGATGCACTGTTTCAGTTTCTACAAGGAGGTCCAGAGAGTGTTAAAGCCAGGCGGGACGTTGGCCGCTTACTGCTATGATCTGGAGACTCTAGACAATAAACGTGCTGACCGATATATACAGGGGGTGAGTGATGATTGCTTAAGTCGTGAGTTGCTATAAACTGTAGGGTGGAACGTTGGCCGCTTACTGCTATGATCTGGAGACACTAGACAATAAACGTGCTGACCGATATATACAGGGGGGTGAGTGATGATTGCTATAAAAAAAACTGTAGGGGGGGAGGTAGGCATGTCGACCGTCACATACAGGGGTGAGTTGATTTAATAAATGATAAGTTGCTATAAAAAATTTGGTCTGGGATGGGGGGGGGGGGGGGGTTCCTTTGAAATGTAGTTTCCTTCCGTTGTATCGAAACTGATGTTAACGTAGTTTTTGTTTTAATAAGACACAGTCATAATTCTATTTTGAAGAATAAAACTGTTCCAAAATTTAGTTTTAATACTAGCTCTGAGTATTATGTGGGTATGCAAAAATGATTACACTCTTAGAAAAAAAAATATTCTTCCCCCATATAACCCTGTATCCTCCCAGCTTTCTATCATCGCCTCATCACGACCTCGTTATACAAACAGTTATATATAACTAAATTTTATTAAAAATCGGTTATATCTTTGGTACATTTTGCTATTGAATTTTGCTATTGTTCCAATGACCAGCTGAGGCGAAACGAATTTTCTAAGTACATGACGTCACGTGCAGATATCGTGTTCAGCAAATACAGATCGATTCCATTTCCTTTCACAGATATAAAAAGGTAAAAAAAGCACACCTGTTGTATGTGGAAATAAAACAAAAGATAATCCTATACATTAGTATTAGATAATCCTATAGATTAGTATTAGCATTTTTAACGGCTGTTACCTTGCTAGGAATAGCAAGGGAGATAACATTTAATTTTGTTTAAATGTTACGTGGTCTATAAAAAGAGAATACATGAATGGTAATTCGTCCATTATGGTCACATATCTGTGTCAGGTGATCTAAGGTGGGGTAAATACATTAGTGATGTTTTCCCAGGTACTACCATATACCTATGTCAGGTGATCTAAGGTAGGGTAAATACATTAGTGATGTTTTCCCAGGTACGAACATATACCTATGTCAGGTGATCTAAGGTAGGGTAAATACATTAGTGATGTTTTCCCAGGTACGAACATATACCTATGTCAGGTGATCTAAGGTAGGGTAAATACATTAGTGATGTTTTCCCAGGTACGAACATATACCTATGTCAGGTGATCTAAGGTAGGGTAAATACATTAGTGATGTTTTCCCAGGTACGAACATATACCTATGTCAGGTGATCTAAGGTAGGGTAAATACATTAGTGATGTTTTCCCAGGTACGAACATATACCTATGTCAGGTGATCTAAGGTAGGGTAAATACATTAGTGATGTTTCCTCAGGTACGACCACATACCTATGTCAGCAGATCTAACGATAGATGAGTACATCGGCTACCTGTCGTCTTTTCATTACGTCAAAGAATATCAACGGGACAACCAGGATGACGACATTTTGTCGTCTGTAAGAGAAAGGTACACGACATTTTTCATTAATTTATAAAATTAATCTGGCATTTGAAAATATTTTTTTAAAATGTTATATATTTTAATACACAATTGTTAGCAAGCTATCAGTAGTCTTTAAAAAGCATAACATATTTTGCAACTTGATCTAATGAGTGACTAAAATTCTTCTATTCTAGGCTGACTTCTATTTTAACGGACGATACTTCTAGTGAGTGCAGGGTCACCGTGACATGGGACTTGTTCCTGGTGTTAGGCAGAAGTAAAAAAAAAATAGCCCTTAGTTAGATAATGCTATAAATAACGCGGTGTTACAAGTGTATATATTTGTTATTGAACAGTTATGTATAAGTGCGCTTTCGTGTGTGCATTTCAAGTATGAATGCGTGTGTGTGGTGTGTGTGTAGTGGGTACTGTGTGTAGTGTGTGTAGTTTGTAGTGTGTGTGTTCAATACCTGACTTAATTTTCTAAAAGAGTGTTTATGTAGATCACTCTTAATGTAACGCATTAAATGCACGTTCACATAAAAGACATGTTGTTGTTACATAATAAGTGAGTTGTGTGCACGCGCAAGAAAGAGCTGCGATCAATACAAATCATGTTCAACCCCCTACCTATTTGTGTAAGCTAATTAATTATGTGGTAATCATTAAAACCGATCAATAGAGGCACGCATTGTTTACGTGGACTATTGTAGCTTGAGGTAATACCAGTAGGCTACATTGTGAACTTTTATTTAAGAAACTTTTTTTTTAAACTTTTCTTGTAAGAAACCTTGTTTATACATTACAACTATTTCGTTATAAACCTATACTCAATAGTTTTTAATGCCTTTACATAAACTTAAGGGAATTAACTGATGTTATATTTGTAACATACTTGATATCATTATTATGTTTCCATTGCATGCACATTTTTATAAACATTTTAAAATCATACTTATTGTGGTTTTTTTAAAATAAAAGCAAAGTAAGTTTGTTTTCAGATTCTAGAAATAAAGTTTCAAAAGTTCTCTGGATTAATGATTTTATTTTTGTAAGCTCATCAGTTTTGCTGTTGAGAATATCGAATTCTACACATCGACAAGCCTCACTGCTAATCAACAAATAAATCAACAACTGATGTTGCAGGGTGCTGACATAGTTAGGGTAACCTTTGGCACACTAGGGGGCGCGCGAGTGTAAGTCACAAGGTCCAATTTGACCAATCACGAGTCGTGTTAGTCACAGACCTGAAAAAGTGAACACAACTCACCATCAAAACTTGACACCTGCCTCGTGACTCACACTTGATTTGATGATCACCTTCGTAGCATTACGAAATAAGGTGTTTCATCTTTACAGACCTTATATTATCAGTTAAGGGTGAAACTTTTTTATGATGCAACATTTTTTAATTAGGAATCAAGAGCTATAGTTTTCCAGCATTTAGGTCTTTGATGTAAATTAGCAAAGAGATGCATAACATTGCTATCTATGGCTGGAACTACCAGATTTTCCTTGTAACAAAATGTTGAAACTTTTAGAATTTTTTAGTCAGACCAATCTTGAGGTAACTTTGCTATTTTCTAATATATTGTTTTTTAAATCTAAAATCTTTTATTTGCCATTTAAAATTAATACATAAACATCAACGAATTTTATGTAATTTCAAACATCAAATGAAAACGAAAGATTTTACAAAAGTACATGTTGAATATTACAATATTAACATGCAGTTATATGTCGTATATGAGGTAATAAAACAAATTAAAATGGGATAACGAGAAAAGTGGTAAAGGTAAACTGAAAGTGTTGGAATCCGAGTGGGGAGTGGGAAAGAACTCGTTAACCAGAGAGAGGGGTATATATATATATATATATATATATATATATATATATATATATATATATATATATATATATATATATATATATGTGTGTGTGTGTGTATGTATATATATATATGTATATATATATGTATATATTTATATATATATATATATATATATATATATATATATATATATATATATATATATATATATATATATATATATATATATATATATATATGGTTAGGGGAAGGAAAAGGGAGGGAAAAAAAGAATAATTGGTGAGGGGTTGGGTTATAGGGACGGAGTCGATCAAAATGAGGGAGTTGGTTCAAAAATGTACACGTAAGCTAGTTTTAAGATTTTTACATGAACGAGGGTGAAAATGTGTAATATAGTGTCAACAAAGGCTAATAAAACAAGAATGAAAAAAAAACATTGCCATAATTATGGTGCGTAGAATATTGGGGTTGGTGTGTTGACACTGGTAGGAGAGTAGTTGTGTGAACATTAGTGTTTCATTGGCTAACATTTCATAAAACGAAAATGACTTTACCATGGAGGGAAGGGTCAACTATGTGAGGGGGGAGGGATCGCTATCGACCGGTTGGGCAGTGGTGCGTGTCATGGTGGGTGTGGGTTTTTACTTAGATGTGTGTTACTACTGTAATGACGGGGGGGGGGTAATGCTGAGGGAGGGGTGACACTTTAATTTTTTTAAATATACTTTTATTTTCAATTATAAAACAAATACAGTAACAAAAACTCCCTATTAATAATTTACACAGATTACAAAGGAACAAAACCAAAAAGGTATACAATTGTACCCGTATTAGAGTTAAGAAAATGCTCTTTGAAACATCTGTTTGCAATATGTACAATTTTGTAGAGTATTTACAAAGAAGTTACAGAAATCAACCGAAGTAATCAAAAGCAAAACAATATCTGTAATATGGTTAGTTCACACACAAGCACGAATAGCCTAAAAAGTGTTATTGAAATAATGATCATTAAAAAAGTCTTAAAAAACCCACGTTTTCTGATTGAACTAAAAAGTAGAAAATAAATGCTATACATCACAATAATGCAAGCAGTCACTCTACTATAAGCGATCAAAAACGTGGGGCGCCGAAGTAAAAGTTATATTACTATTGATTAGATAATACTATTGACTTTTATTAGGGAGCTTGTAGAGAGTCAACAGTATTAGAAACTATAAGAAAATCACGGCGCCCCACGTTTTTGATCGCTTATAGTAGAGTGACTGCTTGCATTATTGTGATGTATAGCATTTATTTTCTACTTTTTAGTTCAATCAGAAAACGTGGGTTTTTTTTAAACTTTTTTAATGATTATTATTTTCTACTTTTTAGTCTTTGTCTGTTTGTTTGCATTAAAATCTTGCTATCGATTTTATCTTTTCACTTTTTTTTGGGTAAACGAAGACAACTCGTAAAAAGACAACTCGTAAAAAACGCGTTGTGTGAATACGTTACTGATTAGAACACATAGATTTGAACCCGTGTCGAGTGGGATAGCAATCGTGTGCCCAACCACTCGACCATATCGTCTCCCCCATACTGGCCACCAGTTGTTACGGTTGTTTGTACACAAATTACAGTTACTGGGTTATGTCCCTTTTTCCCCACGTTTTTACTACAACGAGCCGACCCGCGGCGTATCATACGCCGCTATTTAGTTGATTTATTTTCTACTTTTCAGTAATTCATAATTTGTGAATTCGACAGTACCAATGCTGCCACTGAAAATATTTGCTTTAAAACACTAGCCCCCTCCTTTCCCCTAACCCCGACCCCCCCCCCCCCCCCCCCCGCCCCGTGAAAGCAGCCTCCTCTTAGTTACCTCCTGTAAGTTTAAAGTCGGTTCAAACTAAATTATCTGCCCCTAATAGCCGTCACTAAACCTGGCTGTACGGTTTGTAAACATTAACGTGACCACAGCTCAGCAGACAATGTGGGGGTGGGGTGGTAGAGAGAAAGAGAGGGGACTGTAAGGAGGCGCTTGCAGCTTGTTTTCTAACGGCTCGCAGAGGAGGATTATATATAGATTATATAGCGGTCTAAAATGCTCAATAAAATGTTTCCATGGATCAATTTAGTAATAATAACAATTGAATATTCTATGGTCATCCAAAACAAAGCTTCCCTGAAAATTTCAGCGCGCTAGCTAACTGGGAAGTGCCAGAAATTTTGATCGCAAGATTTGATTGGAAAACCGGACGCGAAAGCAAGTTAAAGAAAACGTGGGAAAAAAAACAATTGAAACCGGGTGGAAAAAACATTCTTGTGGGCAAACACATTGAAGAGGGCGAGGGGAGTTGGGTTGAGGTGACCGAGTCATTTCAGCGTGTTTTCACGTGTTTTTTTTTTAAGATTTTGTTTAAAGTATAATAAATAGCGAAATAAGTAAATGAGTACAGAAGATACATTGAATTTAAAGCTTGTTGGTTCAAAAATTGGACAGTGGCTGGTTTGGAACATTTTTGCCAACAAAAGTGGTGGAAGAGTATAATGTATGGAAGAATAGTCGAAAACAAAGGTGGTTTGCATGGATTTCATCCCATTCTGTACAATAAACATAGTAAATACCAAAAAAAATGAATAACCAGTAGAGTAGTCACAAACACACACACACACACACACACATGTGTTGTTCTACACAGATTTCATTTACATTTGTACAACAGTGAATTACTAAAATAGATAAACAAGTAAATGAATAAATATTCAAAACTGATGTGTTGGTGGGTGGTGGGGTCGTTGGAACAGTTAAAAGGGATGTGGGGTTATCATATCTGAGGGTGATGTGAGCACAGGGGGGGGGGGGGCGGTAGAGTGTCTTACGAGCCAAAATTTGTGCTGATGTGTTACTATTTATAGGGTGTGTGTTGGAGGGGGGGGGGTTGACGAACAGATTGCTGTGTGATCGATTTAGCTGGAGGGTGAAGGGTTAGTATGTTCAAGTCGGTGTTTATGTTTATTTAAATGTTTAGTACCGACAGGTTAGGGGTGGGTAGGCGTGTAGCTATCACGGGGTGTGGGGTTACAGTGGAGTTTTAGAGGTAAAAATATGGTAAATAATGTTCTCATAACAGAGTTCAAATAAGGCAATACATATTATTAAAGTTAACAAAACAATTGTAAATATAAATTAAAGGATAATAAAATGAATATAAAAGGAGGAGGGATCATTGGTGTCATTTGGTACGTTGTGGACCCAAAGTACCGTACTTATAAGATTTTTTTTTCCGCCTCAGACACGTAATTTATAGCGTCAGTTGTGTGTTCGCTTTAGTATTACAGTTTTCATCATCGGCTTGTGAGGACTGATACAGATTTACAATAGTAATATTTCTTTCTTTCTTGTAGCCTGCTTTCATTCATTTAAGATGGTTTACTTATACATAGATCTAATACAAAACGTCTAAATGTAAAGAAAAAATAAAAATTAAAAACCAACCTGAAACTGAAAATGCAAATGTGTAATTAAATGTTGATTCAATGGATTTTTTTCCCTCGGCGTGGTGGGTGAGGGGGGCGGGGGGGGGGGTAGAATTTGGGTTTTTAAGTAGAGCTGAAATAAATTTGTGATTACAGAGAATTAAAATGATACAAATTTTAAGCAATCGGAAAAGTTATGTTATTACAACGAGACACATCTAAGCAAACATTCTTCCTTTTCAAACATCTATATCTATACAGTCCTCAAACAATTGCTTTTTTTTTATATCAATTGTTTTAAACATTTAAATCAGTAATAATAATTTGTTTGATACTTTTACACAGCATCGAAGATATGAACATCAATTGCATATATAATAATCAAAGAGAGAAAATAAAATGGCATAAGACTAGACTAAAATAAGGTGTGCAAACTCGGTTTCTCTTGACTGCTTAGTTTACTGTGCTCAGTCCTTAGCTGTGGAGTCAAAAGTTCACACTGTAGACACCCATGGACAGAAATAGAAACGACCGTGGGAGAAGTGTCTCTGTAATACTCATATCATTCCAAAAATGTCCATGACATTAAATTGACCCTTGGCGATGAAGGCACGCTAGCTTGAAATATACGCCTGTTCGGTTGAGTGGGGGGGGGGGGAATGTGTGTGGGGGGGGGGGGGGGGTGAGGTGTGTATCTCTTTCTACCATTCAGGTTGTGCACTTTTAAAAACCTGGGAAACTGAAGACTGTTCTAATGTTAATTTACTTGGGGGCTGATCGAGTGATGTTTGGCTTGAGACTGTCTAAATTAAAATTAATACTTTATTTATTTCTTTCCTGTACATTTTTTTTCCCCAGTTAAGTGTGAGTTCCCAGTCTATGTCTTAGCTTTGCTTGAAATATTTCTTTTAACTCGATGTCCGTGTATTTTGTGAAAAAATATCTGACTTTATTCTTAATTTTGCCAAATAGTCGATCTTTAAATAGCCGTTGCTACTAGTCCAGGGGTCGGCAACCTTTTGAGACGAAAGAGCCAAAAGTTACAATTTACAACAATACCCGGTTTTTAAAGAGCCGCTAACATTTTTATGTCAATAGTTTATTTGTTTAGTAATTATATAATCCTAAACAAAGATCATACTGTATATATATATATATATATATATATATATATATATATATATATATATATATATATATATATATATATATATATATATACATATATATATATATATATATATACATATATATATATACATATATATATATATACATACAAATATATATACATACATATATATATATATACATATATATATATATATATACATATATATATATATATATATATACATATATATATATATATATATATATATATATATATATATATATATATATATATATATAGTTTAAAATAAATAGCTTTTAATATCTGAGATAATCTCATTTTTTTGTGATGAGAGGATCTACAATGTAAGTCAGAGTACTTGCATTTGTTTTGAATAGCTCAAATATCTCAGTGAAAACACCCTTCATTTTGTTTATATTAATGCCCAAGTGATTGAATAGTACCATTGGTTTCATAACGATATTTGTTTCCGATTTTTCGTAATTAAGTAATTTATCGCTCATCATGTATTCAACAAAATTTTTTTTTTCGAATAAATCACTTCTTTAAGCAAGACATAGGCTAGATGTTCCTTTCAGGTTTAGTTTCTTTATGATATCCACTATGAAGTTGAATGTTTCAATTCGGAATGGACAATGTAATAGGAACTACACTGAGATAGGTAGTAACTAAATATTCTAATAGAATAGTGAATGTTTATTGTTTATGTCTATTGTTATATCGTTTATTACCGAGTGTTGCAGAATAATATTTTTATGAGTTTTGGATATAAAATAAAATAATTATTAATATTTGTGTATGGAGCTGAAGAGCCGCAACTGGACACCTAAACAGCCGCATGCGGCTCGCGAGCCGCAGGTTGCCGACCCTTGTACTAGTCTGTTTTCGTCTTCTGTAAAATAGAGTAACTGTAGACACTAGCTTAGAAGATTAAAGCCGATTGACCTATGTTCAAGACAGACGAATAAGTAGCCAATATCTTTCACAATAATTTAATGTGTTTCGCTTTTTGCATACATGTAATATTTATTTCTAAATTACATTTTCTGTCTACCATTAACTACTTTCAACTACCAATAATTACCATTAGTTACGATCAACTACCAGCAAATACCATCACATCTCTAAATGCTTGGTTGTGTTCTAACTGTTCCCTGACCAACATCTAACGTTACATTGTCTCCCTTGTAATTCCTCTAGAGCTCTGACTTATTACCTCCCTTGGTCACTTTCACATTGGCTGACGCTGGTATACACACATCGTACTCTCTTACACCGTGCACGTAACACACACATACTCACTCGCACACACTCACATATACACTCAAACACACTCACAGGTACACTCGCAACCATATACACATACACTCAAATATTTTGCAGGTGTTGTACGTACGCACACGTAGGCCTAGACTCACAAATACACACCCACACGCATTCACTCACTGAAAAAACACACACACAAGCGCACTCCCCCACACACCTACACCTACACTTACACATACACACACACACTAGCACATACTCAAACTCTCACACAAACTCGCTCACACTTATATACACTCACACACGCATACACATCCACTCAATCTTACATCGTGTATGTGTTACACGCACACACACACGCTCGCACACACACACACATTCGCACATACTCAAACTCTCACACATAGGCCTAATCGTACACACTTATATACACTTACATACGCATACACATGCACTCAAACTTACATCGTGTATGTCTTACACGCACACGTACGCTCACAAACACACTCACATACATTCATACACACAACCCCACGCCAGTACAATGTCCTACAACTTTTTAACATCAGAACCCCAGCCTCCAACTAAGGTTGACAAACTAGATACGAACTGTGGACCAAACTGTTACCAAAACAAGTTCCAGTCATTCCCTCCATTTGTACCATCAAAATACAGACACAAGTGATCTACAGTTCATAGAAATGTTCGCTCCATTAAGACAATATGTACCCACCTTCGTATAGCCAGTACCCAAAAGCAGAGGCAACCCAAGACAAATTAATACATCCCTCCTCTCCAAAACTAGCCCAATAAAATGTTTGATTTTCAATGTGCCATTACTAATTTTAAAAATTTAATTATCTTTTTCGCTAATGTTACAAAGTTACGGTTATTGACCCTAGTTTTAATGTAGACGTAGTATCCCTAGTAGTTGACCTACTTAAAGGTCTAACCAGAAACAGGGCCACCTAGTTATGTCATGGTGAACCACAGTACCTTACAATTCACGTGACCAGTTGTACTTTAGGTACCAAGGTGACTCACACATTAGCCTCGTTCTAAATGTAATCTTTTTCCTTACATATAATTACATTTTTTTTTATTAATTCTGCATGCCACAATATTATAAAAATAAGGTATAATAAGTTCTCTAAGGAAATGTACACAATGATTGCAAGAAAAAAAAATGTTACAAAAAAAAAATTAAATTTACTCTTGGGAAGTTGTCGGGACATAAGGCAGATGAAGTAGAGTTTAGCTGTTTCTAAGATATAGATAAATGAAGAAATAACGTAGTCAGAACCGTGCCCAGACGATTTTACTTTCCCAATCGTGCGCTTGGTACCCATTAGTGCTGAATGGACCCACGGACTTTCTACGGATACAAGACCTGGATTTGAACTCGAGACTTTGGGTTAGCAATCGCAGGCTCTACCATCCAACCACAAGGTCCAGCTACATGCAAAAAGGCGGGAAATAATTACATACACACAGTAGCACTATGGATGTATTCGTGTCTTATCATGTGTCGAACACACATCTAATGTGCTATTTTGTTTTCTATATTGTCTAAACTTAACCGATAAATTATGCTAATTAACTGTCCGGTTAAATAAAGTTTAGGTAATTAACAGCGGATCGTTTGCTTACTCAATAACACCACTAATTACTTTCTTTAAGCCGTGTATAAATACTGGGAGAAAAGCCACGATGAATCAAGTGATTCTGGAGAGTAACCAAGATGGCGTCTTCTACATTCGTTTTCATGTGCTTGGCTCTAGGAGTGGTCGTTGTAAGGGGACAAACAGGCCCCTCCCCCACGGGTAAGTAATTTTTATGATAATTTTTTTTGGAGTTGCCCTTGTAAGCGGGACAGTCCCCTACCCCGCGGGCGAGTTGGTTCTTACTGTAACTGAGGACAGAAGCTAGGGCCATCGTCTCAGACTGCAAGCATGATGGTATACTGGGCTCTACTGCAAGCATGACGGTAGACTGGGCTGTACTGCAAGCATGATGGTATACTGGGCTCTACTGCAAGCATGATGGTATACTGGGCTCTACTGCAAGCATGACGGTATATTGGGCTCTACTGCAAGCATGATGGTGTACTGGGCTCTACTGCAAGCATGATGGTGTACTGGGCTCTACTGCAAGCATGACGGTATACTGGGCTCTACTGCAAGCATGATGGTATACTGGGCTCTACTGCAAGCATGATGGATCAAACAGCTTGAGAGTTAGCAATAGCTGGCAGTAGAGTGTTTGATTGAGCTCACAGCGCAGGCAGAATATCGGACATTCAGTTTATGATAGGCAGCCGATAATGGGGTCAGCACTATACCCAGCCTCCTTTACTTTCCTCAACAAAAGTCAGGTACCCAATAGAGCTGGGTTGACTCATATTCGTCGTACACACTCAAGCTCAGGATCCGAACTCGAGACGTTCGGGTTAGCAGTGGTGTGACTACGCCGTCCCAGCTTTGTAATTAAGCTCTGAGTTCTTGACCTGGGTTTGGTCAGAGCGGACAATAGAACGATTATGAAGGGTTCGGTGAGTGCGCATTTGAAACTGATAGGATTCGGTACCGCCAAAAGGTTAAAAACCACTACATTAGACGAATGTTCAAGTTTGCGAATATATTATTTAAACAAAGTCTTTACAATTCAAACGATCTATTGACCACCACTGATTAAACAAAATCTGTACACATCAAACTATCTACTGACCACCACTGATTAAACAAAATATGTACACATCAAACTATCTACTGACCACCACTGATTAAACAAAATCTGTACACATCAAACTATCTACTGACCACCACTGATTAAACAAAATCTGTACAAATCAAACGATGTATTGACCACCACAAATTAAACAAAATCTGTACACATCAAACGATGTACTGACCACCACTGATTAAACAAAATCTGTACAAATCAAACGATGTATTGACCACGATTAATTAAACAAAATCTGTACAAATCAAACGATGTATTGACCACGATTAATTAAACAAAATCTGTACACATCAAACGATGTATTGACCACGATTAATTAAACAAAATCTGTACAAATCAAACGATGTACTGACCACGACTAATTAAAACCACCTGACGATTCCAGCGGTGCCCTCAGACAAGCTGCTCCGGTTCCTGCACATCGTGAGCGGGTACCAGTCGGGGGAGAAGCAGGTGGCCCAGGACAAGAAGAAGAACGTCCCCAACCCCCACCCCCTTGCTGAGAGCTACGCCATCCCCGTGTATGTTCCAGTTCTAGGCGAGGTGAGTGATGTGTGATCTAGGCGAGGTGAGTGATTTGTTATCCAGGCGAAGTGAGTGATGTTTGATGTAGGCGAGGTGAGTGATGTATGATCTAGGCGAGGTGAGTGATGTATGATCTAGGCGAGGTGAGTGATGTATGATCTAGGCGAGGTGAGTGATGTATGATCTAGGTCTGGTGAGTGATGTATGATCTAGGCGAGGTGAGTGATGTATGATCTAGGTCTGGTGAGTGATGTATGATCTAGGCGAGGTGAGTGATGTATGATCTAGGCGAGGTGAGTGATGTATGATCTAGGCGAGGTGAGTGATGTATGATCTAGGCGAGGTGAGTGATTTGTTATCAAGGCGAGGTGAGTGATGTATGTTCTAGGCGAGGTGAGTGATGTATGATCTAGGCGAGGTGAGCGATTTGTTATCTAGGCGAGGTGAGTGATGTATGATCTAGGCGAGGTGAGTGATGTATGATCTAGGCGAGGTGAGTGATGTATGATCTAGGCGAGGTGAGTGATGTATGATCTAGGCGAGGTGAGTGATGTATGATCTAGGCGAGGTGAGTGATTTGTTATCAAGGCGAGGTGAGTGATGTATGTTCTAGGCGAGGTGAGTGATGTATGATCTAGGCGAGGTGAGTGATTTGTTATCTAGGCGAGGTGAGTGATGAATGATCTAGGCGAGGTGAGTGATGTATGATCTAGGCGAGGTGAGTGATGTATGATCTAGGCGAGGTGAGTGATGTATGATCTAGGCGAGGTGAGTGATGTATGATCTAGGCGAGGTGAGTGATTTGTTATCAAGGCGAGGTGAGTGATGTATGTTCTAGGCGAGGTGAGTGATTTGTTATCAAGGCGAGGTGAGTGATGTATGATCTAGGCGAGGTGAGTGATGTGTGATCTAGGCGAGGTGAGTGATTTGTTATCAAGGCGAGGTGAGTGATGTATGATCTAGGCGAGGTGAGTGATGTATGTTCTAGGCGAGGTGAGTGATTTGTTATCAAGGCGAGGTGAGTGATGTATGATCTAGGCGAGGTGAGTGATTTGTTATCAAGGCGAGGTGAGTGATTTGTTATCAAGGCGAGGTGAGTGATTTGTTATCAAGGCGAGGTGAGTGATGTATGATCTAGGCGAGGTGAGTGATGTATGATCTTGTCGAGGTGAGTGATGTATGATCTAGGCGAGGTGAGTGATGTATGATCTAGGCGAGGTGAGTGATGTATGATCTAGGCGAGGTGAGTGATTTGTTATCAAGGCGAGGTGAGTGATGTATGATCTAGGCGAGGTGAGTGATGTATGATCTAGGCGAGGTGAGTGATTTGTTATCAAGGCGAGGTGAGTGATGTATGATCTAGGCGAGGTGAGTGATTTGTTATCAAGGCGAGGTGAGTGATGTATGATCTAGGCGAGGTGAGTGATGTATGATCTAGGCGAGGTGAGTGATGTATGTTCTAGGCGAGGTGAGTGATGTGTTGCATATTTATTTATATCAGCTGTGTAATAATAACTATCTTCTTCTGTTTATTTATGTTAAATTTTATGCATTCCAGAGCATACGTTATTTATTTTCCTATAAAAATGGCATCTAGCTGACCGCCCCTATAAGTTTTAGACGCATGCATCTCTTCCCCCCCCCTTTCCCCTTTTTCACTATACTCTCTGAACATGTCTTAGGTATAATCCAACCAGTGGCGTAGCGAGGTCGGTTGTCACCCGGTGCGGCACTTAATGGTGTCACCCCCCCAGAGGCGTAGCGACCCTTCCCGGGGACAAACTTTCAAATTTTCGATTTGCACCCCCCCCACCAAAATTTCGATTTGCACCCCCCTCGAACTTTTGATTTGCCCCCCCCCCCCTCCCTCAAGTTTTTATGCTATATATTTTACTATTTTTTGCCTTGGTGTCACCCCCCTAAATGGTGTCACCCGGTGCGGTCCGCACCCCCAGCCCCCCCCCCCTCGCTACGCCTCTGAATCCAACAGATATTCATTGGCTTCTGTGATCTTATGTTAAACACTGACATAGCTTTCAGTAGCCCGTATCGTCCTAACCGGCGTTTGTGTTCGTTTTAAATAATCCATCACTTACATCATTTAAATACTAACAACCAATCGTTGTTTTTACTGATGGCATGTGTGTGTTGCCAGATTTTTAACCACAATTCTCGCCAATTCATGCCTCCCCCCCCATGTCTGCCACAGATCCCCGCCTTCTATATGGAAGAGTTCATCAACAAAGTCTCTATTCGCCGTTACATCACGACCGTCATCGAAAACCAAGATGGCAACCTCATTGTGACACCTTACAACATCACCGTTGATGTCAAACTACAGAAGTCAGTGAACATGTGTCTTGTATTTTTGTCATGTATATCATCATTCATTTTCTTAGTAAGTTTTCGCTAATCGCTTGTTTAATCTTATAGTGACTTAGGACCATTGGATATAACAATGACCATGTATTTGTAAACTTACCACTAAAATGAATAATATATATTAGCTGACCCTTTTTATTTTCTACTTTTCAGTACTTCATTATTAGTGAATTCGACGACAATGAAAATATCAAGCAGAACTTCTTATTTCTCTTTAGTTTCAAATCTTTTAAAAACTAAATTATCTGCCGCTAATAATAGTCGTTACTAATTCGACCCGGCTCCACGGTGGGTGGTAGCTATATGCCTGGAGAGCGGGGGAGTAACAGCGTGCGTTTACGTGGTGTCTCGCATTGTCCACAAGAAGAGAATTATATAGAGAGCTACTCCCTTAGCAATAAAGTTGATTTTGATGTAAAATTATTTCTGACCACATTACACGACTGATCATGTTACATAGTTGAGACATCTTCCTTGTGTCTATCAACTGTATGGAGAGAGGGGGAAGGGGTGGGCTTATCAACCTAAGGCCCAAGCTTTGGACCTTGATTTCCCAAGGGAGGTCATCCAATCGTCCATCTCACTATGGAGCCATTTATTTATTTATTTATTCATTACAGACTACATAACTGCGAATGGTGATTCAGTGTTGATCCAATTTTTTCAGAAATGGAGTTTTGGATACAAACGTACTCTCTAACATCATCCAATTGTTTCAGAAATGGAGTCTTGGATACAAACGTAATCCTTAACCTCAAGAAGGAGGACCTGAGCGACAGCGGCAGGAACTGTGATGGCATTTACTACGAGGTTTCCAAAAACGAGTTCATCGGCCTCTTCCCCGACTGTTCCCAGAGCCTTGAGGCGGTAAGATGATACGGCATAGCTGTCAAGTTGGGATAGGTAGCCTATATGATGTGGCATAGTTGTCATGTTGGGATATGTAATCTAGATGATGTGGCATAGCTGTCAAGTTGGGATAGGTAGCCTAGATGATATGGCATAGTTGTCAAGTTGGGATAGGTAGCCTATATGATGTGGCATAGTTGTCATGTTGGGATATGTAATCTAGATGATGTGGCATAGCTGTCAAGTTGGGATAGGTAGCCTAGATGATATGGCATAGTTGTCAAGTTGGGATAGGTAGCCCAGATGATGTGGCATAGTTGTCAAGTTGGGATAGGTAGCCTAGATGATGTGGCATAGTTGTCAAGTTGGGATAGGTAGCCTAGATAAATAGCTCCCACTTTGGGATAGGTAGCCTAGATGATGTGGCATAGTTGTCAAGTTGGGATAGGTAGCCTAGATAAATAGCTCCCACGTTGGTATAGGTATCCTAGATGATGTGGCATAGCTCCCACGTTGGGATAGGTAGCCTACAATCATCAATAAGAACATATAAAATTGATGATATTTAAAGCCATAACACCATTCATTGACTTATCACACTTTAGCAATTGTTACACCAGTTCCAAGATAAAAGAACTCATGATAAATTATTTCAGACAATTTATCCCAGAGACATAAGTTAGAAGTCGCTTTTGTTTTATAAATTTTAATTTTCTCAAATGCGTCTCTAATGCAATGAAAACAATGCCTTTCTCTGCGCAGAATAACCCCAAATACTTTGGATACTCCAACTGCCACTACTCAGTCGGCATTGTGGCCCACCCTGGAGCTAAGGAGGGCGTCCACCCTGTTCCTTTCGAGCTGAACAAAATCAGGAAACCGTAAGTAGCTGCCAGAATCATGGGCGCTGTCGGGAACTTTTTAAATACTTAACTTGTTCAAGAATATCGACACAGTCATAGTGGTTTAAGCTATGTTAGCATTTTATAATATAAATTTAAGTTAATGTTAACAAAAGTGTAGGGAAATGTTACATTCTAGTAGTGTTAAATGGGAATTGGAGTGGTATGGCGCAATAACATATTGCCTTTTATTTTCTTTATTCTTGTTTGTGCAAGATTTAGAATTATGTTATGAAATCATTGACCCTAGTGTAATATATGGCTGCTTTATAATGGGTTCTGATCAACGTATGCAGATACAATTTCATTAAAATCATATATTATAAAATACTTAAATACTTCATGACTAATGGAGAGTTTTTTGTGAATCATACAAGTGTTACATAGCATGTTAGGTTTATGGTAGTATGATATATTTTTCAGATGTAAAGTATGTGCACAATTCCTAACATTCGATTTATTGTTAGCACAATTTTAGCTGACGTAAAGAATGTTAAGATTCCTCTAGACCTAAAGATACCTTGGGCAGATGAGGTAGAGTTCGTATGTTTCTTACTTCGGAATATGAAGGAATAATGTGGTCAGCAATATGCCCAGCTGCCTTTACTTGAACCCGGAATTGAACTCGAGTATTTCCGGTTAGCAGTATAACGCTCTACCGCTAGGCCACGCCATCCCATAAGTTGACGTATTACATTCAGATCAAGAAATCAAACTGAGCTTAGTTTAATGTCAAACGTCCACTCAGTGTACATCATTATTTAACCTGTGACGTCATACTTCCTCTGCAGACTCCTCCCTTACATGATGAAAGGCAACGAGAAGTTCAAATCCTCTTGTGGACCCACACCACGTGATAGGGTCATCCAATGGCCGTCTGCCTAAATTTGGTGTATGGTTCAACACTAACTAAAATTGTCAGAATTTCGTGAATTAAAAGGAAATAAAACATACCAATTGTTCTGTTCATTATTTGTTTGTAACCAATCTTGGAGTACACACTAGAAAATACGGCTGCCTTTCAGATTGTTCCTGGAAGAATGACGTTTTAATTAAAGACTATGGAAAAGAAAGAAAGAAAAGCAGGCTAAGTCGGAGCTAGCATAATGCATAATATGTTGACACGTAATACCTAATCGTGTTGGAGAAAATGCCCTTTTAATATTATACAATTTAGAAAGAAGAAGAAGAAGAATTATTTGATGAGTAAATTTACAAAACTGAATGCACACATTTTCTTTTAAACACAATGTAAAGATGGGATGGTATATAAAAACATAGTAATATGCATTAGTAAAATGTTTACCGTTATGTTATAGGCCCATTTAACATATGTGCGATACCTCATATGTAGATCTCCCATACAGATAAATTATCAGAAGAAAGAAAGGATGTTTATTCATTTAAGTTTTTATAAAAGGTTAATAACTGTAACAATTACAAGGGAATTAAAAATTTCTGGTCTTGTAAAGTCTTTACTGTGGCGCTCACAAATAGGATATTAATAGCAAAAAATATATAACAAATATGATATTAGACAACATAAGATAGAAAACAAATATGATATTAGACAACATAAAATAGAAAACAAATATGATATTAGACAAAATTAAATTGAAAACAAATATGATATTAGACAACATAAAATAGAAAACAAATATGATATTTGACAACATAAAATACAAAACAAATATGATATTAGACAGCATAAAATAGAAAACAAATATATTAGACAGCATAAAATAGAAACAAATATGATATCAGATAGCATAAAATAGAAAACAAATATGATATTTGACAGCAATAAAGTTGAATAAACAGAAGAGAAATAGGATAAAGATTACACTAAATAGAAAACTTAAAAACCAAGCATTATTCAATCGAACACCTTGTAACTCTTTATTTTCTAGCTATTGCTCATCAATGCAGATCACTTTCTACTTCCATAGCCAGAAACAGAAGCAGGAGACAGTAAGGATGTTAGGATGTGCTGTGAATTCAGTTAACTACAATTCACGAGGTTCTATGCAGTACTAGATCTATCTTCCAACATGATGGAACTACTGCTGATATCAAAGAGATGTTCGAGTAAGGCAAGAACTATCTTTACCCAGCTACGATCAAAAGGGCTTTAGTGGGACTTAAATAGCATCAGATATGATAAAATATAACATTAAACAAATAACATAAGTTAAAAGATAACATTAAACACAAAACACATAAGATAAAAGATAACAATAAACACATTACAAATAGGATAAAAACAACATAAAACACACAACTTAAAGAAAAACAAACAGTGTTTAGGCAATAACAGACACGAGGCCCAGATCCCAACTTCATTTTTTCGGGTTACCCATCGAGAGCTCTACCACTCGACCGTCCCTATTCATTAATTGAAGATTAATTAGTTTATAGTTAGCGAGTTGACGGTGATTAAACAAAATAATTGCGGAGCACAAATTAATTTAAACATAATGTGTTGATAAAAGTTATCTAATTAACTGACATTCTTATTGCTAATATTAAAACTATAAAATGTAAGATTACATTAATTTTTGTCAATTGTGGTTTCTCGTAAACTTGTGATGGGTGGTTTAAATATTTGAAATCTTCTAATGGGATGTTTCAAAAACCACATAAAATTTTACGTTGTTTTAATGAAAATAATGTAATATCATATTTATGTTAAGTGTAGCAATTTGGTTGTGACAATAATGCATTGTAAAAATTATAAAAATTATTTATAATAATTGTTTGTTGATATAGTTAATGAAAAAGCAATCAATGATACGAACAAAGACATTATTTCGTTGTGAATTTTTATTTAAAACATAATTCTCTGCGACAAATAATCGCACAGTCACATTTTGAGTTGTCACATTTTCTAAATTCAGAATACAAAATTGTTAACCTGTAACATTTTGTAAAGTTATAAAATAGTTATACTAGTAAGCTATATTCATAAAATACCGCGTTACATTTGAGACGATTTAAATTGGATTCCGCTGGAAAATGTGTCTGTAGCTTTAACAGATCAATTGTAAAAACTTGTCTTTTATTTTTTACAAATTCTCTATCAGAATGTGCGCTTTATTTAAACAGGGCACGGTGGATCTATCCAGTCTCAATATATTTGTATTCAACAGACAATACACACACATTCACAATGTCTTTTATACAAACGCTATTAAAGTAAATATCTTGCTTTATGTATCGATAATGTTTCTCTCTTAAGGTAGTATTATACTTCCAGCACAGATTTCAATGATTCTCACATGGGATTAGGAAGACATCTAGCCCTCCCTCCACTGTTTTTTTAAAAACTAATTTCATGTTTCTTTAATTTAAATACGTTCCATTTTCTAATTGGTGGTAATCGAAATCTATCACAAATCAGTTCAATGAATGTAAAAATATAACTGTCTAAGGAAATTCAAAAGTAAATATTTTATGTACAGATTGCTGGTTCCATGGCAGAATACATAAACAACACAATATATATATATATATATATATATATATATATATATATATATATATATATATATATATATATATATATATATGGTGACAGGACAAATGATCTCAGGACAAATGATCTCAGACAAAATATCTCAGACAAAATATCTCACGGACAAATGATCTCAGGACAAATGATCTCAAGGACAAATGATCTCAAGGACAAATGATCTCAAGGACAAATGATCTCACGGACAAAAGATACCAGGACAAAATATATCAAGACAAATGATACCATGGACAAATGATCTCAGACAAAATATCTCAGACAAAATATCTCACACCTAAATTTTAATAGTGTACAGGGTGATTTTAGTTTACTGAACATTATTTTTTATTGACTGTCATATGGTCTTGTTTACTCTGTTTAATATTGTTTATATGCCTATATGATAATTGTAAGACGTTTTTGCCGTAAAAATGTGTCATATTCCACTAAACATTTTAAAATTAGGATTACTAATATAGTATGCGAAGATTAAAGAAATTTTTCGATAGATAGCATAGGTGGGCTTGCCAAACATGAGACAATCCAACCATGTCAGGTGGACGAAACTAGATCAAAGGGAATTAAATAACAATAAAGACACACCTTCGTATCAAGGTGGCCGCCCGCTTTGACGGCAGAGACATGCCTTAAGGGAAAGACATCCGCCCTCCATGACAATACAACTAACATCTAAAGTCAACAGCTATGCGTCGGTCACACCTTAGTGATCAGGTGACAAATGCTTATTTAAACAAGCAGCGGTCATCGCGAAGCTAAGTTTCTCGTAGTGTGCATGCAAACAAAGCAGTATTAGTGGTGATTACTCAGCTATGGCCTCATTAGTTACCTAGCAGAAAAATTTTCGGACATAAGGTTTCTGGTGAATTTATGTTTATAAAAGAAGTGGAGCAGCAGGGTAAATATATTTGGAAATGTGAAGTTAGAACATGTCGAGCAAGAGCTCACACAATAGATGATCACATAGTATTAGAGAGGTGTGATCATAGCGATGTACCGTCAGCAAAGAAACGTACACGTTATGTTTGGGTTTATGATGTAATAAAAACAATTTTAAGTTACAAACCTGAAGACCATTCACATTTTTGAAAAATATTTCGCGTGTTTTGAACAGTAATGTTGTGTAACTACCGTTACTTTATTTGTTTTATACATTAACATTTATCTTACCTTTTAGGCTAAGGGAGTAAGTTTGTTTTAATTTTTATTTGTTCAAATCAAATACGATTACAAAGATTAATTTTAATAAATCTTTTGATGGTTTGTTAAGTTTGATTAATTCATTTTATTTAAAATTATTATGCGTAAAAAAAGTAAACAAAACCATATTGTCAGTCAATAAAAAAAGTTCAAATCAACTAAAATCATTCTACATATTTTCAACATTTTGGTGTGAGATATTTTGTCTGAGATATTTTGTCTGAGATCATTTGTCCATGGTATCATTTGTCCTAATATATTTTGTCCTGGTATCTTTTGACCTGAGATCATTTGTCCGTGAGATATTTTGTCTGAGATATTTTGTCTGAGATCATTTGTCCTGAGATCATTTGTCATGGAACCATATATATATATATATATATATATATATATATATATATATATATATATATATATATATATATATATATATATATATATATATATCACAGGACAAAATATATCTCTACACAAAATATCTCTGGACAAAATATACCAGGACGAAGTATATATCTAAACAATATATTTCACGACAAAATACCTCAAGACAAAGAGCACCAGAAGCAATTTGTATCATACAAAACTTCCCCAAACAAAATACTAAATTATCTCAAACTCTCTCAGAAGATTTTTTTCTAAAACTATTTTCCAGAAGTTCTGACAGGCGCGAAATTCCCCCTTCAAGATTGTCCAACTCGCGACATCCGCATGTTGATCCACACGGACGTTCGCACACAGGTCGACAAAGAACGGATCAAAAACTTTGTTCAAATCTTCCAGCCTTCACTACACAACACCACCCTAAAGACCAAAACGGCTCTAGTCACTCATCAACTAGACGGGGACATCGTGAACTTAATTGACTTTAATGATTACAACTCTGGATTCGAACTACTTTTAAAAATTGACCAGCTTCCGTTGCGGAATGATACGTATGTAAAAGACGTATACGCTATGGGAAACTACTCAATCAAATTCTTTCAGGCAAATAAAAATGTTTCTCTTAACAAAACAAACATTGTGATATTTCTCACCAGGGCTAAGATTCCACATGAAACATTTCTTCCTTCTTACGGGGAATATTTTCTCCTGTATATCATAACCTTAGTGGAGATAATGGACCAGACCGGAACATCATTTTATGTAACAGATGATTTCTCAAACAGCAATTCATTATCTATGCGCTTATGCCAGAGGTGTGCGCGGGGGTGGGGTGTGGTTGTAAGTCTGAAAGACGAACTGATTTCTTGCTACAAGATAGAAATGTCAGGAAAACTTGAAAGTCATGACACCGCTTTTGAGCACTGTTACAGTCTGCACTCTAAATTATTGGAAATATCAACAAACGTGAAATTTCAACTGTATAAACAGTCGTTGTCTGAGAATTTGAACCGTTATTTTACAAATTACACCAGTTTGTTTGTTCATGTCGGGATATGTGAGAATGGTCTCACGCAGTTTACGTGGTATAACAAACAGCCCTACAGCTTCAACAGCCGCGGGCCTGAGGTAAACAGCACACAGGACTGCCTGGGGCTGCAGCTCCAGAGGCTGGGGGTGGGGGAGGAATATGAAGTGTCTTGGGTACAGGTTCCCAGACAGGAGGCTAATACAAATGTTATCCTATGTGAGGTTGATTTAAGCGGGACCTTGTATGATGGCGTCTACCATTTCTCCACCGATTATTTTTACCAAATGTATTTAAAGTGAGTATATTTTGAATGTCATATATATATATATATATATATATATATATATATATATATATATATATATATATATATATATACATGTATATATATATATATATATATATATATATATATATATATATATATATATATATATATATATATATATATATATATATATATATATATATACATATATATATATATATATATATATATATATATATATATATTGTAACTGTAAAACGTCATCCTAGCACATACTGTCTCATACTTGACAAAATATCCCAAAGACATCACGAGAAGATATCACAAAGACAAAGTATAGTCTAAACAAAATACACCACAAAGACATGGTATAGTCTAAACAAAATACACCACAAAGACAAAACACAATCCTTACAAAATATCTTCTACTATTATCTATATGAAACACTTAAATTAGTGACATTTCAATTAGTATCATGCAATTTTACTGTTTCGTTTTCTTACAGTTTATTTTGTAATTTAATTTTGGTATCAGATCCTTAAAAAATTACGTTCGTAGCTACATCCCCTCCGAAAACAAGAGCTACTTCGCCTGCAAACATCACCTAACTACAGCAGACTCCAACGACCGACTACCCTATACATACGTGTGCGATGGAATTAAAGATTGTGCCAACAGTGAAGACGAATTAATATGTACCCACTCAGGTGTCGATTGTGAAAGTCGATTTTACTGTAAAACTTTCAGGCTGATGGCCGACAGTGTAATGGCCGACAGTGGGGTGGCCGACAGTGGAGTGGCGTGTATCCCAAACGACCAGCTCTGTGACGGCACCCAAGACTGCCTGGACAACTCTGACGAGGAAGTCTGCTGGGAATGCTGGGAGGTTCTCACACTGGACGGTGCCTGCCTCCCCACTCGGTGGTTCCATGACGTCATCGACACGGCTAATTTTTTTCACCTGAAAACTCACGAGGGCAAGTTTCGTGTGAGCTACACGTGCAACGACAGCGACTGTTTTTTTAAGAACGACACGAGTAAACCAGTCACACTATGTAACAGTACAAGTCTTTCACCTGGATATTTGGGAGGGAAATGGATAGCGCCTAGATGTATCCATCTCAAAGGTCAAATATCCATTATTTCTTTCGGTTGCCAGGATTTATCCCACTTAGACGGGTGTGAAACTTTTCAATGTCCAGAAGGAATGTATAAATGTTTTCGCGCGTATTGTATCCCAGTGTACAGTATTTACGATCGAATCGCCGACTGCCCACATGCCGACGATGAAACTGGGATAGATGTGTATGATATATTCACAGAACGTGTGATTATATGTCGTGAGGAGTACGACGCGAGGTATATTGATGCGATACAAGTGTGTGACGGTATACGACAATGTCCAGACGGCGACGATGAGTTGTTGTGTCTCACGGATTGTCCCGCGGGATTTACCTGTCAGCTCAATGTTGTCCACGTGACCAACGTCAGCGCCGTTGACGTCACGAATTTGTTCACGGCACTTGATACAAAAACAAAAGTTCTGGATGAGGCAAATCTAAATCTAACCCCCGCGTATATTCCACCGCAGCTAAATTTTATAAACCTTTTAGAAATCCGTTTAGCTAACTGCAGTCTAACCAACAATTTTATCACCAATTTGATGTTTGCGCTAACTGATAGTTTATCTACTGTATACTACATCGACCTGAGTTATAATAATATTTCGTTCGATAATTTTAAACATTTTTCTCAGTATTTAACCAATTTACGTTTTCTAAATTTATCCCACACCATCGTTGAGTCGCTGATATTTCAAATCAATATACACCCAAATCTAGAGACAATCGATTTGTCTTGCACAAAACTCACATCGATTAGGTTTGTTGCATCAAATTATGTGTTCATAAAACACCTTAACGTATCCCATACTTATATTAATGGAACAAGCTGGTTTAAACAAGGGATTATCTCTTTTGAAATATTGGATTTGCGAAAAACGAAATTAGCTTTTAATATGCTGACATCAGAATCTCTTAGAAGAATACAAGTGAAGAAAAATATCTTTGGAGACAGCTATAAATTGTGCTGCGAAAAGTTCCGTGGGTCGGGAATTCCCGTTTACACGTGCAAAGCGCCAAGTGACGTCATTTCATCGTGTGAGAATCTACTGGGTTATGTTGTGAAGCGTACGCTGATTTGGTTGGTGGCGTTGGTAGGTTTTGCTGGAAATGCTGTTGTAGTTGGATACAGAGTTTTCTATGAAAAAAATATTCAAACACAAGGTTTTCGGTTGTATGTAACTAATCTTGGGTTCTCAGATTTTATCATGAGCATCTATCTTACACTGATCGCAGGAACTGACGTGTTTTATCGTGAGAAATACGTTCTGTATGATTCTATGTGGAGGGGTAGTTCGCTTTGTAAAGCTGCAGGTTTTCTTGCTACTCTCTCCTGCGAGGCTTCGACAGCCTTTGTGTTTCTCATCACGTTAGATCGGGTTTTCGTGTTCAAAGATCCGCTCCACCAACCGAACGTCCGAGAGAGCACCCGAGTGACCGTCGTTAGCCTAGTCTGGGCGTTGGCTGTCTTCATCGCTCTAGTCCCTGTTCTGTTCCCAGACTGGCAGGTCTACTCGTCCAACGCCTTGTGCCTGGGTCTTCACGTCAACCCGACTCACAATTCCGGATGGATCTTTTCCCTAACCATCTACATCGTCGTCAACTTCATCATCATGCTGCTGGTGATTGTGGGGCAAGTTCTGATCTTTAAATTTATTTCCGTGTCCTCGAGTTCTCAAATCATCTCGTGTGTCCAGAAAAAACGCGAGATCACGGTGGCCAAAAACCTGTCTCTGGTTGTCGTGTCCAATGTCCTGTGCTGGGTTCCCATCTGCACGGTGGGGCTACTGTCGGCAGTGGGGTACAGCTTCAGCCCCGACACCTACGGCTGGCTGGCTGTGGTTGTCTTGCCGCTTAACTCAGCCGTCAACCCGATACTCTATACTCTACCCCCAGCGTATCAAAAACTTTTAGAAATAAAAAATCGTCGGAATTTTTTTACTGTCGGCAGTGGGGTACAGCTTCAGCCCCGACACCTACGGCTGGCTGGCTGTGGTTGTCTTGCCGCTTAACTCAGCCGTCAACCCGATACTCTATACTCTACCCCCAGCGTATCAAAAACTTTTAGAAATAAAAAATCGTCGGAATTTTGTAACTTCTAATTGAATAACGCCAAACATTCCTCGGTGAATTATTTTTAAATTTTACAATTAAAATTAAAGTAATACCCCGATAAATTGATTATAATTGTTGATGTTATTTTACTACATTGGAGAATTTTTAGTTAGAGGAAAATGCCATTAATTGTTTCATAGATTAGTTTTTAATTTTCTAATTTGAACTAATGGTATTCGCTTTATGTTATTGCAGGTAGTGCAATGCTGTTTTTTTCTTCTATTATAATCTACAGGAGTATTATACGAAAACTGATTCAGAAATACTGAAATAAACGTTCATTAGATAACCCTGAACTGACTGTAATTAAATGAGACAACTAATTTCATAAGAAAACGATCTAAATAGCTTTAATAGACCAATCAATTTTGGAGCATCCGAGCGGGGAAAGGTCAATTTAGATATTGATAGCGTCGGTCAGACTTTTTTTTTTTTCGAAACTTTAGTAGTACTCGTTTTGTAGAGTCTAATTCTGTGGCCAATAATGCTAATACTCTAATTGTCCACGCTTCAAATATCATTTCAACAAATCAGATATTATATTATTGTGTTACCAGATCAAGCAAAGGTTTGCTTACTCTAACGTATTGATAAATGGAGATTTTCGCATTATCGTAAAGGTATTTGATATTTATTTCTCTTCTATGTATAATATATTGACTTGGTATTCAATCCAAACATTTTATTATTTTAAGCTGAATGTGAAAATTAAAAAAAAACATTGATTGTTTCCCTTTTATTTGTAGGTAACTGTCTTGTGACTCTCCGTGATTAATTTAATGAATTGTTTTTTTTTAAACTTATTGTAACCTCTTGTAAATTAAAAAAAAAATTCTCATCTTTATGTCTCTGTTGTTTTATTTTTTTTAACAGTTGTTTATTAATTTATTTTACACACAGGTCTAAGTACGCTCGTAGCGTGGACTAAAGGCACAATATAAAGAAACAATGAAAACAGTTTTAGTAGTTGTAAGATAGAATTAGTTTATTTTTTAGGATGATAAACATCTCCAAGTATGTTAGGTTTACAAGTTACTGGCAAATTAGAAAAAAAAACTAAATCTATCTGGGTATCGAAATGACCATACTATACCTTTATATGTCGAAGTCACAGAAACGGATGAACTCTAATTCGGTTGTTTGTTTTTCCCACGTTTTCTTTAACTTGCTTTCTCTGTGTCTTTGTTTGTTTGTTTGTCTTTCCAATCAAATCTTGCGATCGAAATTTCTGGCACTTCCCAGTTAGCTAGCGCGCTGAAATTTTCAGAGAAGCTTTCTTTTGGATGACCATTGAATATTCAATTGTTATTATTACTAAATTGATCAATGAAAACATTTTATTGAGCATTTTAGACCGCTATATAATCTATATATATAATTCTCCTCTGCTAGCCATTAGAAAAAAAACCAGCGACGCGTACCTCGCGCGCAGTGAAGCGAACGATCACATGTCGCCACAGGCTTAGGGGCAGAGAATTTAGCTTGAACCGAGTTTAAACTTACAGGAGGTAGGCCAGTTTGGGGGAGACGATATGGTCGAGTGGTTGGGCACACGATTGCTATCCCACTCGACACGGGTTCAAATCTATGTGTTCTAGGCAGTAACGTATTCAAACAACGTGTTTTTTACGAGTTGTCTTTTTACGAGTTGTCTTTTTACGAGTTGTCTTTTTACGAGTTGTCTTTTTACGAGTTGTCTTCGTTTACCCAAAAAAAGTGAAAAGATAAAATCGATAGCAAGATTTTAATGCAAACAAACAGACAAAGACTAAAAAGTAGAAAATAATAATCATTAAAAAAAGTTTTAAAAAACCCACGTTTTCTGATTGAACTAAAAAGTAGAAAATAAATGCTATAGGCCCTACATCACAATAATGCAAGCGATCACTCTACTATAAGCGAGCAAAAACGTGGGGCGCCGTGATTTTCTTACAGTTTCTAATACTGTTGACTCTCTACAAGCTCCCTAATAAAAGTCAATAGTATTATCTAATCAATAGTAATATAACTTTTACTTCGGCGCCCCACGTTTTTGATCGCTTATAGTAGAGTGATCGCTTGCATTATTGTGATGTAGGGCCTATAGCATTTATTTTCTACTTTTTAGTTCAATCAGAAAACGTGGGTTTTTTAAAACTTTTTTTAATGATTATTATTTTTAAATCCGATTAACTCAATGGCTTGTGGCGCCGTGACAATCGTAGAGCAGGTTTTGAATCAGAAATAGGGGCAGGAATTAATTTACCAAATTTTATTTATATATACAGTAGTAAAAGTCAAATCGCAAACAAACTAAACCTTCAAGAACTGGTTCATTTTCAAAGTTAGTTTTAATATAAAGATAAAAATAATCTCGATAAAAATAATCATTGATCTGAATTCCTATTTCTATTTAGGAAGAAAAAAATTGTTAAATGAAAAAGGGTACAAATATACACTTTAAAAACCAAACCAGGATTATTAGTTTAGTATGAAATAAATGCTACATAATTAAGACAGGTTTAGCTATCACGAAACAACTTGATATTAGGCATATAAATCAAGCGCACTTTTGCTCACAAATGTAGAACATTTGGTTTTGAATTTTTATATCTCTCCGCCCCCCTCCCCCCCCCCCCCCACCCGCCAAGCTCACTAAAATGTTTCCGGTGTTGGTTTACACCTGTGGAAAACATTAAATTATTATTTACGTTTATGTTTCTTTTCCGCAAACTAATCGTGGATCTTGTTTTTTTTTAAATACACCTCTAGACTTTTGGTTGTAGCTAGTGTATATAAAATTATAATTCTGTCTTCACGATTTTAGTTTCGTGTTTTAAAGATAGACCAAGTTAACAGGACGGGGTTTAGGGTAGAGGGGAGGGGAAACACCAGCACGTGAAGCCATCCTATGGTGCCAGGGCTGGCTGACTGTCCAGCGGCTGACCGGAGTCCTGGGACACAGATGGACATCACACAAATCACGTGACTTACACCAATCAACGCCACCGTTTTGGTGACCTTGACCTCGCTGTCAACGTCTTCAATAGAATTGAAGAATGCCGTGTTATCAAAGAAAAGAGTTTTGAATATTAAGACAAGTGTAATCACAGTATTCAGCATCGACACTGATGGTATGGTAATGTAAAGATTAAAGGAATAAAACCATCCATCTCCTGAGGAAAGAGAGAAAGGTAAACAAAGACACATAGCGTTTGACGTGAAAATCTCGCAGTTAGCGAACGCTAAAGAGGTAATGGCGAGAACAAAAGCAAAAACCCACACACAAATTGAGCTCGACACGTAGGTAACTACTGAGAAAAGCCGAGAGGTTGCTGGGTATTTTAGAACACAATATCGGTCAAAGGTCATCACCATGGTGAACATAGCCGAGGCTACGTGTGAGAGAGTAGCGAGAAAACCGGCAACTCTACAGAGTGGTGTACCTCGCCATTCAGTCTCATGCAAGACGTAGACACCTCGGTAGTAGACATCCGCCCCTGATATAATCAACGTAAAGATGTTCATCAAAAGATTAGACACAGATAGATGTAGAGTATACCACCTAAACCCGTGTAAAGACACTTTATATGGGTAGGTAGCTCTGAAGACAATAACTATTGTATTACCTATTATACCAATCAAACCAGTTACCATTAGTAATATGCGATGGGTCAGACTTGAAATCAAATCATCGCATGATGAAATTGGGTCGTCTGGGGCTGAACATTTATGTGGGGGGATCCCCTCCCCACTAAATGCTGGGCAGCATAGCTTAAAGCTATCCCCGAAGATGGCGGTCTCGATTGTAAACTTTCTTAAATATCGAGCCGTCTCCAAATCGTAGATAATTTTTGTATTTCTCAAGTCAAAAATGCCAATCGTCGTGTCGTAATTTGACCAGTTCAAAAGTTTTATTTTTGTGTGGCTTAGGTTTAAGTAATTTATTTCAACTTGACGTGGGTCGCTACTATAGTGCTTTAATGTCATTGATGGAAGTTCTGTGAAAGAAAAATCGTATAAGAAAATCGGATTAAAATATTTGATGTGAAAGGTTTTGAGCTCGGTATGTGAAAGATTGATGTTTATAGACGTAGGTGGAAAGGATAGCAACTCTGGTAATTCACCTACGTTAATGTTGTTATAACTCAGATCCATTGCTTGCAACTTGGGAGAATTAGCATGGAACGCTGATGCTATCTTTGCGAGAATAGTATTGTTCAAGCTACAGTTAGATAACCGAAGTTCCATCAGTTCCACAGGGTAGTCAATATCTTTAATAACAACGTCTCTCAAATCCAGATCAGAGAAATCTACAACTCTAGCATTGGCGTCTATGTTGTCAAATAAATTAGTTTTGTTGACTTGACTGCGGTCTGTAAGGTATGTGACACCGAAATGACATGTAAACCCTGATGGACATTTGCTGAAACAGTGGCGCTCATCGTCACCAGTCGGACATTGGGGCAGACCATCACAGACGTGGGCGGGGTGGATGAGGACCCGGGAGTGGCGACACGCAAACAAGTTGGGGGAGTAGATGTCCTGGTAGCTGTAGGACCCCTCGTCCTCTCCGTGAGGACAGTCCTTGATGCCGTCATTCACCATGTAAAACGGGATACAGTAGGACAGAGGACATTTAAACAAACCTTCAGAACACACGAAATGTTCACAATTTGATAAATGAGACATTTTTGAACAGCCGAAAGGTTTTTCTGTGTATCTGTATTTGAAATAAACACACAGCACCACCCATATCATTCTATTGTCTTGTGTACGACAGTACTGAAGTGTTTCATACTTTCTCATACTTTCAGAAAATCCTTGTTTATATAAGCAATCAGTGCTGTTACAGGATAATAAAACAGACTCTACCTTTTTTATTTCATCATGTGAAATTGCCAGATTCCGAGTTTCAGTTGAGAAGAAGTATCTGTGCTCTTGATAAAACCACTGACTAGGCAGACATGTCCCATCCTGTAGTGTAGTTTCCTTGCAGGAGAAACAGTTTTGTTCGTCCTGTTTTTCTGGGCACTGGAATATCCCATCACACACGTAGACGTTACTGATGCAGAACTTTGAGAAAACGCCAGTTGCTCCAGTGGTTTCTGAACAAACAAACCGACGATAGCAGTCATCGCTGTTCTCGCCTGCTTGGTCGTGTTTGTTGAGACAGTCGCTGACTCCGTCATTCACAAAAGAATATGGGATGGATTCTTGATAGTTTCCGCATTGAAATAACCTTACATTTTCATACAGTGGATGTTCGTTCTGTACTGTAGATGTTATCTTTAAATGGTGTCCGACACTTGGATCAAATTTCCTTAACAGAGCGTGCGTGACGTCAAATTCGCAGATAATTAGATTGGCGGTGTGTGTGTTAGAGTACACGTGCATCCAGGCAGCGTGGGAGTGGGTTTTGTTGAAGGTGAGCACCAAAACAAAACACAAATCCTGAATGTTGTTATTTATCTCGGAGTAGCCGACGAAAAAGAGGTCGCCGCTTTGCCATGCAGAAAACTGGGGTTGTCGGGAATAAAGTTTACACAGTGCTGTGTTTAGTGTGAACTTCCTAACCGAAGAATCGTTGAAATGGCTATCTTGAAAACTATGCACTAATTTAGTTAAGAATTGTATCTCAACATCTGTTTCCATGGAAACGACGTGTGAGTGTAACTGTTTACATCTAGCGTCAGCCTGTTCGTGGTTGACCAGTTTATCGGCTACTTCTAGCTTGTAACATGAAATAAACCACGGGTTGGATTCTCTCTCAAACCCAACCCAACCCGGGATACACTGTCCACAAATTGAGGCAGATATAAACTGATTTTCTGACAAATCATCCGATTTTGAAATGACGGCGGCGTTTTGATATTTTTGTACTCGCCAGTCGATCTGTTCGGACTTAGCCACTGTAATCAGGTACGTGTTAATTGATGCTGTCTGGTGCTGGTTCGATTCCCCATCACCTTCACTGACGTCATGAACGGGCGGAACACAGTACTCACACACGATTATAATCACCTGTGTATTATTAACACGCTTTACCTGATTCCTCTGAAAGTACCTTAGTGAAATAACCTGCGCACTTGCTAGAGACTGGACATTTTTGTCTTTGAACGTGTCCAACTTCTCTGTCCGATGCAGCAACTCTGATGAGCTGTTGTAGTCGTCAAATCCAATCAACGGCTTGGTGTTGGTGGTGGTTAAGAACACAGCCACCCTGCTTCTCATAGCATCAGCAACAACTGCTGGTAAAAACAGTTTCACTAAAGATTTGAGTCGAGCCTTTTGTAAGCTGTCTATAGAAGCTACGTGAAGTGCAACTAGCGTCTCACTGCCTCTACAGTCCTTGATAGGGAACTGCATGCGTACGTCTGGGAAAAATAGATTAGACAAACATCAGATACATTTCTTTCATTTAAAAATGATATCAAATCCACACGAAAAACAAAGTTAAATCTAATTCATTAAATCTAGAACATCTAATTTAAAAAAAAATGTTGATACTGCTCACCTTGTATTATGCAGAAGTACAAAAGTAAATAGAACAGCTTCATTCTTATATTAAAGCCTTCAACTTATTTATCATATTAACTACCGCATCAGAATCCAAATTCAATCCACAATACATGTAAGCCTTTTTAGAAAAATCTAGATGCACTCCTTAAGGATACCAAATTATCACTCTCATAAAGACATCAAATGTGGCTATCTCGGAAATATTTTAAATGTATCTAATATTACAATACATTCAATAAATCATAAAGACGGCCACAAATTGTGTCGTTAAAATATTATTTCTTTACTTAATATCTAACACAAAGCAAAACCGCTTCATAAATAAGTTGATTAAATAAAAAATTATAAAAAATATTTTTTTAATTCAACAACCATTTCAGAGAAAGTACTTGCGTCGATTGGGCGACTCATTGTAATTAGCATTACAAAGTGAAACAAAAAACATCACGATTTACTTAATTGGACATTGTAATTATTAGGTGTAGTGGTAACTGTTTTTAAATTAACAAAATTTTAAAGTTTATCTTTACAAAAAAAAATACACTGTTAAAAAACTAAATATAAATTAGGTATTATAAGTTTGTATATATATATATATATATATATATATATATATATATATATATATATATATATATATATATATATATATATATATATATATATATATTACTAATACTAACTATGAACTGTAAAATAACAAAGGAAACAAAATCAATTACGCATTTTAAAGACATTTATTCTGTAGATTAAGTAAAACATTTAGCTACAATTTCAACACGAAATCAATTAATAAAATTTTAATCACCCAATAAAACAAAAGATTCGCGTTAGAAAAATAGCTGACAACGTCAACATAGACACGCCTTCTGATTGGCTGACTGCCAGCGCAGAGTTGCCACATTGGCCAGTGGGCTCTAGGACCTGCTCCTGTGCTGGTCTGTAGACGTGGACAGTGACCGAGTTGTCCGTGTTGTAGTCGTCTTGACAGTAGCCCGGCAGTATGGGCTGAGCGGGAATTCCCAGTCTGTAAAAATAAAACAGCTAGTTTCATGGGGTGTAAGGTTATACAATAATACAATGTCCATATTAGACTATTAGTAGTTTTACTTATTGTAAGTAATGCTATTCTGTGTCTGTATAAGTAGAGTTTTATTTGCTGTGCCCATATTAGAAGAATGATGTTTGCTTTCATGTATTAGATTAATGTTACTTGTTGTGTCTATCCTAATATATAAATCCCCACGTTCGCACATCTCTCTCTCTCTCTCTCTCTCTCTCTCTGTCTGTCCGCAAAATATTTTCGCCGGACATCACGTCAGAATCGGCAGCGATATATGAAGAACTTTTTACGGACTTTTGTTGAAAATAATATGTTAGATGTTTTAAATGTATAACCACAATTTTAGTTAAAGAAGAAAAATAAAAATTAAAGGCGTATTCGAATGTAGAGAAACAGTATTATTTATGCAACCGGAAAAGCATTAATATATGTGAAAAAGAACGCATAAAACTGTGACGTCTGTAACGTCCCCTATCTATCAGCCAAATAGAAGGTGAACGTCCCCGGATTCTTTTTTCGGGGTTATATGCAAATGCCGTACGGCTTAAATGGATGAATACTAACACAACGGCACACTAGGGCTCGAATTCGATGTCTAGGGGAAACTAGTGATACTATTGTAATTAACACTCATCCAATCTACATACAACCTTTAATCAGCGAACACAGTTGTGGCAGAACACAAGGTGAAACTAGATAAAATATTTAATGTATAAAATATCAAAACCCAACTTACAGAGTGTAGGAAAAAACACTATCACAGATTTCTACACTGCCTAAAATAAATAGCCACAGGCCACACAACACTGCTATAGCTTCAAGAATTACTTGGCGACAAGTAATATTATACTAGAAGACTAAATCAACTTAAGAAAGCGTAGCACACACAGGACTTAAGTTCTCTCACGTTCAAATGGTCAGAGTCTATAGCCGGACAATATGGACGGCTGCCTGATCAAGGTAAAACTGCCACGTGTGGCGAGTGTGCGGTGCAATTAAAGACTTCTGCCACAGGGGAGATTATCCTCAACTCATGTAGCCATTGGTTGGGATAGTCATCTGACCAGAATCATTCAATCAGATCTTAATGGAAAATTTCTATGTTGCACAATCACTCCATATAAGGTATTATACAATGTCAAAATAAAAATAGAACCTGACTCGACCTAAGTAGGTCACATCCCCTCCCTTTTTGGAAGTGACAGATAGGTTCCACAAAACATACATAAGGAACCAATCTGGCAATGACATAACAAAAATGTTTTACAAATGTAGGCAATCAAAATCATAAAACCAGATGAAAATATCCCTGAACATAAAAGGGAAGTAACTCAAACTTTTACAATTGGTGAAAGGGAAGTAACCCTTCAAAAAGTAATTATACATCAAAATCCCTCAGAAAAGGGTATTACAACATTTCCATGAGGATATTAAAAGTGGTAAACCCGCTAGGGTAAGACCTTTATTTCAATGACTAGCTACAATATCAACTGAGTCATGTGAGACATATTATTATAAAAGATTACATATAATCAAACACCACCTTTAATTAAGGTTCACCTGAAAATAAACAAAATATTCAACAGGATTGGAATTTTGAAAAAATCAAAAATCATACCACCCATTTTCATGTGAAAACACAACACTTGTGTATGGTCTTAATGAACCACAAAACATGTCACATGATCAATGTGTGCAATAAGATTTTACATCCTTGACAAACAATCAGCCACAACATTATCACTACCCTTAATGTGTGAAATTTCCAGATTAAAATTTTGGAAATATAAGCACCATCTCAATATTCTTTGATTTGTCTGTCCTAACTTAGAGGTAAATTTCAGGGGATCATGGTCAGGAAACACTCTGACTGGATTGGTTGAAGAAGAGACATAGACTTCAAAATGTTGTAATGACAAAACCAAAGCTAAAGCCTCTTTTTCAATAGTAGAGTAATTCTTTTGGTTCTCATTTAACTTCCTGGAAAAAAAGGCAATGGGATGGTCAATTCCCATGTTGTCTTCTTGAAATAGGACTGAGCCAATGGCTAAGTTGCTAGCATCAATGGCAAGTTTAAAGGGCTTGCTGAAATCTGGTGCAGCCATAACAGGAGCATTAGATAAAAATGACTTAATGGTTAAAAAAGCTTCTTGACATTTATTTGACCATTCAAACTCAACACCCTTTTTCAATAATGCAGTAAGAGGTTCAGCAATAGCTGAAAAGTTTTGACAGAACCGCCTATAGTAACCAGCCATCCCAAGGAACTTTTTGATTTCTTTACAATTTTTGGGAGGAGGTAACCTTACAATAGCATCTACTTTAGCTTCAATGGGCCGAACTTGGTTCGTTCCCACTTGATAACCCAAATAGGTAATTGAACCTTTACAGAAATTACTTTTATGTAAGTTTACCGTAAAATTCACTTCAGACAATTTTCTAAAAAGGTTAGTCAACTGAACAATATGTTCTTCAAAAGTATTAGAAAATACAACTATATCATCTATGTAGGCCTCACATTGGTCGATGTCAGCAATGACAGAGTTAATGACCCTCTGGAAAGTTTGACCAGCATTGCGCATACCAAAAGGCATACGTTTGTATCTATAAAAACCATTAGGGGTTACAAAAGCAGATAATTCTTTTGCACGGTCAGATAAGGGGATTTGCCAGTATCCTGAAAGTAAATCAATTTTGGAAATTATCTTAGCCTGACCAACTTTATCAATAACGTCTTCTATTCGAGGTAAAGGATAGGAATCAGCTTTGGTGAGCGCATTTACCTTCCTAAAGTCGGTCACAAACCTGAAAGATCCACCGTCTTTCGGTACTAGGAGACATGGGGAACTCCAGCTGCTGAAACTGGGCTCAATGATATCATTCTTGAGCATATAATCAATTTCATCTTTTATCAAAACAGCTTTTTCCGGGTTAACTCTATAGGGGTGTTGTTTAATGGGTTTTGCGTCACCTACGTCTACATCATGAGGTGGAACCTTCGCTTCTTTGGGGATATCCCCAAAAATAGAGGGAAATGTCTCGAATAACTGAGACAATCTATGGCTTTCCTCTGTGGACAAATGCATAAGGTGGACATTCAAATTATCTAAAAAGGAAGAATTTACCAATTTTGGGGGTTTCAATTTATCATGTATCACATCATCAGAAACATTTGAACATACAGGTAAGGTAATCTTAGCTGTGGAATGAAAATTGTTACAATTATCATAATACTTTTTCAGTGAGTTAACATGATACACTGTCTGTTTCTTTCTTCTGTCGGGCGTATTGACCACATAGTTCAAATCACTTAATTTTGAATGCACAGTAAAGGGTCCACAATATCTCAAGGATAACGCATTGTTCAGATTAGGCACTAACACAAGAACTTTCTCGCCTGGATTGAATGTTCGTTTACAAGAACTCTTATCATACAGTCCTTTCATTTTCACTTGGGCCTTCCTTAAGTTCTTGTGAGCCATCTCGCACACAGCTTTCAGTCGAACGTGAAAATCGTCAAAGTTTTCCACAAGATGATCGCTGGTACCTGTCCACCGTTCGTGTATCAGCTTCAGGGGACCATGGACAGAATGTCCAAACACAAGTTGAAAAGGAGAGTAACCTAAAGAGTCCTGGACACAGTCCCTCGCGGCGAAAATAATCCAAGGAACAGTCTCATCCCATTGGGTGTTACTGTTAGCGAACGTTCTTAGCATGGTTTTGAGGGTTTGGTGGAACCTCTCAAGTACGCCTTGAGACTGAGGGTGGTAGGCTGAGCTGGTGATGTGGGTACCGCCTAGCTTGGCTAGTGCTTCCTGAAAATGGTGACTGGTGAAGTTGCTGCCTTGATCTGTTTGCACGATTCTAGGTAATCCAAAGGTAGTGAAGAACCGGGTCATGGCTCTGACTACAGTCTTTGCCTTAATGTTCCGTAAGGGAATCGCCTCGGGAAAACGGGTACTTGAACACATAAAGGTAAGTAGGTACTCGTTGCCCGCCTTGGTTTTAGGCAAGGGACCTACACAGTCCATGACGATTTTAGAAAAGGGTTCTTCTAATACAGGAATCGGACTCAAAGGGGCCTTAGGAATTGTCTGGTTTGGCTTTCCGGCCAACTGACAGTTCGTGCAACTTTTACAGTAACGCGACACATCATTTCTCATTTTGGGCCAAAAGAACAGTTCTTTGATCTTCGCTGTCGTTTTAGAGACTCCTGGGTGCGCTGACATTGGATGGTCATGTGCCAGCTTAAGTATTTCATGCCGATAAGGTGGAGGGACCCACAGCTGGTTTTTACCCAACCATGGTTCGGCTGGTGAGGCATTCACTGGTATAGCGCGACGAAAGAAGAGGCCGTTCTCGGAGAAATATTCTCCATCGTCAGATGATAGAGATTTTTCGACCGCTGCTTTGAGTTCCGCGTCGACTTGTTGAGCTTTAATGATGTCTTCCTGAGATATTCTCAGGGGTAAGCCCAGGCTTGTGTTTTCTGGAAGCATAGACTCCAATTTGGGAGTCGAATTTCTTGACGATGATGGCGGGTGTGGTTCAGACGTTATGTCAGCCAATTGTTTGGTCTGGCTCCTTGTCACCGCACATGCAGGATACAGTTCATTATCATTATCTGGAACTGTTGACAAAGGGTTTGAAACCGTACAGGGGTATACTTTGCTTCCCGCAAGGTCATTCCCTAGAAGTAGGTGTACTCCTGGGACAGGAATACTATCTATCACACCTAAAATGACCTCACCTTCGACGAGATGATGTTTCAGAGCAAACTTGTGTAAAGGGACGACAGTTGATTTTGTCCCCACTCCCTGGATAATGGAAATCCTTTCGGTGTTCGTCTCTGGTGTAATGTCCATTGAACTTTTCAAAAGGAGTGATTGTGACGCTCCTGTGTCTCTTAGGACGGTGATATTCCGCTGAGACAACGGATCACCTGGTTTGCTAATGATGGCTTCGGCAATAAAAGATGAAAAGTCAACTTTTCTCGATCCCTCGAGATCGGTAGACTCGGAAGAAACTGGATGGTGGCGAGAACAGTCAAAATGTGACTGCACATAATGTGTGGAGACTTGACTACCTTCTTGCGGACACTTAGGGTTAGCGTCCCTTGGAATTCTAGAGTTCATATTTGAACCGGCAGCTTGAGGGGGTAGAGCATAGTGCGCAGAAGTACGCACCACCTCTCTGTTATATTGACGACGTTTGTAACAGTCCTTGACATGATGACCAGGTCTTTTGCAGAACTGGCAAACTGCTCGACGATTGAGAGTTGATCTTGGTTTCTCTCTGGACTGTGATGCCTTCACGTATTGGCCAACAGGAGGATTGCTGCCAAAAAGGGGAAGCACGGGGTTGAGGCGGTTTCCTGACACTGGTGGTTTCTTATGCACCAACATATATGTGTCAGCCGACTCAGCAGCCTTCTGGATGTCAATTATCTTGTTATCCAGTATGTGTAGTCGTATCTCTTCAGGCAGGGACGATAGGAATTCTTCCCTAAGGATAAGTGACCTGAGTTTCTCAAACTCAGAAACTTCTTCAGAGTGTAGCCACCTTGAGAATATTTTCTCCTTTTCAAAGAGAAATTCCACATATGATTGAGTGGGTAACTTGCGGAGTGTTCGGAATTTTGTCCGATAGGCCTCGGGCGTCAGTGCGTAGGCCTTCAAAATGGCAGTCTTGACCAAACTATAGTTATTTTGAACGTCGTGAGAGAGTGCCTGGTATGTTTTTGCAGCTTTCCCAGTAAGGACCGAGCTCAATAAAGCAGTAATGGAAGTTTCGGGCCATTCACATGTCTTCGCTAAACTCTCAAATGAGTTAAAGAAAACGACCAAATCTGTTTCATCAAATTTAGGAACTAATTTCCCAAATTTGGCAATCACTTGCCCTACCGACAACTTTTTTGGATCTACCAGAGAAGTGACATCACTAACTTGACCAAACTCTAATTCCAACCTCCTCTTATCTAAAGCAATTTTAGCCTCTAACTCCTGTTTCTCTAAAGCAACTTTCTCCTTCTCTAAAGCACTTTTAGTTTCAAACTCCTTTTCTTTTAACAAAAGCTCCCTCTCTTCTAGAGGTTTCTCCTCGCGAAGTAACACATCCGCCAACAAACTTTCATCAAATACACCTTCATTAATGAAATGAACAACAATTTTATCTCTCAACACCTCTGATTTCTGCGTAACAGAATAATCCAATTTCAATTCCTTAACAACACTAACCAAAACTTTTCTACTCAACTTTTCTACATCTTCAACCGTGGGATTAGCCAAAAAAGATTCCATAACACTAACTTTCAAATCACAACAAGCCTAGGTTCACTAACTTAACACGGTGCGTTGGGCCGTGTACTTGACCTCTTCAATCTAGGACGACACGTCTGGCTATTGACCTAGATAATCCTAGCCTTGCGCGCGTTTCAATAACACGGCTTCACTGGATATAAACACAACTAAATCAAACTAAACTTAGTGCTTACTGATATAACCCACAACTGGAACGACAGATTAAATCTCGGCGAGCCCCCACTTTGTAACGTCCCCTATCTATCAGCCAAATAGAAGGTGAACGTCCCCGGATTCTTTTTTCGGGGTTATATGCAAATGCCGTACGGCTTAAATGGATGAATACTAACACAACGGCACACTAGGGCTCGAATTCGATGTCTAGGGGAAACTAGTGATACTATTGTAATTAACACTCATCCAATCTACATACAACCTTTAATCAGCGAACACAGTTGTGGCAGAACACAAGGTGAAACTAGATAAAATATTTAATGTATAAAATATCAAAACCCAACTTACAGAGTGTAGGAAAAAACACTATCACAGATTTCTACACTGCCTAAAATAAATAGCCACAGGCCACACAACACTGCTATAGCTTCAAGAATTACTTGGCGACAAGTAATATTATACTAGAAGACTAAATCAACTTAAGAAAGCGTAGCACACACAGGACTTAAGTTCTCTCACGTTCAAATGGTCAGAGTCTATAGCCGGACAATATGGACGGCTGCCTGATCAAGGTAAAACTGCCACGTGTGGCGAGTGTGCGGTGCAATTAAAGACTTCTGCCACAGGGGAGATTATCCTCAACTCATGTAGCCATTGGTTGGGATAGTCATCTGACCAGAATCATTCAATCAGATCTTAATGGAAAATTTCTATGTTGCACAATCACTCCATATAAGGTATTATACAATGTCAAAATAAAAATAGAACCTGACTCGACCTAAGTAGGTCACACGTCACTATTGCTTATACATTAACTAATGACGTCATCTGCCGTGTTTAGAATGAAAAGAAATGAACTATTTCATTCAAATTTGATTTAGATCTACGTACACTATGAAATGTATACAATACAATTTTTCCGGTCTAAACTCACAAATTTATTTTATGTATTTGGATTCTAGATCTAGAGATTCTAGACTAAATCTAAATCTAAATCTACGCAATAACTTATTAACTAGATCTAGACGTAGACGCTAAGATCTAGATTTAGACTCTAACTTCTCTAAAATCAATTCCAAAAATAAATTTCTATATTAGGACTAAACTATTTCAAGACTTATTTATTTTATACAAAATCTTTGTTATGAACTGGCTAATTTGGGATAAAAAATTAATTTGAAAGAATAGGCATATTCGCGTAAGTTAAGATTTTAAAATACGTGTTTCATTCTCCGTATTTTATAAGGTGACTAAATAGCGGAGATGTTAGTGTACATTAAACCACGCAGGTGGTGCGGGTTCGAGACACAGCAAGTCAACTTGGTTAATGTATTCTTTTTTATTATGCTCGGGCTAAACTTAAAAAAAAATTCTTTTAGGAATCTAGATCTAGATCTAGATTGTCGGGTGTCCAATAGGGCACTTCCCGGCGCCGCAGGCGCTTCAAATTTGGCATGATCTTGCCTTGGTGCGACAGAACACGGGGGGCCGGTTGGCCGAAAAGTCTACGATGTTGGGGTCAAAACTGACCTCGACTGACCGGTACCTTATATGAGCTATAAATCGAAAAAAAATGTCCACGGAGGAACCTCTTCATAACTCTTGAGGTCGTAGACCGACCTTCGGGCGAATTAAGCATTCAAATTCTCAATGTTTTCGAAAGCCTAAGCGAAGCTGGGCAGCATGCCTAGTATAATAGAAAGGTTGCTGACAGCTTCCATGTAAGGAGAACGTTAATTGACGTCTACCTCACCATGTTCTTACTCACCATGTCATACCTCACAATGTCCTACCTCACAATGTCCTACCTCACAATGTCCTACCTCACCATGTCCTACCTCACCATGTCCTACCTCACCATGTCCTACCTCACCATGTCCTACCTCACCATGTCCTACCTCATCATGTCCTACCTCATCATGTCCTACCTCATCATGTCCTACCTCATCATGTCCTACCTCACCATGTCCTACCTCACCATGTCCTACCTCACAATGTCCTACCTCAAAATGTCCTACCTCACCATGTCCTACCTCACCATGTCCTACCTCACCATGTCCTACCTCACAATGTCCTACCTCACCGTGTCCTACCTCACAATGTCCTACCTCACCATGTCCTACCTCACCATGTCTTACCTCACCATGTCCTACCTCATCATGTCCTACCTCATCATGTCCTACCTCATCATGTCCTACCTCATCATGTCCTACCTCATCATGTCCTACCTCATCATGTCCTACCTCATCATGTCCTACCTCATCATGTACTACCTCACCATGTCCTACCTCACCATGTCCTACCTCACCATGTCCTACCTCACCATGTCCTACCTCACCATGTCCTACCTAACTATATCCACCTCACTATGTCCTACTCACCATGTCCTACCTCACCATGTCCTACCTCACCATGTCCTACTTCACCATGTCCTACCTCACCATGTCTTACCTCACCATGTCCTACCTCACAATGTCCTACCTCACCATATCTACCTCACCATGTCCTACCTCACCATGTCCGACCTCACCATGTCCTACCTCACCATATCATACCTCACCATGTCCTACCTCACCATGTCTTACCTCACCATGTCCTACTTCACCATGTCCTACCTCACCGTGTCTACCTCACCGTGTCCTACCTCACCCTGTTCTACCTCACAATGTCCTACCTCACAATGTCCTACCTCACCATGTCCTACCTCACCGTGTCTACCTCACCGTGTCCTACCTCACCATGTCCTACTTCACCATGTCCTACCTCACCATGTCTTACCTCACCATGTCCTACCTCACCATGTCCTACCTCACCGTTTCTACCTCATCATGTCCACTCCATCATGTCCCACAACATTTGCTGCCTCGCCATGTCCTACCTCACCATGTCCTACCTCACGATGTCCTACCTCACCATATCTACCTCACCATGTCCTACCTCACCATGTCCTACCTCACCATGTCCTACCTCACCATGTCCTACCTCACCATGTCCTACCTCACCATATCTACCTCACCATGTCCTACCTCACCATGTCCTACCTCACCATGTCCTACCTCACCATGTCCTACCTCACCATGTCCTACCTCACCATATCTACCTCACCATGTCCTACCTCACCATGTCCTACCTCACCATGTCCTACCTCACCATGTCCTACCTCACCATGTCCTACCTCACCATATCTACCTCACCATGTCCTACCTCACCATGTCCTACTTCACCATGTCCTACCTCACCGTGTCTACCTCACCGTGTCCTACCTCACCCTGTCCTACCTCACCATGTCCTACCTCACCATCCGGCACCGGTGCTGATCTAATCGAAACGTCGCGTCATCTGTGTCGTTCACTGTGACGTCACTCCACAACCGTTCAGCCACGGCAGAAGCTCTCGGCCTGAAAGCAGACGATTATAAGTCACGTGACATCCATCACGTGACGGATCACCACGCAGACGATCATATGGAAAATCTACCGCCCCCCCCCCCCCCCCACACACACACACACTCCCCGAACGAAATTTAATTGATAAAAAAAAATACATAATTTTAACAGTGTCCGCCCCCCCCCCCCCCCACCCCTGGAAATTTTAGTCCGTCCCCCACCCCCCACCCGTCCCCCGGAAATTTCAAGTACCCTTCTGTAGAAAAAAAAAGACTGGAAAAAACACTGGTATCTGTTGAATCCAGTCGCCCCCTGACACGCATGTAAACCAACTGAGCTAGTGACGTATCTGAGACGAATACCGTGTGACCTACTTACCAAATGACTGACAACAGATTGACCTACTCACCAAATGACTGACAACAGATTGACCTACTCACCAAATGACTGACAACAGATTGACCTACTCACCAAATGACTGACAACAGATTGACCTACTCACCAAATGACTGACAACAGATTGACCTACTCACCAAATGACTGACAACAGGCTGTGCTCGTCAATGTACTCACTCCACGTGCACGCCTCCCCACCCCGGATCCTGTTGAGTTCTTCGGCAGTGGCAGAGTCTGGAACATAGATTTGTTTCAGAAACATGTTTCAAAACATTGTTTCAGGAACATGTTTCAAAACATTGTTTCAGGAACATGTTTCAAATTATTGTTTTAGGAACATGTTTCAAAACATTGTTTTAAGAAATATGCTTCAAACATTGTTTTAAGGAATATGTTTTAAAAGATTGTTTTAAGGAACATGTTTCAACACATTGTTGCATAAAATTTTCTACAAAACATATTTGCATACAATTTTTTTCAAAACATTGGTTCAAGACCATGTTTAAAAACATTGTAGCATAGAGTTTGTTTCTAAACAATGTTGCGTAGAATTTGTTTCAAAACATTGTTGTATAGAACTTGTTTAAAAACATTGATGCGTACAGTTTGTACATCAACACATTTTCTTTCAAAACTGTTTTGTATTCATTAAATTGTTCGATTACGTTACATAGCCATGTATCATATCAAGCTCTCACCTGCGATGTTGTACGGGTCGCAGGTGTAAAAATTCTTCCAGTCCTGGCCGTAGGCGATCTTATTCAGGTACCAGCAGGAGGAGAAGATGACGTCATAGCCGAGCCTGACGGCCTGTAGGAGGTGGGTCTGCCAGGGTGGGGTGGTCTCCAGGGCCTGGTTGCTGTCCTTCCAGACCTGGACCCAGGCGCTATGGGAGATCTGGAACACAAGGGTAGGTTTAGCTGGCCGTCCAAATAGGTTTAGTTGGCCGTCCAGGTAGGTTTAGTTGACCGTCCAGGTAGGTTTAGTTGGCCGTCCAAATAGGTTTAGTTGGCCGTCCATGTAGGTTTAGTTGGCTGTCACGATAGGTTTAGTTGACCGTCCATAGAGTTTAATTGCCCCCTCCCCATTCACGATAGATTTAATTGGCCATCCAACACACAATCCAAGCTTCTCACACACAAAACACACACACCATCACCACACCATTTCACACAAACCACCCCCCCCCCACAAACACACACACTCATGTCATGCCAACCTTCATGTAGACCGTCCACCTACGTTAGCGCCATGGTTGACTGGGTCCTCCCATATGACGACACGCTTCCCCATCTGACCCATGATGTCCAGCAGTCTCTGGCTGAAGTAAGATTCCAGACCGCTGTAGTTCCCTGCAGGAATGCCGAGTTCGGCCATGAACTTGGCGATCACTGGACTCGACTCCCTGTTGTAGGTATTTATTATCTTAAGACTAATTACACCTGATTGGACGGCGTGGCCTAAGCGCTAGAGCGCTAGGCTGCTAACACTGAAGTCTCGAGTTCGAATCCGGGTTTGAGTCAGTGGAATGTCCAAACTATGATGGGTACATAACTCATGTTAGGGAAAGTAAAGGTGGCTGGATAAAGTGCTGACCCCACATTTCTTTCCAATGCCGAGGACGAAAAACGTATGCTCTACTTCACCTGCCCAAAGGATGGCTAGGTCTAAAGATGATTCTTTACTTTATACACATGTTTCTGTCGTTCATATGAGTGGATGGAGCAAAATATCCTTGTATTAATTCGTCTTTTTCTTTTAAAGTTTTCTTTTACATTATAGACCCTCAGCGGTCTTGCCTATTGTTTTATAGTTATTATTGTATTTGTACTTTAAAGATTGTTTACTGTTGACTACATGTCATTGATGTCATAGGATGTCATGTGGGTCGACCTGTGCGTCGTAATAGTCTTATTCACGAAGATTCAAACCCAGACCACTCACGTTATATGCCAATGGTTCTATCGCTCGACTCACTCTCGACGTGGTTTCTCTCATCTCGTCACTCACCCAACACTAGAGGCTACACGACAACTCTACTTTACCAGCACATGTAGTGGGCCTCATCCATTCCCATGTGGATAAAATCATCCACAAAGACTGACTTGACCTCAGCGAAGAAGTTGGACAGAAAGGTGAAGGTCTCGTTTTTGGTGGGGTCAAAGTTTTCCCTCTCTGCGTGTCGCGGGTACACGGCCTGGTCAGGCTGACCTTTGTTGTAGCATGACGTCAGCAGTTCTGGGACACAAGAGATGGCTCGTCAGTTAGGGTTAAGTCAGTTGGTGTAGTGTGTTAACACTATCATATAGTTCTAATGGCACCCCATAGTCTCAGGCTATCAAATAGATGCCTTGTATTTAGATCTATCACATTTAATCTTTAGCACCGAACAAGGTGTATAAGAAATATGAAATTCACTTAACTATAGAAATTAACTTAATTAAGCATACGTTTTCAGTGATGAATTTCGTTTGGATTTTATTGATAATTTATCACAGCAGAAAAAATAAATTCCATAAAATTATAACGTTAATGATAAACATTCTTATAATAATAGCGTGAATTATAAATATTATTACCATACTATTGTGAAATATAAACAGTATTACCATAATAACGTGAATTATAGACATTATTACCATAATAATATCTAATAACGTGAATTATAGACATTATTACCATAATAATAATTAATAACGTGAATTATTGACATTATTACCATAATAATAATTAATAACGTGAATTATAGGCCTTATTACCATCATAATAATTAATAACGTGAATTATAGGCCTTATTACCATAATAATAATTAATAACGTGAATTATAAACTATATTACCATAATAATAATTAATAACGTGAATTATAGACATTATTACCATAATAATAATTAATAACGTGAATTATTGACATTATTACTATCATAATAATTAATAACGTGAATTACAGGCCTTATTACCATAATAATAATTAATAACGTGAATTATAAACTATATTACCATAAAAATAATTAATAACTTTAATTATAAACATTATTGCTCACCCGGATGACCTTTACCCCACGAGTGCGCATGTCCAGGTGTATCAAACTCTGGCAACACCCTAATGCCACGAAGTCTGGCCAACTCGATAATCTCGCGCACGTCGCTCTGTCTGTAGACTAGGCGTGGAGTGTACGCGCCCTGAAAACAACATTTAAAAAAAAAATTCTTTACTTCCAAGTTATTCTTCAAACTTGCAATTAATTTTACTTATTTAAAAAGACACTTAACTATTGCTAATTTTTAATTAACGTTATGGGTACTACTAAATTTAATAATTAATTTAAATTAATTATCTTAATTGAGATTCACAAATATTATTAGAGATACATTGAGTGCAAATAGAAAAACAACCGTAAAACATTTTTTTAAAATATTGTTATTTATTATTTATTTTTAATATTAACACATTGTAATACTGATCAAAATATTTATCCTTGTGGAAGTTTCAATTTATAAATCGGGTATAGCATCCCGTTCTATCTTTGTGTAAATAAAGCATATTCCGTAACTTGAATTAGTCGTTTAAATAAATGCCCATAGCTTCTCTCAAAGTAATTTTGTGTAAATTTTAATCAATTCATTAACTGTTTTACTTATTAATATGTTTAGCTGATAAAAAAATTCATAACGATTTTTTTTAAATGCAAGAAAGTGCTTGATATTCCTCTTCTAATACAGCTGTATAAGATGGAAATTACATTGATTGACGAGAAATGTAAAATATCTAGGCCTAAGGTCAAATATTATTTGGGGAAGCAACTCTAGTAAAACAAAATGAATTTTAAAAATTAAAGATGCCATTTAATTGTACACAACAAAAAAGTCATTTTGTTTTATTGTACAGAATGGTATATAACTCTAGAAAACAAAATAATCTTAAGTAAAATACTTGTTACTTCCCTTTTCCTAAAAAAAATTGTTAACATTTTTTTAAATTATTTTATTTTTGAAAAGAATATTTTCTTAATCGTGACTAGATCTATATGTTGAACCAAAACGGTAAAAACGTTAGTTGTATTTACTGTGCTATAAAACATATTTTTAAGGCTATATTAAACATTAAACACCTTTTGTAAACTGAATTATCAGATAAATGACGACATATTTTCTAATAAATGGGTTACTGTTATATATTTCAAAATATAGTTTTTAACAATATTTCATTTGTTACATAATACTTTAGATAAAAAAATTCAATTTACCGTACCTTTTTTTTTTTAATTTTGGTAAAAAAGAAAGGCAACTCTATAGAAAACTTTTTTGAAAACATTTATACAGTTAACTCCCTTAGACCATAAATATTCCTCACATGAATTACAAAACTAAATTGACTAAAACTTATTTTTTAAATGTCGCTTATTATTATTAAATTGAAGGAACTGATTCGATCTCAAAATATAAGAAATTAATTGATACAACCTATAATTATAAGAAAGCAAGCACAATGTAAAAAAAAATCATGTCAGTTGTGTCACTCAATAATTAATATCATAAAGTCACGATTACCCAAATTACTTCGTGTAAATACTTTTATTTTTTTAATGTTTTTTTTTTAAATTTATTTCATAGTATGAGAGATAGAGGTTTGTTGAAAAATGATTTAAAATTCTCTATATTTAATTATCATTTGGTATTCAATGTATATTTCATTAATATATTGTATTTAATGTATATTTAATGAAATTATTCCACCTGAAACTTGATTGTTAGGTTAGGTAGTGTAATAGATTGAGTTAATTGTGAGGTCAAGGGAACTCACTCTCTGTATTAGTATTATATTTATATTATTGTTATCTTGAGTGATGTCCCTTGTGTACTTCCGTCCGTCCTCTCTGTGTCTTACCATCGTGATGTAGTTAGACCCATTAAATGTGTTATATACAACCACAGGCTTCTGTCGTCAATCTATTATAACTGGCGACGAAGGATAAACATCTACTAGAAAGAGCACCTACTTACGCAAAAAAGAGGTTTGCTAGAGCTTATTAGCTAATTATTTCTAGAATTATGGCGCTGTATGGCCAAATAAAAGAATTTGATGCGAATGATGAAATCATTCAAGATTACCTAGAGAGGTTAAGCTTTTACCTAGAAGCTAACGACGTGACGATAGAAGCCAAAAAGAGAGCTGTTTTGTTAACAGTCATAGGGCCTCAACAATTTAGGCTACTAAAAGACTTATGCGCACCAGCCAGTCTAACTACCAAGAGCTTTAACGAGCTGAGCAAATTGCTAACAGACCACCATGCGCCTACCCCATCAAAGTTTCTATGTAGAGCTAGATTTGACAGTAGGACTCGTCAACCAAACGAGTCAATATCATAATATGTTGCTGCTTTACGTCATTTAAGTAGATTCTGTGAATTTGGAGAAACGCTGTCTGACAGACTATGTGAAAAGTTTGTGACAGGTGTAAACAGCCCTGATATTCAAAGAAAGTTGCTGCTCGAGTCAGATCTAACATTAGAAAAAGCAATACAACTTGCAACTTCAATCCAGCAATCATCAGATGCGGCGAAATCTCTAACGCCTTCAGGGATCCATGCAGTAAACAGCAGGTTAGTCAATAAACATCAACCCCATCAGAGCATTCCAACTTATGCTAAACACCCTGCTCGTTCAAGTCCTAGATCTAAATCTAGTAATAATTATCAAAAATGTCATCGATGCAAAGGTCCCCATGCATCTCATCGGTGCAAGTTCAAGTTAGCAACTTGTTATAAGTGCGGTAAGCAAGGTCACATTGCCAAGGCCTGCTTCACAAAGTCTTCGTCTGTTGCTAAATCTAGCCAGTCAAGACAGTACCGCAACCAAAAGCAGCACTATGTTAACTCTCACCAAGACTACCTAACCCAACCAATGAACCACTCTACCTGTGAAAATGCTCAAATTGATTTGCAGCCGGATTTCAACCTGTTCTCTGTTAAATCAATAAGTCATGCTCCCATCAATGTACAAGTTAATATCAACGGTAAGAGCATCAGCTTCCAACTTGACACTGGAGCATCTCTAACAGTCATAACAAAGAAAGATTTTGACGCTGTCAAAGGAGAATCAGTGCCTCTACAGCCGTGTCACAAGTGTCTAACAACATACACTGGTGACAATGTTCCGGTAATAGGAGAGTGTATGGTTCATGTAAGTTATAATGGTCAAAGTGTTAAACTTCCTCTTCTTGTGGTTGAAGGAAATGGACCGCCATTACTAGGTAGGAACTGGTTAAGTGATCTTAAGTTAAATTGGGAGAGTATTTGTTCATTGAAGAATGTAAAAGAATCTAGTCTTACTTCACTAGATAAAGTAATATCTGAAAATAAATGTGTTTTTGGTAACTCTGGATTACTAAATGATAGAACAGTGAAGTTAAGCATTAAAGATACAAATCCAAGATACTGCAAAGCTAGAGTTCCACCTTATGCAATGAGGAATAAAATTGAAAATGAGCTAAGTAGATTGGAATCTAATGGCATTATAAAGAAGGTAGACTATTCCGATTGGGCGACACCCATTGTGCCAGTGTTAAAGAAGGATGGTTCTATAAGAATTTGTGGAGATTATAAAACTACACTGAATAAGCAAATAGAGCTAAATAGGTACCCTATACCTAACATTGAGGAAATTTCTTTGAATTTGGCAGGAGGAGACAAATTCACTGAATTAGACTTTAGTCATGCTTACACTCAACTAGAACTGCATCCAGATTCAAAAGTCTATACGACAATAAACACACATAAAGGACTCTACCAATATGAAAGACTATGTTTTGGCATATCATCCAGCCCTGGAATTTTCCAAGCTGTCATGGACAGTATTTTTAAGGACATTCCAAATGTTTGTGTGTACTTTGACAATGTGTACATAACTGGTAAGAATGACACTGAACATCTTAAAACACTTGATAAAGTATTAAAAATTGTTGGTGAAAAAGGTTTAAAGATAAACAAAGATAAATGTCAATTCATGCTGACAGAAATTAGTTTTCTTGGTTATATATTAAGCAAGCAAGGCATCAGACCTCAACCTGAGAAAACAAAAGCCATTAAGGAAGCACCCAAACCTGAAAATACTCAACAACTAAGAGCTTTTTTGGGCTTAATAAATTACTATGCAAAGTTCATAGGGAATCTGTCTGGTAAACTATCACCACTGTACAAGCTGCTACAGAAAAATGCAACTTGGCACTGGGGTAAACAACAAGATACTGCTTTTAACACAGCAAAAGAGGCTTTGTCTGCTGACACCTTACTAACTCACTATGACCCAGGGAAAAGACTTGTATTGACATGTGATGCTTCACCAGATGGTGTAGGAGCAGTCTTGTCCCACATGGATGAGAAGGGTGACAGACCCATTGCTTTTGCCAGTAGATCTTTGAATCAGGCTGAGAAAAATTATTCTCAGTTAGATAGGGAAGGCTTAGGCATCATTTTTGGTGTTAAGAAATTTCATAAGTTTCTGTTTGGTAGGAAGTTCACCATCTTTACAGATCATAAACCATTGCTAGGTTTATTTGGAGAAAACAAAACCCTACCTGAGCATGCCTCACCAAGAATTCAAAGATGGGCTATCACACTAACTGCATACAATTATGAATTGAAATACAAACCTGGATCTGAGAATAGTGCAGATAGTCTTAGTAGATTACCTTTAAAAAACCAAAGCCTGAGCTATGTACCAGAAGATGTTTTTGTTCTCTTCACTATCATGGATAACTCCAATATAAATGTGAATGATATTAAGAGAGAAACACAAAAAGATGAGTGCTTAATAAAAGTATATGAGTACTGTAAGAATGGTTGGCCTGAAGAGTCAGTGAATGAGGACTTAAAGCCATATAAAATAAGAAAAACAGAGTTAAGTCTAGAAGATGGATGTATACTATGGGGGTCAAGAGTAATTATCCCCAAAATGTTACAAAAAGAAGTTTTAAGAACTTTACATGATACTCATCTTGGTTCTTCCAAAATGAAGAGTCTAGCAAGATCATGGTTCTGGTGGCCACATATGGATGCTGATATTGAAAAATATGTAAAACTTTGTTCAAGCTGTGCACAACATTCAAATCAACCAGCTACAGCACCTTTGCAAAACTGGGACTGGCCAATCGAACCATGGAAACGTATACATATAGATTTCGCAGGACCTTTCATGAACAAAATGTTCTTAATTGTTATTGATTCACATTCTAAATGGTTAGAAGTTAAAATCATGAACACAATCACTGCAAATGATACCATTATAGAACTTAAGGAAATATTTTCAACTCATGGATTACCAGATCAAATTGTTTCAGATAATGGGCCTAGTTTCACAGCTCATGAGTTTAAACTGTTTTGTGTGGCAAATGGTATTGAGCATATAACCACATCCCCCTATCATCCTGCTGGGAATGGTTTAGCTGAAAGAGCGGTAGGCATATTCAAAACCGCTATGGTAAAAATGAATACCGGTAACAAGTTTTCTCTTAGAGAAAGAGTAAACAGGTTCTTAACCAAATACCGCACAACTCCTCATATAACAACAGGTGTTGCACCATGTGAATTGCTATGTGTTAGGAAAATTAAAACTCATCTTGACCTACTACATCCAACTTTTCAAAGGTCTGTTTCCCAACATCAACATACACAAAAAGTAAATCATGACAAATCATCCATTGAAAGAGAATTTGCAGTTAATGATAATGTGTATCTAAGAAATTATGGGAGAAAGGAAAAATGGGTTCCAGGTCAAATTGTTCAATGTACAGGACCTGTGTCTTATAAAGTAAAAACAAATGATGGACTTATTGTCCGTAGACATGCAGACCAGTTAAAAATAACTTGTGCAGATAATAAGTGTGAATCTGCCAATCCCACCAAATCTGAACAGTTCACACCAACTCAGTTTGTTCTACAACCAAGTTCTGTTGATATGAGTGAACCAAGTTGTCTGGAGTCAGAAAATGTAAATTCTGGAGTTAATGATTTAAATCCTAGACCTCCTGAGATAGAGAATCCAGATGGTCAGAATCTTGAGTCACCAAATCAGAAGCCACTGAGAAGGTCAAGCAGGACAATCAAAGTCCCAAATAAGTTAGACCTATGATTTTAAAGGTCAAGAGGACTTTGACATTATTGTTTTGTATCTTGATTATGTTGTAGCATATTGTGCATTGTTTGTAAGGATGTAATCTACCATAGTGTTCATGTTACAATATAATTGGTGATTTTAGGATACTATCAATTGTTCTATTGAGAGATGTGTTATTGTGTTCTAAGGGTAAAGGGATGTAATAGATTGAGTTAATTGTGAGGTCAAGGGAACTCACTCTCTGTATTAGTATTATATTTATATTATTGTTATCTTGAGTGATGTCCCTTGTGTACTTCCGTCCGTCCTCTCTGTGTCTTACCATCGTGATGTAGTTAGACCCATTAAATGTGTTATATACAACCACAGGCTTCTGTCGTCAATCTATTATAGGTAGGTTTTGTCTCACCTTTAGTGTAAGGTTTTGGTAGGTTTTGTCTCGCCTTTAGTGTAAGCTTTGGGTAGATTGTCTCACCTTTAGTGTAAGCTTTGGGTAGGTTGTCTCACCTTTAGTGTAAGGTTTGGGTAGGTTTTACTTTCGAAAGGAAAAGACTGAGCATCCACGATATGCCAGTGGAAGACGTTGAATTTGTTCATCGCCATGACATCCTGGGTACAAATGACAGATTCATGACATCATGGCTTACTAATGACATTTATTTGACATCCAGAGTTTCTTACAGGCATCTCTTAGTTGGGCGTAATGCCCCTCCCCCCACCCCGAAGAAAGTCTACTGCCCCCCGAACAAAATGAAGTTTATATAGAAAATATATACTTTTACCCCCCCCCCCCCCCCCAGAAAATGTTGACCCCCCCCCCCCCCGAAAATATCAAGTGCACCCCCCCCCCTTTCCAATGAGAAAAAATCTGGAAGAAACACTGATGACAACCTGGATACAATTCATACAAATATGACATTATGTGTCACTTATGTCATCCTGATAATAAATAACACATGCATGACATCAGGGGTACAAATGTCACATGCATGACATCCTGGGTTATTAATGACACAAACATGACATCATATGTATAAAAGACATTCTGGTTTACCTATGACACCCTGGTTATAAATAACATATACATGATATCCTGTGTAGAAATGACACAAACAAGACAACTTCGGTACTCATGACATATGCATGACATCAGGGTTACAAATGACACAATCTAGACAACTTCCGTACTAATGACACAGACATGGCATCAAGGGTTATTAATGACACTAACATGACATCCGTGTCAGAATGACAAAGATAGTACAGTTTGCATAGCTTAATTTTTAGTCAGCATTCGGCGTTTAATTCGAACAAATATTTCTTGTCATTGTTACATTGTTATAAAAATTCTAATTAGTTTATGTTAAGCTCATTAATGCTGCGAATACGATGAGCATAACAATTAACATCACCTCTAACATCACAATTAACACCACTAACAACATCACATCTAACATCACGACTAACATCACGACTAACATCACGACTAACATCACGACTAACACTACGACTAACACCACTAACATCACGACTAACATCATGACTAACATCACGACTAACATCACGACTAACATCACGACTAACATCATGACTAACATCACGACTAACATCACGACTAACATCACGACTAACATCACGACTAACATCACGACTAACATCACGACCAACATCACCACTAACATCACGACTAACATCACGACTAACATCACCACTAACATCACGACTAACATCACGACTAACATCACGACTAACATCACGACTAACATCACGACTAACACTACGACTAACACCACTAACATCACGACTAACATCACGACTAACATCACGACTAACATCACGACTAACATCACGACTAACATCATGACTAACATCACGACTAACATCACGACTAACATCACGACTAACATCACGACTAACCACACGACTAACATAACGACTAACCACACGACTAACATAACGACTAACATCACGACTAACATCACGACTAACATAACCACTAACATCACGACTAACATGACCACTAACATCACAAATAACATCACCACTAACATCACCACTAACATCACGACTATCATCACGACTAACATCACGAGTAACATCATGACTAACATCACGACTACCATCACGACTAACATCACCACTAACATCACCACTAACATCACCACTAACACCATGACTAACATCTCCACTAACATCACGACTAACACCACGACTAACATCACGACTAACATCACGACTCACATCACGACTAAACTAACCAGATTTTTCTTCAAAATGTCCACGGGATAAAAATGTCTGGCTGTGTCCAGATGAAGACCACGATATGAGAACCTTGGCTTGTCGAGTACAGTCCCTTTGTTGATGTACCACTGGTAAATAAAATAGTTATGTCCCTTTGTTGAGGTATCACTGTTAAATTAAATTGTTATGTCCCTTTGTTAATGTACCAGTGTTAAATAAAATAGTTATGTCTCTTGTTGATGAACAAAAAATAAAGTCACCTTATTTATATAATATTGTTAAATAAAAGTCCTCTTCCTGATGTAAGCGGTCAAATTTTTTTCATTAAATTGAATTACTAAGGTGGATGCACGGTATTTTACACTCATATAACACATTGAGCAATATAAATGTAGCAACGTATTATGTTGTATCTGAATCATGTGCAGTATGAATGTGTTGCATGAATATGAACCTTATATATATATATATATATATATATATATATATATATATATATATATACAATGTACTTTGTCTTACCTTCCCATCTATCATATACATGAGCTGGCTTAAAGTCTCTAGCGCTAAAATAAATTTGGATAATTAGTATAATTAGTAGAGGCACTCTTATTAAGTAATCACAATAATACTCTTATTAAAAACCTCATTAAAACCCTCATCAATTCATTCATTACTCAACATCCTCATTGTGTCTTTTTTCGTGGAAATTTGGAAGTATTAAAAAAATTTGTTTTACATACAACCCTTTAATATCTCGCCAAAGTTAAACGAATGACAAGACAAGCTGTAGACCAACAGAACAAAACACATACATTACAAACCCCAGATTAGGCCCCAGATTTCAGTGGATGAAATGGTTACATTGTCCGTGATGAAAATGCTATCTGTTAAATATTAAAACACAAAAACAATTTAATATTTTTACAGTGATGCAATGTTTGTGATGTTAGTTTAAATTAAAACAAACATGGTTATGGTAAAATAAACCTAATTCTTTAATTTTCAGAGTATTTTAATTATTTAATCAAAGAAAACAAATGTAAACTTAATCTTTCATACACGATAAGAAATACACTGAATTATGTTTTTTTTTAAATTAATCCCATTCACCGTTTTACCTCCCCTAGCTGCACTTCTAAAAAGCCAATTTACTGAAAGAATTATAATTTATAGGGGCAAATTTCTTCATAATTTTGATGTAGTCTGATAACAGTCTGAGCATATTCTAGCTGGGGGTTACGTACAATCTTCTGCCATGCCGTGCCGGGGGTATCCGGGACAACTCTTATTCTTCGGCTGCAGGAAAACTCGTAACCTTGACCCTGTACTGGGCGGGGTCACGCTTGACCCACCAACAGATGCGGAGATTGTTTTCAGACGGTCAGACAGCCTTGAGTACGCATGCTCGATCAGGTCACATGACACGTTCGTCACGAGGGTCAACTGGTCAGGGTTGAAGGTCAATGTCTCGTTGACCCGTGTCCAAGTTTTTGGCTGTGGCCATGGGGAGCCTGCGACTGGTCGGTTGCCCTTGACAACAGGAGTGTTCAATGGTTAGCACCAATAGATGAACGACATTATATTTAAACACGACGTAGTTGACAATAACTTTACAAAAGTAAGTAAACCACATTATATGTGAACATGACATAAATAGTTGACAATAACTTTACAACAGTAGGTAAACCACATTATATGTGAACTTGACTTAAATAGTTGACAATAACTGTACAACACCACATTATATGTGAACATGACATAAATAATTGACAATAACTTTACAAAAGTAGGTAAACCACATTATATGTGAACATGACATAAATACTTGACAATAACTTTACAACACCACATTATATGTGAACATGACATAAATAATTGACAACAACTTTACAAAAGTAGGTGAACAAATCATATGTTGTCACATGACAAACAGTTTGACGTTATAATAAAATAAAAGACATACACATCAAATTGAATTTTATCCTTTACATTACAACAGTGTCTTGAGAAGTGGTTTTTAAAAAAAAAAATTGCATATTTTATTTTTTGACAAAACTTGTTTGGGATGTTTTGACAGTGAAATCGTCAGGACAAAACAAAGTGTTTTGAAGTCTGCTTGCTTAAACTTTTTGTGGGGGGTGATGGGGGGGGGCACATATATAAGGGGAACTGGTGAAGCTCAACATTTAAATATTTACAATTGGGTTTTTTAAGCATTCGACGAAATGAGCCTCGCTTCATTAGGTAAAACAAACACCAAGATGTACACATCTGCACTGGGGGTAGGGGGGAAGATGGGAGGTTTTGGAGGCTTTAGCCAATCGTCTTCTAGCTCAGTAGGTCAAGTGATGGTAAACATTTCTTTAGCTTGCGGGCAGTGAATTCATCATACGATATTCTGTCGGCCATTTTGTAAAAAATAAAAATAAAGGACAATTTATATTTCGTATTCTAAGAAAGTTGATAAGGTAAATTAAGTAGTCTTTGGTTGGAACATGAAAGAACGTGTTGTAATTGGCACATCGCTTCTCTACATCGTATAAGCATGAATAAAATCGTGTAGCCAGCTTCTCGGGTTGATGTAAATGCATATGACGTGTGAATGAATGCACATATGACATGTACAAAACGTGTTTATGATGTGTAGGCGAAATGACATGTGGATGACATGTGTTTGAATGTAGGCTGAATGACATGTAAACACCAAGCACCTACAAGAGTCATGTCATTACTGCTAAAGCTTCGAAAACCTACGAAACAAAAGGGATTTACGGTTGAACGAGTTCACGTGCTGACTATAAGGATGACTGAACACATTCTCCCGACACCAATCAACAGAACTGGTGTAGCCTACCATAAAACCACAAGCAGTCATTTCTTATTTCATCGGTTCTAACAGTACTTTAAAGTATGTAAACATAAGTTTTTAGCGCAATTTCTATACTGACAATTGCGATTATTAATTCGTTATTTATGGATGGATGGATGGATGGATGGATGGATGGATGGATGGATGGGTGGATGGGTGGATGGATGGATGGATGGATGGATGGATGGATGGATGGATGGATGGATGGATGGATGGATGGATGGATGGATGGATGGATGGATGGATGGATGGATGGATGGATGGATGGATGGATGGATGGATGGATGGATGGATGGATGGATGGATGGATGGATGGATGGATGGATGGATGGATGGACGGACGGACGGACGGACGGACGGACGGACGGACGGACGGACGGACGGACGGACGGACGGACGGACGGACGGACGGACGGATGGATGGATGTTAAGCAAATATGTTAAGCAAGTTCCAAGGATGATTGTGGGCCAAAAAATGGCCCATATCTCAGCAACCAGACCACTTAGCGACTTGAAACATTTACCAATCGATTCCTACCATAATTTAGAACTATTTTGCCGAAGAAAGTTTTCAAAAATATCCTTTCGTTCGGTCACAAAAAATTTGCTGAATATATGATTTATCTCGATTTAAAATTGTTATGGATAACATAAGGAAATTGCGCTTAAATTGTCACTAGACTTTTTATTAACTTGTTTTTTTACTAACCTGCAGTGGTAATCTTTCAGCTATAAACTCAATCTCACACACGACCTTGACACTGGAGGTCAGGAGGAGGAGGGAGGTGAGCAGTGTCAGCATTTTACACGAGTCGTCTACCTGAAGACAAAATATCCGACAGAACAATGTATCTTTCCTCCTTTAAATGTAACCCTCAACACAAAGCCTCTGAACCTCCTTTACTGTATGCTAGCACAGATTATCCACTCACAGATTATCCACTCACAGATTATCCACTCACAGATTATCCACTCACAGATTATCCACTCACAGATTATCCACTCACAGATTATCCACTCACTGATTATCCACTCACTGATTATCCACTCACTATCATCTGTAAATTATCACATTAAATTCAAGAGTTATTTGACTGGTGATCTAGCTCTGTAGTTCTATCCTCTAGCTTTCTTCCCCACTGTAATAGCAATTACCCGACCACCCATTTAAATACCCATTAACTAATTAGCCCGTACACAGTCCACGCGATGGCCCACTACTTGCCGTCAAGAACCTTAACCGCCCTCTGTAGTGCTTTTATAGTGGATCATCATCAACTCTACTAATCTCTAATTACCAGTGATCTTGAACTGTTCTCGGCTTATCTTTAGTATCAGGCTATTTACAAAATTTTGCTAAGAAGAAAAAAGAACAAAGAAACATTAAAGCTAACCTGCAAATACCTTATGCGAAATCGAAACTAAATTATCAATACACGTTTTAGAGTCGTTTAGTTTCATGACAATGGTTCTAGTCAAATGCCTTCTTATATTATACAAATTAAGGAGGGAGGGTAACATTATTTGGGTGGAGTGACAATTGTATTCAGGTAAATAGCACTTTTGAAAACTATACCAATCTGACAGTATTAATGTGTGTGCCTGTGTGTCTGTGTGTGTGTCTGTGTGTGTGTCTGTGTGTGCGTGCGTGCGTGTGTGCATGTATGTCTGTGTGTATGTGTGTGTGTGTGTGTTACGGCCAAAGCCTGGAGTCGGGTCAATGCACGCATTGGTCAATAGTAACCGGCACTGTCCGAAATTATCCACTATCAGGTGTTCTTTTAAACAGAATCTTGTAATTGTGACTGTCTCATGGCCACTTAACCCTTTTAACCCCAGCTTGTAGATTCGTGTAAAACACAGCCAACTTAACCCTTTTAACCCCATCTACGTAGATTCGTGTAAAACACAGCCAACTTAACCCTTTTAACCCCATCTACGTAGATTCGTGTAAAACACAGCCAACTTAACCCTTTTAACCCCAGCTTGTAGATTCGTGTAAAACACAGCCAACTTAACCCTTTTTAACACGTTTTTATTAACTCAGCTTCGCGTGTGTTTGTTGTTAAAATTGACATCGAAAATTAACCCACTTCTGATTGCTCAATAGATCTGAAATTTGGCATGTAGGCTACTTTCGCCTAACAATTTCAGATGCAATCATAAAAACTAGCAATTAGAGACGGTAATTAGCTTAATTTAATTACGCCCCAAGGACCTCTAAAGATACCGACAAGACTGGAGGCTTATAGACACAGTTACTTCGGCCCCAATCGATGTGAGCGCGCTGGCCGTGATCGTATAGTGGTTAGTACTTCGCGTTGTGGCCGCGACAACCCAGGTTCGAATCCTGGTCGCTCAAGATTTTCGAATCCTGGTCGCTCAAGATTTTTTTAGTCCGTGTATTTATAAACACTTAGTCAATTCATACTTAATCAAGTCATTAGATAAAGTAGAAAATAAACTATATAAAAAACTTTTTTAAAAACCACGTTTTTCATGTGTAGCAACGGACTAAAAAGGAGAAAATAAAATACTTAAAAAAAACTTTTTAAAAAACCACGTTTTTCTTGTGGACTAAAAAGTAGAAAATAACTATTTACATACATTTGATGACAAAAAACGTGGGTCGGGCAGATGGGTCGGGAAATTTGATGGTGAACGTACCCACGTTTTTTGTCATCAAATGTATGTAAATAGTTATTTTCTACTTTTTAGTCCACAAGAAAAACGTGGTTTTTTAAAAAGTTTTTTTTAAGTATTTTATTACATGATATCTTATCAAGGCTAACACTTCACAAAGTTTTTTGCTACAAGGGACATAACTCATCGAGCCTTTTTTTTCTTCGCACATTCAAAAACGAGACCTAGCCGACTTAAAAAAAAAATATTGTAGTGGTTTTCAGTATATTCTTGTAGAACCTTGACACAGTGGATGGTTAAGTCGTTAGTAGACCCTTAACTTGGATGGGGGGGGCGCATCGATGAACTAAGCTTGAAAAATCATGGTCGACCTCGGAAAATTCATTTTTTTTTTTTTTTTTTTTCTATTACTTTAACCACTTATAAACATAATATACTTATCAAATTTACAATAAAATATAGTTTTTACACTTGTTTTTGCATTTGAAGTGGGTATGTGTGTGTAAAAAAATGTATTTCACCCCGATATACGCCCATCACAACGATGTGTAGCGAGATCTACACACCGTAGTAAGCCTAGCTTACCATATATCAAAATGCGCGGAATTTCGAGGTCAGTCTAGCTAGCCTAAGAACATTGACCTAGTTCTAAATATAGTATTTCAAAACACGCAATGAAAGTGTGCTTCAAAATGGGAAGAGTCATGTATCTATTGGTCAATAGATGTCACATGACGCTTCTGTCTAAAAATCCCGTGCGCCAAACTCAATTTTGCTAACTTTTGTCAGGAAGTTTCGGCGGTGTCCTAGGAGATGCTATTTTTAGCCGAGCTGTAGATATATTTGCACCAACTTTCACTTTCTACTTTTTGAATTATTTTTCGTTTCTGGAATTTATTTGAAGGTAAATTATGAATTTTTCAATTATTTCTATTCCTTTATCAAAGTATAAACTATAGTTTTATCTTAGATGCCAGATTTTACGTAGATTTTGATGTAGATCTAGTAACTTTATTACGTAAACTAGATCTTAGTCTTAGGCTCTTAGCCTAGCTATCAGTAATCAGTATCAAAGGCTGAATGTAATCAATGTATGCAGATAATGTGCATACCTTTTAGTACGTTGTGATTATTTTTTTAAAACAGCTTATACATTATTATGACTTGTTTTACAGATCTACAATGCCTGCACAAAAGTTGTATGCAAAAAAGGGACAGGCTTCCAGAAAGCAGAAGGCTACATTGAAGTACATTGGCTAAGGCTTGTGCTACCAAGCAGCAAAAATCAGCTCTTGCAGGATCTACTGCAGATCCAGAGGCTGCTGGTTCAAGCACAACTACTGCTGCCACTACATCAACTGCTGCCACTGCATCAATTGCTGCCACTTCACCCACTGCTGCCACTTCACCCACTGCTGCCACTGCATCAATTGCTGCCACTTCACCCACTGCTGCCACTGCATCATCTGCTGCCACTGCATCAACTGCTGCCACTGCATCATCTGCTGCCACTGCATCCACTGCTGCCACTTCACCCACTGCTGCCACTTCACCCAAAGCTGCCACTGCATCAACTGCTGCCACTGCATCATCTGCTGCCACTGCATCCACTGCTGCCACTTCACCCACTGCTGCCACTTCACCCACTGCTGTCACTGCATCAACTGCTGCCACTGCATCATCTGCTGCCACTTCACCCACTGCTGCCACTGCATCAACTGCTGCCACTGCATCCACTGCTGCCACTACACCCACTGCTGCCACTACTCCTACTACTGGATATACAACCATCCCCACAGTGGTCAGTGCCTCCAAGAGAAAACTTAGCATGTTTTCTCAATGTGAAGCACCTCAAGCTACTACAGTAGGAGGGCTGGTCATTGTAGACCTGGCTGAAGTAAACGCCCTCTTTTCGGCAGCTCAGTGCAGTACATGTCAAGGGCCCTTGCAACTTATTTTGACTGGACGCAAGGGTCTAGCACATCAACTGCAAGTCAGCTGCAGTGTGCAACTCCATAGCAGCAGGATCAAGCTCCAATATGAGTAGCAGCGACAGGTGTTATGATATCAACAAGAAATTTGTCGCTGCTTTCCTCAACATAGGATTAGGCTATGCTGCTATGGATAAGTTTTGCAATGCCATGGCCATTGAAGGAATGACAGAGTCATCATACTGCAATATCCTGAACAAAATATCAATTTCTTCAAAAAATTTCTCCAACGCCAGTCTTGACACAGCTATTGACCTGGTGCGCAAATCTTATGGCGTTGAGATCAGTCAGTGAGTTTAATGGTGGCAGTAAACATCTGGCTGCTTTTATGGATGCCATTGGCTGTTCCTATGCCACTTCTTCTCAAGTCAAAGCAGCAAGGCATGACAAGAGGAGGATTGACAGTGCTGAATGAAAGGCGTCAGCTGAAGTCAAAAGGAGAAGGTCCAGAATGATCTCGCCAGCTCAAAAGCCCAACAGGAGTTTGAGAAGCTGGAGGGAGGGCCTTCATACAGTTCTGGAGCCTTCTAAATTGTTATTTGTTTTAAGCTAAGTTAGTTTTATTAGTGTAAAAACTTTTTTTTTTTTTTTAATTTAATTTTTTTTATTTCCATCAATATATGTAGTCTTTTTCAAACCCTTTTTACAAAATCAGTTTTTACTTAATTTACTACTAATGATGAAATTATCATCATAAACATGTTGATAAAGCTTTTGAAATAGCTCTTTACATTGTATTTTCAATGAAAAAAGCTTTTTTTTCCATTTTTGTTACGTTTTTAGCGTTTTCTCAATAACGTATTTTTTTACATTTTTGAACACTGAAAAACATTTTCCTCAAAAACTACTTGTTCAATTTACATGAAATTTCTGCTGAAGCTACATAACACACTGTTGAAAAAACAAGCAGAAGAATAATGGAGCTATCTTCAATACTTTTTTTTTATACAAAATTTTTTGCAAACTTTATAGGTTAAAATTAATTAGTCATTAGTAGAAAATTCATAATTAAAAAAGTTTCTGCAAATATGTAAATTTTCTTCTATGGATTTTCTCACATGCATGTGGACTATCTAAATCCAAAAGTTGGACTTGAAATTATAGATAGTTACTGAGGAAAAGTTTTTTAAAAATTGTATGTAAAAAATGTACATTTTTCCCGCCAAATTTAATCGGCTAACGATTACCATGAAAAATTTTGTACACCAAAGTGTATTAAACATATATACTAATGCCATAAATGAGTTATTTTCTGTAAAATAGTTAAATTGTGCAAAAAATGGTATTTCAATACATTTCATGACTGTCCCCCCTTAAAAAAAAAATATTGTAGTGGTTTTCAGTATATTCTTGTAGAACCTTGACACAGTGGATGGTTAAGTCGTTAGTAGACCCTTAACTTGGATGGGTAACATAACCATTGGTAGACCGCTAATACTGGGGTGCTAGAGCAGGGTGAACTGGTACTGAGAAGGTGCTGTTACTGTTGTGTAGCTGATGTGTTGTTGATGATGTTATTTTTGAAGTAAAGTAGTACTGTTGTGTTGATGTTTTTTTTTTTGTTTTTTTTTTTGTTGTTGTTCTATTGATGGATCTTGTTCTGTTTTGATGATGTTTTTTTTTGTTTTTTTTATTGTTGTTGTTTTGGTTTTGTTGTTGTTGTTGTACTGATGGATGTGGTTCTGTTATGGTGATGTTGCTTGTTGTTTTTTATTGTTGTTGTTATTTTTGTCGCTGCTGTTGTGCGGCTGTTACTGTGCTTATGTGGTGATGTTGTCTTGTTTTTTTTTCCTCAAATATACCATTTCCTCTGAACCTTTTTTTAAAGGGGGTTGTGGTGTCCTCCTACAAAGATATGAGGTACCAGAGTGACAACTTAGTGCCTGAAGTGGCGGGGGGGGGGGGGGAGAATGTGGGCTCCATCTTGTGTGGCGTTTACCACGTGACTGGGCAGCACGTGAGTGCTAGAATGTGACGTAGCACGATGCTGAGTCTTAAAAGAACCTAATCAAAGCGTGTTACATCTCGTTAGAGTTACTAGAGGATCGGGTGGGGGAAGATGTGGGTGAATGGGAAGGGGGGGGGGGGGTGTTGAGGACGTGTGACCATGAGGATATGATACAGTCCGCGTGTGTGCCCTGTGTGTTACGACTGTTATTACGTAAGTATTGTAACTCTCCTGAGACTGAAACCAAAAGACGACTAAATTGTCATTCATGTTATCAGGACCTCGTTGTTGCTTGTGGCCTAGTTCCATGGTGACATTAGGTCAAATTATCCAGTGCACTCTGGGCGCTGTCAAGTTTTTGTCTATAACCATAGTTTTGTCAAGTTCGTGTCTATTATCACAGTGCTGTCAAGTATTTTTCTATCTATAGCTATAGCCTATGTGTAATGAGCATACCTACGATCTGGCTATTCTGTAAATATGTTTATATAGCCCCATATAGAAAGTATGTAGAGAACCCCCCCCCCCATCCCCACAACCAAAACCTTGTAAAGTGAGTACAGTATACCTCGGGCCAAAGCCACATCCTCCAACCTTCTACCCAGTAGTCTCGCAAGGGTAGGGAGGCGCGTAGGGGGGAGGGGGGGGGCGGTCCGCACTGGGTGACACCATTTAAAGGAAAAAAATCGTAAAATATACTGTCAAAACAATGTTTAATCCAGTTAAGATAACAAAATAGTTGGGGAAATGGGTGACACCAAACCGAAAATACAAAATATTTATTAGGGGTGGGGCGACAACCCCTGTTACACCCGACCTAGTGACGCCACTGCCTCTACCCACACAATCTTCAGATCAATAATACAGTGGGTTGTGTTTTTTATTAAACTTAAGTGTGTATGTGAGTGTGATTGTTGAAAATGGGGTGGGGGAGGGGTGAGGAGGGAGGTATATACACTAAGCCATGGTATGGTAAAGCCAATAGTGCCTAACCCTCTACAAGATTACAACTTACAAGTACCACCACTGAGACTATCAGTGTACTGATAATGATACTTTTACGTGTAGACCACATAAATAAGCCAGTTGTTTTTTTTAAAACAGCTACAACAGTCCTCATTCGAGAGCGACGCTAGATTTGTGCCACCCATGTTCATTGCTTTTGAGTACAGACTTAAGACAGTGAAGAAAATCGTACACCTCCCACATCCCATGTACACATGTACACGCACAACACGCACAACACGCACACACACAGGTACCCTAGCACCACACTTTATAGTGTCTGACGTAATGTGCCATATAGGCCTTACGACACTGAAGACAGCCTTGAAAAATACAACACATTTCTTGGTCAGATCGTCCTACATTTTAAAATGTCTGACCAGAGGCGTCGCGAGGCGGGGGGCGAGGGGTGCGGACCGCACCGGGTGACACCTTTTAGAGGAGCGACAGCAAGACAAAAAAAAATTGAAAAATGCATAGAAAAAATGCTTTTGCCAGTTTAATTAATGATTAATTAGAGTTTAAAAGTCGTATTAAGTGCAAATCAAAGATCCCGACATCGGGGAGGGGGTGACACCTGGGCGTAAACCTGCTAATTATAGAGATAACAATTTTATATTCAGCTGTGTTACAAACATAAATATATATATATATATATATATATATATATATATATATATATATATATATATATATATATATATATATATATATATAACAGATACTTTTTTGTTGGGGGATGACACCATTAGGTGCCGCACCGGGTGACACCCGACCTAGCGACGCCACTGAGTTTGAGGTAGTGTGTCATCTATGCCTTACAACTCTGGAGACTGCCTTGTAAAATAAAACACTTTTCTTGGTCAGGACGTCCTACATTTTAAAGCGTAAATTTGATACCTGGTGCAGGACGTGTCAATTACAAACAAAGCTCATTAGCTAAGATTGGCCAACGTTATCTTAATTAGCAGAGCTGGTGTACAAATTTAGGGCGGTTAGAAAGTCGCGTCCTATTTGTTATCGGCGGATTTAGGCAACGATTCTCTGGTGCGCTGTTCGGTTTGTTTATACTGATTTACGTTCATGTTTTAATTTACGTTTTATTTTTAAAACAGTGCGGAGTGTCTTGTTTTGAAATAAGGTGAAAGTGGTTGTTTTTTTACGTATGTCCTTTTGGCTCATCCGTTGTTTAACGTTACGCTTAAAGATGTTTAAAGTTTAGATGGTTGGTTAGATTTTCATTGAAAGAACAGATTCTGCATGTGGAAAACATTGGATTTCAAATTGTCTTTTTTCTTCTATACAGCAAAAAGTTCTAGACATCAAGTTTCAGACATCAACTTAGACATCGTTTTAGACATCAAAATTCGGACATTAAGTTTTAGATATCAAGTTTTAGGCATCAAGTTTTGATCATTAAGTTTCAAACATCAAGTTTAAACATCGTTTGGACATCAAGTTTTAAACATCAAGATTTAAACATCAAGTTTTAAAAATCAAGTTTTAAACATCAAGTTATATACAGCTCTACACCATGACGACGGGAGTGACCCCTGGCCTAGAAGACTGGGGAGATATTCTGGTCGTTGGACTTTATTTCGTCTCCGTCCTTCTGGTGGGATTCTGGGTAAGTTTTTCCTTTAATCTCACCACAGATGGGGTGGGGGGAGGGGGAAGGTGAGAGGGAGGTATCTACAGCTTCTCCCAATTCCTCCCCTCTTTACATCCTCCTCCACCATTTCTCATTGATGTAAACAATTGAAATCATTTGTTTTTTAATGTTTGACCAGATTCAAATGTCCATGAACTTTTTGTGTGTCCACAGTCACTGTGCCGGCCCAACAGGGAGAGCGTCAAAAGTTATTTCCTCGCTGGGAGGGACATGCGCTGGTGGCCGGTGAGTCATAGTTACTTACCTCTACCTCCGTTCAATTTAGCATGCTTCTGACTCTAAGACTTCTGACTCTAAGTGGTGCTTATGTCTTCAAAAACTGATTTCAAGACGCCAGTCTCAATGTGCATGATTTATAAGACTCGAATGATTTACCTTCGATCTCTTCAATTCATTGAATGTAAAATTAATTTCTTGTCTATAATCATGAACTACCACAGGGGGAGAGATAGCGACTAATACATTTTGTTGAGGCTAGTTGATTATGTTAACACTTTCTTGGGGGTTTAAACCTAACGATAGCATCTTGTAGTGGGCTAGAAGCACTAAAACGTTAAGGTAACCCCTTCCAAATTGCAGCAAAGTATCTTTGGTAGAGGCTACATATCAGAGAGAGGCTACAGTATACGAGCAACAAGAAAAAAAATGTCAAAAAACATTATTTGAGAGAATCTAGCTTCAGAAATGGGGCATTCGTAACTTTAATGGTAACTTATACTGGATATTTAGTATTGCGACTGAAAAGTAACATGTTTAAAACACATGAAAATATATAGTAACGTGCAACACAAATCAAGATTAGTTTAATATATATTTGACACAACTTTTGAAGACAATAAAGAGCAAAGGAACAAACAACTTTGTCAAGGATCGTTTTTATTATATAATATATTTTAATATGTTATATAGATTTGTTTCGCGTTGTTTATTTTTCTCTATAACAAGAATAAATTTAAGAAATACAATATGTATCGCGAGATCTCGCAGTCCTTATAAGGCGTCACGTGATTGGTAAAACACATGAAGTGACCAATCACACTTCAGTTTACAAGGACACACGAAAACTATGTTTTAAATCAAAATGTCTTTTAATCAAATAAATTAACAATAAATTCCCGCCAGTATTTCGGCAGAATAAAGCTTTGCATGCAGTTTTACTCCCCACTATTCAAAATGGCGGGAGAAAACAGACTTTGGAAGCAGAACTCAAAGCATGACTCGGCTCCAGTAGGGCATCGTAGTGCGCATGCGTCGTACGACGTGAAGCACGTGTGGCGACACCTAGCGGCGAGGTTCCAGCAGCCTTCCACGCACGTCAGAGTTTCCTCGTCAAACTCCTCTGAGTGACACCCTAGGGAGACAAAACTTGCGAACATTTTGTTGCACACAAAACGGTATCGCTATATGTGATAGAACTTAATGCAAACATTTTGTTCCATACGAAACTGTATCGCTCTGTGTGATAGCACTAGGTTTTAACTTACATTTAGGGGTCATCCATAAATGTACGTCACGCTTTTTGACGATTTTTACCTCCCCCCTCCCCTCAGTCACACATCGTCACAAAAAGCCAGACCCCCCCCCCCCCTAAAATGACGTCACACATCAGCCTACAACCCCCCTCCCACCCCCCTCAAAATTGCAGTTGAATTTTTCTTAAAACATCGATATTTTTCCAAAAAAAATCTTTCAATGGAGTATTTTAATGAATTCCTATTACAATTTATTAAAACCGTTTTCTAAAAAGCGAAATAACGGCTAAAACTCGTTTTCTAACATTGCTTTTTTATAATTCAAAAGTGTGACGTCATACCATCTGAACCCGCCCCCTCCGCTTCATCAAACACCGTCACAAAATTAAGAACCTCCTCTCCCCTACGAATGTGACAACATTTATGGACGACCCCTTACATGCAGGAGTCATTGTGAATTAGTGGGATTTTGGTAGAAAAACAAGCCCACAGATTATTTGATAGAAGAGGTTAGAAGGTTGGTGGATCGTGTAGTTATATAGTGATGTATGAGGTGGTATAAAACCTGCACTATGCCAACATCACTGTCGTTGTTTATCTCTGATAGATCTCTGCTATTTTGAAAAATTGGAGAAACATTTTTAAAATACCTAACTTTGTCTTGGTTTATGGGGTCCTAGGACCTTTGACCACAGCGGAGCTTTGACCATAGGGGCTTTGACCATAGGGGGTTTGACCACAGCGGGCCTTTGACCATAGCGGTGCTTTGACCATAGGGGGTTTGATCATAGGGGGTTTGACCATAGGGCGTTTGACCACAGGTGGGAAGGGGTGGGCAACTTATGGACATGTTAAATGGGGCGGGTCAAAACGGCTCCGTCTTAGTGGTAAATATTATGTGAATACTACCCTGTGTGTCATGTGTATGGACAAAATTGTTCCATTTTAGCGGTAAATGTTATGTAAATACACCCTGTGTGTCATAGGTATCAATTCTATAAACCTTGTAATAAAAATGTTAAAAACACAATGAAAGCCAAAAGGAAAAGTACCAATTCTTTTAAGGTTGGGATAAAAAAAATCATCCAGTACAACTGATTATAAATTAAAGGCAACACTTTGGTCTAGTTCAGTGAAAATAACTGAAATTAAGCCTCTACTTCAAGACACACTGGCGTGACACTGATATCAAAACCGTTACCTTCAAGACACTCCATCTCCTCAACCACAGAGCTGTGGCACCTGTCAGCACAGAACGAGGCTCTGTCGTCACATGACCCAGCTGCCAGGAGCAGGCCCAGGAGCAGGGCTGGGAGCAGGAAGAACTTTGGAACCATCTCCAGCTGTCTGTGGAGAGCATCATTGTAAATTAGCGTCATTCTTCAATGTCTGATTATCCCAAGCAATAACTGGCTAGAATCTAGGAAATATTTGTTTCAAGTGGTCAAAATGTCACAACGTCATCAAATGTTACCACTATAAAGTTGAACTTATCAAATCTACAAATGTTCCAAATTTCACCACGTCGAAGTTGAAAGTATGAAATTTTTCAACTGTACAAAGTTGTAACTGGCCAGTGTTCACTGAGTCCCCAGCACAACCAGAACGTCATGTACCCAGCACATCAACTAAAGCCCACACGTCAGATACACACTACGACTACACAGTGATACAGTGTATTGTAGCCATCTTTCTCAAATAGACAAGAGAGCCAGATGCTAGCTCACTACTCATCAAGCCAACATTGTCATTTCTTCATTGTTTGGATAGTACTACGAGAATAAGCCTCCGATGCTGGAGTGTTACTAAATAAACGATAAACAAAATGAATAGAGAAAACTCCGCAATATCTACAAGTCGAATTTCGCAGGCGTTTTGTCTAATTACAAGTTTTCTTTGATTATTAATGTCTGATATGTCTAGCTCTTCTGCTTCGTTCTTAATTGACATGTTGGCCGGTAATTCCTCTAACAAATTTAAGTATTTATTACGTTGACTCCTATTTCAGCCTGCTTTTCTTTCTGGATTTGCCTCCACAGCCTATGTCCAACCAAGAACAAACTAAAGGGCAGCAGTTGGTTGATTTTGGAGTTGTCTCGATAGATTACTATCCACTGCTATCTCGCCTCAACTCGGGACTCTTCGGTTTAGCGTCTATGAGCTTTATCTCTCAAATGTCTTGCTGATATACCCAATTGTATCATTTTTTTTCAAGAAGACTAAAAAACGATCAAATTGTAAAAACACAATGCAGTTGGAAGTGTTAACTAACCACCTTACTTCTCTACTTTAGCGGATGCTACGTTTTACATAATTCAAACTGCGACTGGTAAAATAACTGATCTGTTGTGATTAAATAATCGAACTGTCGTCTATTTATATATGTGCTAAATGTGAAAGATTTTAAACATTGAAAAATGTCAGAATGTAGATTATATTATACAGTGGTTACAATAGTTTTAGAAAAATTAAAAATAGCGAATATTTAATTACAATAATTTTTGTATATTTCATTCATAAGTTGGGTCAGGACAATTAACAAGGGTGATTTGATAGAAATTATATAAATAAAAAATAAATTAAAATCTAATTTTATATGCTAATTTTATACTTAAATAGCCAGATCTCTAAAAGTATACAAAAATTCAAACCGTGTCTATAGGTCCAAATCCTGAGTGAAAATTCTGATCAATTTTTCTGTACAGCCGGTTATAGTCGCCCTGAGTCTATTGTTGTTTTGTTAGCTAATTACTGTCGGTAATTAATCAGTGGCCAGCACGTGTTTTGGCAGAGTGCTGGCACCCATGAGTGCTAACCGTTTTTCTGAGACACCGTTGCGCCAATTCGGTCAAGGTCATTAGCTAAGCTAATTTGTGAAGACTTCTTTATTAAATTTGAATTTTATATCAATACTTATTGATTAGTTCGGCACTCATAATGTGGTGAAGGCTACATAATTATAAATAAAAACGACAGTGTATTTTAATTTGAACTAGAGATTCAATTATATCAACACTAATGAAAAACCTTATTTTTAATAACCATCCCCTTATCAAGACAATTTGTTTTATTTCAGTTTAAACCTTGTAGGGCCATAATTCGCAGTAAAGCGTGCACTCTCTAGACAAAACATCAATCATATGGTGCAAAAAAAATTAAAAATATCGAGCACATGGATATTTTTAGCTACTCAAGCCCTCCAACCATCCCCACCCCGCCACGACTTATATACACTGTGTTGAAGTTGGTCATTTCCCCCACCTCCACCCCCTCTTTTGTCTGTCTGTTTAGCATTGTACTGAGGTAATGAAATTTTGTCTAGCTAAGCATTCGCTATTATGTATCTCAGCTACCATACCAAAGGTTCTCACAGTATGATACCACTGACCCCAGTACACAGGTCAAATGTTTACCTGCCGTAGCAATCACGTGCATTCAGTGCTCACGTCTCAAGGATTAGTGCCAGAGATCTTGACCGGAAGTGAAACAATCTAGAAGACAACTGACCGGAAATACCAGAAATCTTGACCCGAAATGAAGAAAGTAGATCAGAAGACAACTGACGGAAATTTTCAGTGCTCAAAATTATTTGTTTGATACAACGGCTGAACCTGTGTTTGATACAACGGTTAAACCTGTTGTTTGATACAACGGTTAAACATGTTTGATGCAAAGGTTAAACATGTTTGATGCAACGATCAAACCTGTTTGATAAAACGGTTAAACCTGTTTGATACAACGGTTGAACCTGTTGTTTGATACAACGGTTAAACCTGTTGTTTGATACAACGGTTAAACCTGTTGTTTGATAAAACGGTTAAACCTGTTTGGTACAACGGTTGAACCTGTTGTTTGATACAACGGTTAAACCTGTTGTTTGATACAACGGTTGAACCTGTTGTTTGATACAATGGTTAAACCTTGTGTTTGATACAACGGTTAAACATGTTTGATACAACGGTTAAACATGTTTGATACAACGGTTTAACCTTGTGTTTGATACATCGGTTAAACATGTTTGATACAACGGTTAAACCTGTTGTTTGATACAACGGTTAAACCTGTTGTTTGATACAACGGTTGAACCTGTTGTTTGATACAACGGTTGAACCTGTTGTTTGATACAACGGTTAAACCTTGTGTTTGATACAACGGTTAAACCTTGTGTTTGATACAACGGTTAAACCTTGTGTTTGATACAACGGTTAAACCTTGTGTTTGATACAACGGTTAAACCTTATGTTTGATACAACGGTTAAACCTGTTGTTTGATACAACGATTCAAACTGTTGTTTGATACAACAGTTAAACCTTTTTCACACCACTCATTCAAAAGCTTTTAAACATAACAAAACACACTAATGTTGAGTACTAAAATGTGATGTTTTATTGCACACCACACATCCAAAGGTTTATTAACAAAACAAAACACGCTAATGTTGAGTACTAAACTGTGATGTTTTATTGCAGGTCGGAGCCTCGCTGTTCAGCAGCAACATTGGCAGTGAGCACTTTGTTGGCCTGGCAGGGACAGGGGCGGCGGCAGGGATAGCCATGGTGCTGTATGAGTGGAGTGTAAGTGACGTCATTGTGATGTATGAGTGGAGTGTAAGTGACGTCATCGGGTGTATAAGTGGAGTGTAAGTGACGTCATGGTAATGTATGAGTGGAGTGTAAGTGACGTCATGGTGATGTATGAGTGGTGTGTAAGTGACGTCATTGTGCAGTATGAGTGGAGTGTAAGTGACGTCATGGTGATGTTTGAATGGAGTGTAAGTGACGTCATGATGATGTATGAGTGGCATGTAAGTGACGTCATGATGATGTATGCGTGGTGTGTCAGTGACGTCGTAGCTATATAATATTTAGAATCTAGTAGCCTAAACACTTTATGTCTTAGAGTGTATGCCGTATAGTGTATGCCCTAGAGTGTAAGCCCTAGAGTGTAAGCCCTAGAGTGTATGCCCTAGAGTGTAAGCCCTAGAGTGTATGCCCTAGAGTGTATGCCCTAGAGTGTATGCCCTAGAGTGTATGCCCTAGAGTGTATGGCCTAGAGTGTAAGCCCTAGAGTGTAAGCCCTAGAGTGTAAGCCCTAGAGTGTAAGCCCTAGAGTGTATGCCCTAGAGTGTATGCCCTAGAGTTTAAGCCCTAGAGTGTAAGCCCTAGAGTGTAAGCCCTAGAGTGTATGCCCTAGAGTGTAAGCCCTAGAGTGTAAGCCCTAGAGTGTATGCTCTAGAGTGTAAGCCCTAGAGTGTAAGCCCTAGAGTGTATGCCCTAGAGTGTATGCCCTAGAGTGTAAGCCCTAGAGTGTAAGCCCTAGAGTGTATGCCCTAGAGTGTAAGCCCTAGAGTGTAAGCCCTAGAGTGTATGCCCTAGAGTGTATGCCCTAGAGTGTAAGCCCTAGAGTGTAAGCCCTAGAGTGTAAGCCCTAGAGTGTATGCCCTAGAGTGTATGCCCTAGAGTGTATGACCTAGAGTGCACGACAGCGAGAGTGTGAGGTGCACTGCCCAACTGTACTTAGCGGTGAATCACCCGTATAGCCAGTCACCCTCTCCTGTTGACTGCGTGTTTATGATGACTGATGACTGCCCTCCCCTGTTGACTGCAAGTTTATGATGACTGATGACTGACCGTCACAGATGGCCACACATAGATCTAGATTTTTGCCCTCTCCGCTCTAAAATTAGAACAATTGTTTACGGGTCTGTAAGTGCATTTCAGACCTTTAGCAGACACATTATTTTTAAAATCATAAGGGGTGCATTTAGGTATTTGCAACAGCAAAGAACAATGTAGTAATTATTTCTGTAAAAATATGTTTTAGACCACAGTGAAAACTATGCCCTAGTTATCGTATAGTTAGATGAAACTCCAAAGATACAGATAGCTTTTTATTACGATAAATATTTATAATTTATACACAACCAAATGCAAGTCATCACATGTGTACCATCGTCACCATAGTAACCAGATACTGCTTTAAAAGTGGTATGTCTAATTGTGTATTACTCTACCCCCTATCAATATACAATGTGTCAGCTACCCAAAGACTCTCCAAATGTTATTGATACAATCTTTATAATACCGAAATCTTTCCCCAGTCGATGTTGTTGGTGATACTGCTAGCTTGGGTTTTCTTACCTGTCTACGTATCAGCCGGGGTAAGTTAACTCCTGTCCGATTATTTCCCTTTAATTATCTCCTATAATTTGATTTATGTAATAATTTTTCTGTGATTGTGAATTAATACTCGATTAATAAGTAAGCTTTTTATTTTATTTTTTATTTTAATTATGTGGCATTTTTAAAAAGTCGTAGTTAAAGATGAACACAAAATGTCGACAAATTTATAATGATGACTCATGCATGTTGGCAAAAACATGCATTAGGGCCACAAAGTGCTTACAATCTTTCAGCATTATAGAGCTTATTATGGAGAGTTGTGGCCTATATTAGCATTACATATCCTTGAAATGCATCCCAAACAATAAAAAGAACATACGTCTAAGCTTTTTACTTGATGTTCCCTGCTTTGGGATATTCCAAAGCTTTGAGAACAAACTACAAATATTTGTTGAAATTTATTTTTATTTTTAATTATATACATGTTTAATGAAACGAAACAAATTGAAAATTGTTCTAATGAAACGAAAAAGGTGAAAATTGTTCTAATGAAACGAAACTAATTGAAAATTGTTCTAATGAAACGAAACAAATTGAAAATTGTTCCAATGAAACGAAACTAATTGAAAATTGTTCCAATGAAACGAAACAAATTGAAAATTGTTCTAATGAAACGAAAAAGGTGAAAATTGTTCTAATGAAACGAAACTAATTGAAAATTGTTCCAATGAAACGAAACAAATTGAAAATTGTTCTAATGAAACGAAACAAATTGAAAATTGTTCTAATGAAACGAAACAAACTGAAAATTGTTCTAATGAAACGAAACAAATTGAAAAATGTTCTAATGAAACGAAACAAACTGAAAATTGTTCTAATGAAACGAAACAAACTGAAAATTGTTCTAATGAAACGAAACAAACTGAAAATTGTTCTAATGAAACGAAACAAATTGAAAAATGTTCTAATGAAACGAAACAAACTGAAAATGGTTCTAATGAAACGAAACAAATCCAAGGTTTACACCCTACCTGAGTACATGTCGAAAAGATTTGGCGGGACGAGGCTAAGAGTCTACCTCAGCTGTCTGTCGTTGGTGTTGTACATCGTCACAAAGCTTGCTGTAAGTATCATAGTAGCGTCACAAGTCGGGGGGGGGGGGGGGGGGGGGGGGGTCCCATCGGTCGATACCATTTATAAGTTTTCTGACACTATGTTAATGAAATCGGACCATTTACCAACATAGAAATGTAACATTTAGTTACATTGATGAATTGGGAGAGGGGTGATACCAATATGAAAATAATAATTAAGTTGAGCTATGACGATGCGCGACACGCGACCTAGTGACGCCACTGGTCAGATGTAAGCGTAAAAGGTAAGTTATGCTCTGTAAGATGTAATTGAAAAACGTAAATATCATTCAGCATAAATACGACTTGCGTTAAAAGTTTATAATTTTAAAAAAAAAACGCAGCACTGACTGCTTTCTGTTCACCTTGATACACGTATGAATTGATTTCTCTTAAACGAGATACAAGCTTGTAAGTGTATTTACTGATGTAACACAAGCGTGTATATTTCACGAAATCACTGCCCACAGGTCAGTATCTATGCTGGAGGTCTGTTCATCAAACTGGCCCTGGGCTGGGACATGTACATCTCTATCGCTGGTCTTCTGTTGGTCACCGGCCTCTACACAGTCTTAGGTTCGTTATTTTGTTTCGTTTCTTTTTTTATTCATTTCTTTTTTTGTATCTTATCCCTCAGTTAAACGAATACCTAATCTAATCTATCCTATAATCCTATTACCCGGGGAGGATCTTTGAGGCGCCACTGTTGGGGCATCACTTCATAATGCCCTTCTAAGAACGGTTACTCTAAGTTTTCTCCCATAAGGCATTACGCAAAGCCCGAATTTCGATCATTTTTTTTAAATTGTTGAGAATTTCATTAAACCTTACCAGTCCCTCATCTGTCATATGTATATGTTACTCACAATCTTAAATGTTAATTAACCTTTGTGTATCCATACCCTCATTTGTGTATGCTACTATCTTAACCGCCTTTGTGTAGGTGGCCTGGCTGCAGTAATTTACACAGACACATTCCAGACCCTTATCATGACGGTTGGCGCCGTCATCCTGGCTTTTATAAGTGAGTACAAACAAATCTTTCACTTGCATGTTAGGTGCGGTAAACACGTGATGATGCAGTCAGTGCCGGCTGTTTAGAGACTAGGTACAATGCAACTTATCGGCGCTATAAAGTAGATTCACATAACGAAGTCAGAGGCGTAGCGGTTGAGGGCGGGGGTACATATGTCCCGGGCGCCGACCTTATGGGGCCCAAAATGGGTTGGAAAAACAAATTTAAATCTCATTTTAGCTGAAGTTTTGCATTATAAATCTAAATAATATATCGTTTGGCCCCGGGCGCCGGGAAGGGTCGCTACGCCTCTGAACGAAGTAGATTCACATAGTCTCATACCGGCTATATAAACGTTGTTTTTTTTTTTAATCAAACCCACGACAATGTAATTGTAAACAATAAAAGCTGTAAGTGGACGGGGGGGGGGGGGGGGGGTCTAAATTCCCAAAATTTTGTTGACGTCATAAATCGATGACCACAAAGTGAACGCTTGCGGACGGGGGGAAGGGGGTCTAAAATCCCAAAAATTTTGTGGACATCATAAGTGGATGACCCCCAAAGTGTGTGGGGGGGGGGGGGGTCTAAAAGCCCAAATTTTTTATGATGTTTTTTTTTTTCCCAGCACTGTGGATATGTTGGTAACCTATTAAGGGAATATGTGTCTGCTCTGTTTACGATGGCAAAGTACATACTCTGAACATGTGCTAGCGCTGAGGCTACATAGATAGAGAGAATATACTTTAAATACTTGTCTGCCTCCACGCAGGTTTCAATTGAATATTTGTCTGTCCACGCAGGTTTCAATTGAATATTTGTCTGTCCACGCAGGTTTCAATTGAATATTTGTCTGACCACGCAGGTTTCAATAGAATATTTGTCTGTCCACGCAGGTTTTAATTGAATTTGTCTGTCCACGCAGGTTTCAATTGAATATTTGTCCACGCAGGGCTCAATTGAATATTTGTCCACGCAGGTTTTAATTGAATATTTGTCTGTCCACGCAGATTTCAATTGAATATTTGTCTGTCCACGCAGGTTTCAATTGAATATTTGTCCACGCAGGTTTTAATTGAATATTTGTCTGTCCACGCAGATTTCAATTGAATATTTGTCTGTTTACGCAGGTTTCAAATGAATTAGTCTGCCTTCACGCAGGTTCCAATTGAATATTTGCCTACGCAGGTTTTAATTGAATTTGTCCACGCAGGTTTCAATTGAATGTTTGTCCACGCAGGTTTCAACAAAATCGGCGGCTATAGACAGCTGGAGTACCGGTACATGATGGCGGAGCCAGTCAACGACACCATGGGGTGCGGCAGACCCAGGGAGGACGCCTTCCATCTGTTCCGTGACCCAGTCAGCTCAGACAACCCCTGGCCCGGGGTCCTCCTGCAGTCCAGCATAGGGTGTATGTGGTACTGGTGCTGTGACCAGGTCAGGGGTCATTTCTCGTCGTCTGTGACTCATATATAAACGGTTCATTTTTTTAACTGTCGCGATCTGTGACCCTACACTTCGATTTATGTTTTAACTAATGTTTCAGGACTCAAAGGCCAAAATATGTTGTGATTCTGTTTTTGTCTTTTGTACTTAATTTTAAGTTTAATTTCTCTAGTTGTTTCATAATTGAGACGATGACCTTTGCCTTTCTCACAGGTCATAGTGCAAAGGTCACTGGCCGCCAAGAACTTGAGTCACGCCAAAGCAGGGTCGATACTAGCCGGGTACCTCAAGCTGACGCCGCTGTTTTTCATGGTCCTGCCCGGCATGATAAGTCGAGCTCTATACCCAGGTGACTAGCTGACCCCTCTGTTTTTCATGGTCCTGCCCGGCATGATAAGTCGCGCTCTATACCCAGGTGACTAGCTGCCCCCTAACGTTTTTTATGGCATCAGTTAATTTCTGACGCTAACCGTAACTTTAAGCCCAATATTTTTCGTGAGGGTGCCTGGCATGATAAGTTGTGCTGTTTTCCGGGTAATTTACGAGTGCCAACCTTAACCCGGGACGTATAAGGGCAAAAGTTTATGTCTGTGAGGGTGGGGGTTTTAAGAAAGCGGTAACGAATGAATCCAACAACACGCAGTTCAAGTTCAACTATAATTGTTCTTTATTAAAATGATATATATGTTCAAGTTTCTACCTAACTGATCTACACTGTACTATTTACTTCTACTACTGACTGTTCACTATACTACTAACTCCCACGACCAATCCTAACACTATCTACATTCTACAATCTAACACCTTCTACCTTCGCTAGCTAATTATGATCTCCTAACTATCTACATCCTCGGCCGTCTCTGACCGCTACCTAACACCGTCCTCGCCTATCGCTCTACTGCCCCACACCTCAGTGGTCAGCTGACCATACCACGTGACCGGTCAGTCTCTGAATTTCCATTGGTCTACCTCTGACTAACACGCTAAAGTCTATTTCTGCTATCTACCTGGCTTCGACGCAACATTGCGTCATCACATATCTCCCTCCCTTTCTGTAGCTGACAAATTATATTTTTCAGCGTCTGCTACTAATCTAATACATCAACAACTATCTGTCTTACTACTCTATTCTATCCCTAACATCAATCATATAAATCAAATAAAAAATGGGACAGCACAGTTTACAAAAACATAAAATCTTGTGTCTGTGTTCCTGAAAAAAAAATGTCATTGTTCTAGTTTTTGTGTAAGTATCCTGACGTCTGTGGTGTCTCTGCTTGATAATGTATGTCTATGTTATGGTTTGATTGAATCTAATCATGTGTAACTCAGTTCTGGTTAGGTTGTCGTGTACTGGCCTTGAGCTAATCTTAGTAGAATGTGTAACTGGTTGAACGGGCTCTGTGAGCAGTGTAAGTGTATGTGTAAGTTATGTAATTGTTGGCGTTCCTCTGTGGTGGGTGGGTTGTGGCGAGTTTTGGTCTACGTAAGTTCCCGTGAGGCGGGTGTAGGCGTAACTTTCGTTGGTCAATGTGATGACGCAACAAACTCAACGCTGGTTGAGACGTCCACGTAGAGTGGTTATGCGATGAACTGGAGCTGTCTGATGCGGTGGCGAACAATGACGTAACGTTCCGACGCTGGGAACTTGGACGATGGGTCTTCTACCATTTGTATGTGCCGACGTAGGTGTACGTAGCTGGCGGTCTGTTATTCAACCCCAGTGCGGGGGCGAAGCGGTGGCGATGCGTCCGCTGTCTTGACCAGGGCAATTCTCTGTTAAGCAAGGCTGTTCGCTGTCCAGGTAATTCAACGTAATCAGGGCTTCAGGTGGCGGCATTCTTTGAAGTGTCTGCTTCATCTCGTCTCATTCTGAATAAGCGTAGTGGGTCTGAAATTGTATTACGAGACCATGAGCAATGGCTTTATGTGACCAATTTAGTGCCCGCGCAGACAAGTATTCAGACAGAGGTACCTTCCATTAAAAAAAAACCTCAATCCCAAATTTAAACGTGCTGAACATTTGTCTGGCGGCATAAAAAACATAAAAAAAATAACATAACAACATAACCAAAATAAAAAAATCAGTACACTCTAATCTAACAACAATCTGTAAAGCCTAATAAACTCAATAGACGTAAACACTACTAGAGCTTAGAAATAGCTTCACAAAAACAATAGACATGTGAGTGTGTATCGTGTCATTTCAACACGTGATCATATAGTGGAGCAGCTCTCACTATCTGACTTCTGACAAAAAACTGGCTGGCTTGACTTAATGACTGACTTCACTTATGACTTCAGTAACTTGACTGATTTCAGTAACTTGACTTATTTCACTTTGACTTCAGTAACTCGACTGACTTCAAATTAACGACTGACTTCACTTTAGACTTCAGTAGCTTGACTGACTTCACTATGACGACTTATTTCAATTTGACGACTTACTTCACTGACTTCATAAACATCACTGACCGGCTTCGACTTCACTTGACGACTAAATTCTCTTTGACGACTAACTTGACCTCGACGACTTCACTTCAATTCAACTTAAAAGACTTCAATATGACTTCAAAGACTTCACTTTGACTTCAACAACTTCAATATGACTTCAAAGACTTCACTTTGACTTCAACAACTTCAATATGACTTCGAAGACTTTACTTTGACTTCAACAACTTCAATATGACTTCAAAGACTTCAACGACTGACTTAGATTAACCTTACTTCGACTTCAAAGACTTTAACTTTGACTTCAAAGATTTCAACGACATCACTTTGATTTCAAAGACTTCACTATAACTTTGACGATTTCACTTCTTCACTATGACCTCAGCGACTTTAATATAACTTCAAAGACTTTTCTTTGACTGCAACATGACTTCAACTACGTCACTATGACCTCAACTACGACTTCAACAACATTGACTGACTTGACTGACTTCAAATAACCTCTTTGACTTCAGTTCTGACTTATACTTCACTGACTTCAATACACTATTGACTTCAGATTGACTACACTGACTTCGACTTCAACTATATCGACTTCACGCCGATTTCCTCGACTACTTAGATCAACACAAAAATACTCGACTTGACTTCACTTTTGTCCGTTGTTCAAAATCATTTATGGGGGCGGTCCGGGTCAAATTCCTGGTCATGGGGTTGATGTTCTTGGGCAGTTGCGTGTTATCTATTTGCTATGTTTTCAGTTTCACTAATTCTAACGCTAACTCTGCTTTTGTTCTTGACATGTCTTACTATCTTGACTATCTTGTTTTCTAACTTATTCTCTACAAATGTTTCAACTTCTTCTCCTGTTTTGTCTAATGGTATGCCCTGTTTATAGCATTGAAACTCTGCCTCCATGGTTGTGTATGTGTATGTGTGTGTGTTGAGGAAAGTCAAAATAACTAAGGCAACAGTGCGTAACAATAGAATGTGTAAGGCAGAAAAACCGCTGGCACAAACTATCCAGCACGGGTATAAACCCAAACGTTTAAAAAAATGATGGCAGGTACTTATCTTTTTGAACATGGTGACTGTTCCCTTGTATTGGTAATCCACTCGTTCCGGTTGAAGAAACCCGCTGTTGTGTTGAGTTGAAGAAAGCTGTACACCAGATGTACTCCGTCATGAGTAGCTGATATACTTTCTTTCCTGTCCTCGACCCGCGGTTCGTCCCGCGCTCCACCAGATGTGAGGGTGGGGATTTTAAGAAGGCGGAACGAATGAATCCAACAACACGCAGTTCAAGTTCAACTATAATTGTTCTTTATTAAAATGATATATATGTTCAAGTTTCTCCCTAACTGATCTACACTGTACTATTTACTTCTACTACTGACTGTTCACTATACTACTAACTCCCACGACCAATCCTAACACTATCTACATTCTACAATCTAACACCTTCTACCTTCGCTAGCTAATTATGATCTCCTAACTATCTACATCCTCGGCCGTCTCTGACCGCTACCTAACACCGTCCTCGCCTATCGCTCTACTGCCCCACACCTCAGTGGTCAGCTGACCATACCACGTGACCGGTCAGTCTCTGAATTTCCATTGGTCTACCTCTGACTAACACGCTAAAGCCTATTTCTGCTATCTACCTGGCTTCGACGCAACATTGCGTCATCACAATGTCCCTAAACCTAACCCAGGCAACAGTATGTCACGTTAAATCCTTATCTGGGAAACACTTTATATCGTTAGCAAGGTAATTGTATATCATTACCTGGATAACTGTATATAACGTTAGCTAGGTAATTGTATATCATTACCTGAATAACTATATATAACGTTAGCTAAGTAATTGTACCTGGGTAACTGTATGTAACGTTAGCTAGGTAATTGTATATCATTACCTGAGTAACTATATATAACGTTAGCTAGGTAATTGTATATCATTACCTGAGTAACTGTATATAACGTTAGCTAGGTAATTGTACCTGGGTAACTGTATGTAACGTTAGCTAGGTAATTGTATATTATTACCTGAGTAACTATATATAACGTTAGCTAGGTAATTGTATATCATTACCTGAGTAACTATATATAACGTTAGCTAGGTAATTGTATATCATTACCTGAGTAACTGTATAACCTAGCATAAGCAGCATAATAAAACTTTCTGCATATCAACAAAACAGTAACTTTATATCCCAGGTCATTAAGTCATGTCATTGATTCATTAATTACCTCACACATCCTTCCTGTTTCCAGACGTTGTTGCGTGCACGGACCCAGCTCTGTGTGAGCAGTACTGTGAAAACCCAGTCGGCTGCTCAAACGTCGCCTACCCTAAGCTCGTCCTTGAACTTATGCCTGTAGGTCTGTGTACATTTTGTTTTCATTTTAAGACATCAATTTGTGCATTACTTCCGTAATGCTGGTTCGTTAGTAGAAATTGGAAAATTGTGTAGATATGATAATAAAATCTAAAAATTTGGAAAAGTGCTTTATACATCCCAGCCACATATACTTCACACATCCCAGGCACATATACTTCACACGTCACAACCACACGCAAATGGCTCACCACAACCACACATGTGTATCACTACTGATGTCATGGTGTCTTCGTTTGTCCAATCATTTCTAAAAAAAAAAGGCTTGCTGATAGCTGTCATGCTGTATTTATTTATCCAATCAGGTCTAAAAAGCTTTCTGATAGCTGTCATGCTGTCTTTATTTATCCAATCAGGTCTAAAAGGCTTTCTGATAGCTGTCATGCTGTCTTTATTTATCCAATCAGGTCTAAAAGGTTTGCTGATTGCTGTCATGCTGTCTTTATTTATCCAATCAGGTCTAAAAGGCTTGCTGATTGCTGTCATGCTGTCTTTATCCAATCAGGTCTAAAAGGTTTGCTGATTGCTGTCATGCTGTCTTTATTTATCCAATCAGGTCTAAAAGGCTTGCTGATTGCTGTCATGCTGTCTTTATCCAATCAGGTCTAAAAGGTTTGCTGATTGCTGTCATGCTGTCTTTATCCAATCAGGTCTAAAAGGTTTGCTGATTGCTGTCATGCTGTCTTTATCCAATCAGGTCTAAAAGGTTTGCTGATTGCTGTCATGCTGTCTTTATCCAATCAGGTCTAAAAGGTTTGCTGATTGCTGTCATGCTGTCGGCCATCATGTCGTCCTTGACCTCCATATTTAACTCGGCCGCGACCTTGTTTACCATGGATCTATGGAGAAGATTTAGGTCAAGGCCGTCGGAACGGGAACTGCTTATTGTGGGGAGGTGAGGTGTGTGGGTTGAGGAGGTGTGTGTGTTGAGGAGGTGTGTGGGTGGAGGAGGTGTGTGGGTGTGTTGAGGAGGTGTGTGGGTGGAGGAGGTGTGTGGGTGGAGGAGGTGTGTGGGTGGAGGAGGTGTGTGTGTGTTGAGGAGGTGTGTGGGTGGAGGAGGTGTGTGGGTGGAGGAGGTGTGTGTGTGTTGAGGAGGTGTGTGGGTGTTGAGGAGGTGTGTGGGTGGAGGAGGTGTGTGTGTGTGTTGAGGAGGTGTGTGGGTGTTGAGGAGGTGTGTGGGTGGAGGAGGTGTGTGGGTGGAGGAGGTGTGTGTGTGTTGAGGAGGTGTGTGTGTTGAGGAGGTGTGTGGGTGGAGGAGGTGTGTGTGTGTTGAGGAGGTGTGTGGGTGGAAAAGGTGTGTGTGTGTTGAGGAGGTGTGTGGGTGGAAAAGGTGTGTGTGTGTTGAGGAGGTGTGTGGGTGGAGGAGGTGTGTGTGTGTGTTGAGGAGGTGTGTGGGTGGAGGAGGTGTGTGTGTGTGTTGAGGAGGTGTGTGGGTGGAGGAGGTGTGTGGGTGGAGGAGGTGTGTGGGTGGAGGAGGTGTGTGTGTGTGTGTTGAGGAGGTGTGTGGGTTGAGGAGGTGAATTAGGGTTTGGGAGGCGATGAGTTGAGGGTTGGAGTTGGGAGGTGTCTGTGATAGAAAGGTGTGGTATGTTATGGAAGGTCATGGGTTGGTGGGGTGTATAGGTGGATGAGATGTGGGGGTAGGTCAAGGCCGTCGGAACGGGAACTGCTTATTGTGGGGAGGTGAGGTGTGTGGGTTGAGGAGGTGTGTGTGTTGAGGAGGTGTGTGGGTGGAGGAGGTGTGTGGGTGTGTTGAGGAGGTGTGTGGGTGGAGGAGGTGTGTGGGTGGAGGAGGTGTGTGGGTGGAGGAGGTGTGTGTGTGTTGAGGAGGTGTGTGGGTGGAGGAGGTGTGTGGGTGGAGGAGGTGTGTGGGTGGAGGAGGTGTGTGTGTGTTGAGGAGGTGTGTGGGTGTTGAGGAGGTGTGTGGGTGGAGGAGGTGTGTGTGTGTGTTGAGGAGGTGTGTGGGTGTTGAGGAGGTGTGTGGGTGGAGGAGGTGTGTGGGTGGAGGAGGTGTGTGTGTGTTGAGGAGGTGTGTGTGTTGAGGAGGTGTGTGGGTGGAGGAGGTGTGTGTGTGTTGAGGAGGTGTGTGGGTGGAAAAGGTGTGTGTGTGTTGAGGAGGTGTGTGGGTGGAAAAGGTGTGTGTGTGTTGAGGAGGTGTGTGGGTGGAGGAGGTGTGTGTGTGTGTTGAGGAGGTGTGTGGGTGGAGGAGGTGTGTGTGTGTGTTGAGGAGGTGTGTGGGTGGAGGAGGTGTGTGGGTGGAGGAGGTGTGTGGGTGGAGGAGGTGTGTGTGTGTGTGTTGAGGAGGTGTGTGGGTTGAGGAGGTGAATTAGGGTTTGGGAGGCGATGAGTTGAGGGTTGGAGTTGGGAGGTGTCTGTGATAGAAAGGTGTGGTATGTTATGGAAGGTCATGGGTTGGTGGGGTGTATAGGTGGATGAGATGTGGGGGTGGAGGAGGTGAGCGCTCTACTACCCGACCACACGGGCGTACGTTTGGCATCACTGACTTTGCAGTTCTCTAAAGTCTAAATCTAAAATATGGTTAAGATGTAAGGTTAGCATTAGAGTTAGACATAGATGGTATTACATAAAATGCCAATTGCGTCTGGAGAAAGAAAAAAAAACTTTAACAATCTCAGTCAAATAGATGCGTTAAGTGTGAGAAGGTCTGGTCAATAGTGTTTCTTCCAGACTTTTTTCTCCGGGTGGGGGGGCACTTGAAATTTTCGGGGGGGGGGGGGGCGGTAGACTTTGTTCGGGGGGGGGGGGCGGACACTGTTAAAAGTATATATTTTCTATATAAATTATATTAATTTCATTTCGTTCTGGAAGGGGGGGGGGGGGTAAAAAAAATTCGGGGGGGGGATGCCTGGAAGAAACTCTGCTGGTCAAGCATACAAATACAAACATCAGTCATGAATTTGGTTCACTGGCTCGCTATCTAACACGTACCTGAGTCCACCTAGTTCTGACAAGTTGATAGTCAGGGAGAGCGTAGGCGGCTGGACATAGTGCTGACCACAGTATTTCTACATTGAGCTCACGGAAACAGATGAACTCTACTTAATCAGTTCTCAAAAGTAAAGGAATACCATTTTTCTAAGGTGCTTAAAAAAGTATCGGCAAAAGACTTAATAAATTTAAATATTACTTTTAATGTATTTTCTGAATGCTTATACTTTAAATTGATATTTATCTGATAAATTTCTTAAAAGGCTTTTTGTTTTGTTGCTGTGTGGAGTAGCCATTTTGTGGATTCCAATGGTTAGGTCATCGCAGGGCGGGCAACTCTTCAATTACATTCAGGCGGTGCAGGGTTATCTCGGCACGCCGATTGGCGCGCTCTTCCTGGCGGCCATTTTGTGGAAACGAATGAATGAAAGAGTAGGTATTGGCTGGACATTTACAGATTTGGCTGAACAATTACAGATTAAATAATTTATTTTTTATTTTTGGCTTTAATTAAGATTTACAGATTAATTACAATTTAATTTATTGCTGAAGAATAACGAATGAATTTATTTTAAATGGTTGACCGAGGAATTTGTGAAATTAGTGAGTTAAGGGTATGTTAACTTATGCTTATTTTCAGGGTGCTTTCTATGGAATACTGATTGGCCATGCCTGTGGAATATCTCGAATGGTGATTGACTTCATGTATCCTGCCCCAGGCTGTGGTAATGTTGTTTTTTTTCCCGCACACTTATATATAGTATACTACTATAGCCTAATATAAGATACTTGATGTAAAATTTTGTATATTGTTGTGTCATAGTACATTTGCTATTAGAAGTAAACATTTCAAATTAAAATGTTTAGGACACTTTCGGTCTAAAAATATATATCCGACTACTGTCTCGTAAAGGCACATCGTCATTTAGCTGTTTGGTTTATCATCATCATCATCATCACTCCTTTATGGCCCCTGGGGAGCAAAGGCTGCAACCACACATCTCCAGCGGACTCGGTTTTGGGCTGCCCCCTTTATCTGTGCCCATGAGAGCCCAGCTGTTTTTGCCTCTTCCTCAACCGTTCTCTTCCATGTTTTCCTTGGCCGGCCCACCCTCCTTTTCCCCTGAGGATTCCAATCCAATGCATGTTTTGCGATGTTTTCTTTTTCTTTTCTTAACGTGTGTCCGATCCATTGTTTGGTTTATAATGACGTCAAATCGAGGATTACATCCAATGACGTCATATGTTATTGAGGGCCAGCGTGGTCGGGCGGTAAAGCGCATGGCTATTAATCAGAAAAGTTCTGAGTTCAAAACGCCGGGCAGATAAGGTTCGGTAACAGGGGTCAGCAACCCACCTGTGAGAGGAAACTCTGAATCAAACAGGAGTGGAGCCCCTTCGACGATAACATTACCAATCCTGCTTTCCCTTCGGCAGCTCCTGCGACACAGCCGATGCCAAGTTTTACAGGCAGGTTGCCCATGTGGGGGGAAGGGACCTGATACATGGGCAACATCCGGCTCTTCTCAACTTGCTAGCCCAGGCATTTCGCCTAGATTTCCAAGGCGCATTGATCCAATTGTATATCAGACTACGCAGCCATTTATTTAGGCATTCTATAACTACTCGGCCGAGGTGTCTAGTTTGATATAAAAACATTTGTATTCAATGTTTCTATCGGGTATTTCGCTCCGACGAAGGGGTGGGGGTATTTCAAACTTCTCTGGGATGGGGAATTATAAAAATGATTAATATTTTATTTAAAGGTAATATTATTTCTTGTTCAGGGTCGGTGTAGGGGGGGGGGGGGTCGGACGTGTTCCGGGCAGTGTTTCTTCTAGACTTTTTTCTCAGGGGGGGGGGGGCACTTGAAATTTTCGGGGGGCGGGGTAGGCTTTTTTCGGGGGGGGGGGGGGGGCGGACACTGTTAAAAGTATATATTTTCTATATAAATTATATAAATTTCATTTCGTTCGGAGGGGGGGTAGAATTTTTTTTTCGGGGGGGGGGGGGGAGGGGGGAAGCCCCCCCCCCCCCCCCCCCCAAGATGAACTCTGGTTCCGGGGAGAGAAGTCTGAAAGAAACCATGCTTGAAATGAAATATTAATATTGATTGAACCGTAAACTTCTTGATTGTGATTTTCGTCTCATTTTCAGGCGAAGAAGACACTCGCCCAGTCATCCTCAGCGCCGTTCACTACACCTACTTCGGCAGTTTGAGCCTCGTTGTCACCACACTGGCTATAATTATCTTTTCCTTCACGGCGCCTGCGCAAACCGAAGACGAGGTCAGTAGAAATATTATACCCCGTCTTTAGTATTTGATAACAGGATGACATTGCCGGGAAGGGATAGTGTAATTTTTACTCCAGAAGCCCCGAGTTCGAAACCCAGGCAGATGGGGCTTGTTAGCTGGTGACTGGGAATGGGTAGGGTAATACTGAAAGTAAATATACCAGTTCAAATAATACCAGTATATAACAGTTTTTATTAACCTCAAACCCATATTGTTGCAATTTCGTCACCAGTTGTACGGCGTCACGTGGTGGACGAGAGTTGACGTCATCGACAAGTCGTCAGCGGTGGAGTCATCTATACCCCAAGGTAACAGACGGTTAGCTAAGGGCAGGTAACGAGAAGGATGACTCCTTGCGAACAGAGGGGCAAAAACTGGTACCGCTACCTTTCCCGTGACATACAGAGAGTGTGTCATAACTTATGACACACGCTATGTATGTCACAAGAATGGTAGTCATAAGGCTGAAAGATACCTACAGGCAGGAATGGGAAAGGGAGTGGACATAGGGTTCCAAGGCCCGGATTGTTTTCAAGAACATGAAAAAAATCTTTGAAGTCGGACCCGTGGTGGAGAATGCATAGATGGCGACAGTCTATCATTACCCAGCTACAAACAAGGCACTGTCCGTCTAGATCAGGGGTCGGCAACCTGCGGCTCGAGAACCGCATGCGGCTCTTTTGATATCAAAAGAGGCCGGCGGTTGCGACTGTTGCAGTTTTGCCGCTGAATATATTTGTATCCCTTAACCGCTATGTAGGACGTCCGATTAAAGGATGCCAAGTGCTAACATAGCCAAACAGTGTATTGACGAAAATCGCACACTCCCGGTCGCCGCCTATAAGAAATTTTTTTCCGCAGAAATCTTCTTTAAGTATTCTCATCTACTCTCCAAAGTTTCATGGAACTCGGATGAACGGTGTCGAATCGCATCCTCCCGGGACACCGCCCTTGTAAAATTAAAAATGATTTTTTTTTAAGAAACCTCCCCTAGAGTGTGCTGACCAACTTCCCAACCAGGCGCCACCCCTGCGAATTTGACATTTTATTTTCCCGCAGATACCTCCCGATGAGTATTTTCAACAACTTTCTAAAGTTTCATGGCGATCAAATTAAATGAAAGGTGTAGTAATGAATAAAACAGACACGCACATACATTGCTTTGATATATATATATATATATATATATATATATATATATATATATATATATATATATATATATATATATATATATAATGTTAGTGGTTCTTTAAAACTGGGAAATTGTGTAAATTGTTACTTTAGGCTCTCCCTTCTCAAAAGGTTGCCGACCCCTCGCCTAGAGCAGGGGTCGGCAACCTGCGGCTCGCGAGCCGCATGCGGCTCTTTAGCTGCCAAGATGCGGCTCTCCTGCTCCTTGAACAAATACTAATAATCTTAATAAAAAATAAAATATTCGTAATAAAAAAAATGTTAGTGGCTTTTTAAAACGGGAAATTTTGAAAATTGTAACTTTTGGCTCTTCCGCTTCAAAAGGTTGCCGACCCCTGGCCTAGAGGGGAATAATTTTCTTTCCAAAAACAAAACATTTGTTCCAAAAAAGGCATTATTAACCACATATTAAATTAGCCTATCGGAAATGTATAAATTTTGTATTAATTAAAGCTAGCTGTTTCGATTAACATTAGATTTAAAAAATAATTCTATATTAAAGAAACATTTAAAAAGTAGACAATTTGTCGTGTAAAAATTTAACTATTCAAATTAAGTAAAATACTAAATTACGAATATTGTTTGCATTTTGATATTAATAAATTTGTCTGTATTTCCTAATAACTTTGTAACCAGTTATTTCCCTTGTTATTTTTTTTTTAAATATATTTTTTTAAATATAGGTAATGCATGTCTCTTTTTTTTTTTTGACAACACATTCCTTAAGGATCACCTATTTATGTCCACACAAATTTAGAATTTTACATTCTGTCCATAAGCGTCCACTTTGGACAACCCGCCAACACCCTTCTCCTCTTTCCCCAACTTGAACGTCCATTTAAAATTTCAATAGTTCTCTTACCACTTTCTTTCAATATAGGCATAATAATTTAATAACGTGTTGTGTATGTGTAGCTTGCAATACTAAACTCCTGCATACTGATTTACACGTTTCCGAAGTGTCTGTTACAAAATACTAAAAGTAGAATATTGTGTTTTGAGTAAATTAAACAATTTTTAAAGTATATTTATGAGCACATTTAAAATTTTATTTTCGATTTTCGATTAACGATTTTCCCCAAATTAAAAAAAAAATTACTGATACATCGTATTTAACTTGACATTTTTTTCCTTGGGAAGAAAACTTTTTAAAGTAGTATTTGTAAAAGTCTAATGCAGTATTAAAATAAACCGTACGGCCAAAGTCAAGTTTATGAACGGCCAAAGTCAAGTTTATGACCCCAGTTTATGTTTTGTTACATTCAGGGTCGGGACGTCGTCATGGATGCGACCCAGTGACGTCGCTAGGTCGGGTGTCACCCCCCCCCCCCACCCTTGTCGGGATTGGTAAATTTTGCACTTAATTAAAATGACTTTTAACTATTTAATTAATCCTTTATTTAACTGGAATGATCGTTTTTTTTCATAGGCCTATGAATTTTGCTATTTTAGCTTTGGTGTCACCCCCCTAAATGGTGTCACCCAGTGCGGTCCACACCCCCCACCCCCCTCGCGACGCCTTTGATCCGACCCCCTCCCCCTTCGTTACTTTCAATAGTTTGTTGGAGTGAATGTATTTACTGATGTTGTTTACCTAATTTAAGTGTACATATATCTACTGCGGGTTGTTATCTTTAAAACAGATTCCAGAACCTTCCACGTCTCCGAGCCCGCCCCACAACACAGCAAATGCGACAGGTTCTTGAACACGGTATGCGGCGTGCCGTTCTCTAACGCCAAATCCAGCGAGACGGCAGAAATAACGGTCAAACAGGCAAAGGCTTTCCTGGCACAAGACCAGACGTCGAGGAACGTTTTGGATATTAACGCGGCCATAGGCCTGGCTGTAATGGCTTTTCTGATTGGTTACTTTCATTAATCGGATTTTTGTAAACATGGTGTCTGTTTGGTGATTCATGACACACATCAATTTCAGAGGCGTAGCGACCCTTCCCGGCGCCCGGGGGCAAACTTTCAATTTGGCGTCCCTCCTCGGGAGCAAATCTTTCAATTTGCACCCCCCCCCCCCCCTCAAACTTTCGATTTGCCCCCCCCCCCCTCAAACTTTCGATTTGCATCCCCCTCAAACTATTTATAATTTGTTTTTCCAACCCATTTTGGAGCCCCCAAAGGTCGGCGCCGGGGGACATATGTACCCCCCTCCCTACGCCTTTGATCAATTTTGTGGTGTAACAATGGTATACTTTTTATCCAACTGGTAGCATTTTTAACACTTTGTTTTTTTTGTATGGATGACTTCAAAGTCTTGATAAAAACAGCTAAAGTCTATGAGTACGATTGATATCGGTTTATAAGTCTATAGGTTGTAACAATTAGCTACTGGTGTGTTGAAAACTGTTGTTGTGATGATTGGGTCAACTGTACTTTTGGGGGGTCATCCATAAATGGCGTCCCGCCTTTTTGGACGATTTTTACCTCCCCCCTCCCCTCCGTTACACATCGTCACAAAAAGCCAGACCCCCCCCCCCTAAAATGACGCAACACTTGAGCCTACAACACCCCTCAAAATTGCAGCTGAATTTTTCTTAAAATAAGATATGTTTCCAAATTCTTGTCTGAACTCTCTCAACATAGAGTATTTGAATCAATTCCAATACAATTTATTAAAAGTTTTTTAAAACGCGAAATAACGGCAAAAATTCGTTTTCTAACATTTTTGTATAATGCAAAAGTGTGAGGTCACACCATCTGAACCCCCCGGCCCCTCATCACACACCATCAAAAAATTACTGCCCCCCCCCCCTTCGAGTGTGACGTCATTTATGGACGACCCCTTATAAGTCTACAGGTTGTAATTAACTACTGGTCTGTTGAAAACTGCTGTTGTGATGATTGGTTCAACTGTACTTTCTTGTTTTAACAACAGTCTAATTACTAATTAATATTAATTACTTTTAACTTTTAACTTGATGAAATGTGTTTAGTCATGGTTGCCTGTTGATCTGATAGATAAGTTTATTATATAGCTATGCCATTGGTGTCAGAGGCGTAACGACCCTTCCCGGCGCCCGGGGACAAACTTTTCGATTTGCACCCCCCCCCCCTCAAGATTTCGATTTGCACCCCCCCCCCCCCTCAAGATTTCGATTTGCACCCCCCCCCTCAAACTTTCAATTTATATTTCCAACCCATTTCGGCGCCCCCTAGGGTCGTCTCCCCCCCCCCCCCCCCGCCACCCTCGCTACGCTACTGATTGATGTAAACTAGACGTACACAGCTCTATATTTAACTATATTACGTTGTAAGAAAAAACAAAACATTGCCAATTTTACTGCCATTTGATTTATCACATATTGTCATGCATCATAGAAACATTAGAATATGTGTTATTTAAGACATAAATTCGCATGGGACACGCTTTATGCTATTCGGTTCGCTGATCATTTTGTCCACAAATAAAATCATGCTTTTTTCTCAATCAATATTTTTTTACCCCCCCCCCCCCCCCCCCACTCATCACATTTCACAAAGTGTCAATAGTCTCTCAACTTTCCGGGTTGGGGGAGGGGGGGGGGAGCCCATCATACACACACCCTTTCTCACCTGGAAGTTTCAGCAGGTTGCCCCCCCCCCCCCCCCCACAGGAGAAAACTGTCAAGTGAAAGAAACCCTGAAAATGTCAGACCCCCTTTTAAAATTATGTCATACTTCAGCCTACCCCCTCCCCACCCCACTCTTATAACTTGACCCCACCATGGAAGGTGACATCATTTATGGACGGTCACCTTATATTAAAGTTTGTGATAGTTTGTGTTTTTTGATAGAAAGACTGATTTCACTTAGGCCGTTGCAATGGCTTGTTTGGGTAAAACATTTATCATTTATTATGTCATTTTCTTTTTAAATTAAAGAAAAACATTCCCTCCCCTCTTATTATCATGCCACTAAAACAATAATTCAAAATCCATGGAAAAATAGGTCACCTACTATAATACTCTATTACTTTTTATTTGGGGGACAGAGTGGTCTAGCGGTAGAGAGCTGGACTGCTAACCCGTTAGTCTCGAGTTCAAATCCGGGTTCAAGTCAGTAGACCATCCTTGAGTCCACCCAACCCTGATGGGTACCTAACTCATGTTAGGGAAAGTAAAGGCGGCTGGGTATAGAGCTGACCACACTATCCATTCATATGCCGAGGTCACATAAACAAGTGAACTCTACTTCACTTGCCCTATAAACCTTCATGTTTGAAAAGGGAACTTTTACTTTACTTTTTATTTGTCAATAACCTCTTATTTCTCTAGTCTATTTAACTCTAGTCGATTTATCTTGTTTTATGTGAATAATAAAATTCCATAAAAATCAGCTTGACTGTTTTCTTTATTTTCTCATTCATTATTCTGTATTCTTCTCCCTATAATTCCCAATTCACATATGTAAAACTACTTAATTTAGCAAGCAAATTTCACCCAAATAAAATGTAGTTTGTAATTAATTATCTGTAGGTTTACATACATTATATTTATAATTATCTAACATGCTTGGGTCAATTTTTTTAACAGAATTTTAAAATGGTACTGTTTAAATATTTTATCATTAGAAATACTAAAGATGTGTGTGAGTATAGAAGGAAAATTCTAGAAAGATTTAAATATAGAAATTTCACAATTTACTTTGTAACATTGTTCACTAAACAATTGCTACAGGCATATAAATTAAAATATATAACTGAACAGGCCTAGTGGAAATATTTTGTCTTGACTGTAATACTGGTGATAACAGGGGTTGAAGCAAGTAACTTAATAGACAAGGGGAAGTAACTATATGGCAAGGGAGATTATTAAAGACATGGAGGTGCTATAAAGATAGGAATGGGTGGGGCACAACCATAAGGACAAAGTGGGGTGTGAATTTAAAAAAATAAGAACTATTGCTATTAAATATAACAAGGATTTGTGATAAATATAGCACAGCAACACAAATAAAACTTAGCCTAAGTCATTTTTATATATTTTAAAAGACAATTTTTGTGTATATAATAATACCTTGGTGTTAGAGAAATAACTCAATAAAGGCAAATTACATTTATTATAAAGGTAAGTTCTATTTCATCATTCATAGAAGGAAACAAAAAAATTAGAATGTACATTGTAATACTAGTGTTCAAACATTCACAATACTGGGGTATACAGGAATTTTTAGCTTAACATTAACAGATCAAACATTTAAAATACTGGTGTGTACAGTTTTATTTAATTTAACATTAAAATAGATCAAACATTTAATATTAGTGTTTGAAGAAACATATTGTTACGGATACATAATAAGATAGTTGTTAAAAAAAGAAAATTGTAAAAACCAATAAAAACTTAATTTTATTCCTGATTCAAAAGAGCTGTTAGTTGATCTTCCACACTTTCTGTTTCATCATCTTTTCTTTTTGGTAGTTCTTTCCCCTTAGAGGCTGTAGATCCTGATGCAATGAGGTAGCCCTCAGGAGTGAAAGAACAGAAGTGGGCAAGATCAGTGCTGCCCTGTGAAAGGATTGGTAAACATTTAGTCATTGGCTTGTAAGTCTCGGTCCCTCTCACTTACAATCTGAAATCTCATTGGCCAGGGAGAGATTAAAATTTTTAAACTAAATTAATTGATGTTAACAGGATTCCCATTGATAACAAAAAACATGAGAATGTACATAACTCTTACAATTTTGTAATTGCTGCTGTGGAATAAAAAAAAGTTTTAGACCTAACTTTTTTTACTGTTCCCATTGTTAATAAATGTGTTAAATTATTATTGTAGAATCCTATAAGATCTGAGTCTTACCATCCCCTACTTGGGTCAGTTAGGAATTAGAACTAAGCGGACCCTAGGTTGTTAACAATGTTATTGTTGTGTGTCTCTAACCGAGCTCAAAATTTTTAGGTTAACAATTATGTGTTATACCAGTCAGACCCTTATTAAGTAAAAATAATTTTATATTTTTTGTTCAGATCATCAGTTTCTTCCAGGCATCTCTTCGGGGGGGGCTTAGCCCCCCCGAAAATTTTTTACCGCCCCCCCGAACGAAATGAAATTTATATAATTTATATAGAAAATATATACTTTTAACAGTGTCCGCCCCCCCGAAGAAAGTCTACCGCCCCCCCGAAAATTTCAAGTGCCCCCCCGGAGAAAAAAGTCTGGAAGAAACACTGCAGATCATTAATAGCATTTATCAAACTGAAGATTTATGTTAATGTATATCTATAGATGATAGAATACAATTTCAGCTGTTTAAAAATGATTCAAATAGGCCCTAACTAAGCTGTTATGTGATATATGTAACTGACCTCTAATGTATTGATACACTCTCCAGTGGGAATGTCCCAGACCTTGACGAAATCATCATCTGCCGCACTGGCCACATAGGTTGAGTCAGGAGAAAAGCTAACAGCCTGTACCCACCCAATGTGGCCAATCAGAACTCGCAGACAAACTCCATTTTTAGGATTCCATAACCTAATAGTTCTATCCCAAGACCCTGAAGCCTACAAATATTAAAAAATTTAAATAATTAATTAATGTTTTTTAATTGAAATAGATTAGTCTATCTTGAATAATTTGTTTTAAGTGTCAGAGTATTATATTAGCATATCAAAGAAATGTGTGGTTACTGTAATTCTAGGCCAAACTTTAACCAAAATCCAAATTTAAGACATTTTACCAACCACATCATCAATCATAGCCTAAATCAATATTTTAATTCTTCAAAATCAACTTTAATTATAAAACAAGAGATTTAGCTTTATTCATTGAATTAATGGTACATTTTCTGTAAAGTAGTTAAAAATTTTATAACTTAGAAAATAAACGAATTCAGAAATAGGAATCAACTTCTTGATTCAAAGAAACATATAATTTATATCTCTCACTGTTTATAATATATTTAACTCATTTTTGTTTTGACTATATAAAAAAGTAGGGTCATTATTTTTATTTATTTTTAATTTAATTTGAAAGTAGCTTCTAAATCTGGACAACATTGAGACTCACGAGCATTCCAATTTTAGAAAATGTAACCGAGTGTATATTTCCTGAATGACCAAACAAGATTTTATAAACATCTTCATGATTATCTGCAGGAATGTCTCTATCAGCTACATCACTACAAGACTTCTCCCCATTTTCACTATGATCAGTCTCAACATTATTATCTTGATGTTGATGTTTTAAATGTTCAAGTGTTTTTCTATATACTCTGTGGTTGAGGGTCCAAACTCGAACTGTAAAATCCCAGGAACCCGAAGCCTTGGTAAAATAAAAAAAATTAAAATTTTAGTTTCTTTTTAACACTTTTATGCAGATAATACATTATTGATTCTAAAGAAACAACTTTCTTACATCATCAGAGTAATCACACACAAAAAAAAAGTATTTAAAAGTTTACAATCAATGTATTTTAAAATATTAACTATATAGAATTAAATTATTAAACACATCTGTATCTGCCATCATTACCAGGAATTTTAAGTCATGTGAAAATGCAACTGACTGGACCAACCCTTCATGGCCTTGTAAAAGCCTTAGTCTGTAGCCAGTCTGTTGAAAGAGGGGACATAAAGCATGAGAGAAAGGGAAAAAACTAAGACAATGTTGATGAGCTTTTTAAAAACAGGTTACCTGAGTACACCACAGTATGGCTGTTCTATCCCATGATCCTGTGCATAAATAAATAGCACCAGGTGAAAAGGCAACATGTTCCACACTTTTTTTGTGACCTAAAATATTGTAAACATAAAATTACAAATACTGTGATAAAAGATGGTTTATGTGAAAACGACAGTGGTAAAAATGAGTAAAGTATTTTATGACTAAAACTACATCCAACATATCGCTCAATCTCTTGCTCCATTTATGCAAGAGTATGATCAGCTGTAAAATTAAAAGTCTTGAGTTAAGATCCTTACTTTGAACCCCAGGACATCCACAACTACAATGGATTTGATTTCTAGGAAATGTTAAGATGACTGACCACACTATCCATTTATGTGCTGAACTCTACTTCATCTGCCCTATTGCACACAAGATCCGCAAGAGTAGGCCTACTTTTACTTTTATACTTTCTCCATTTCTGTGTAGCTTAGTAGTTTTTAAGTATTAAATAGTATTGCATACAGTCCAAAAAATGTGTATGATAGTGTAAGATCTTATTCTTAGTCTGGTTTACCCACTCAAAAAAAAATTTTAAACAAATTGATACAAATGTTTTAAAAGTTTTTTTTTTTTTGTGTAATATTTTTCCAGTTACCAATGCCATTACCAAATGTGTGGCTTTACTCACCTTGTAAAATGTGGATGCAACTTCCATTGCAAGTTCGCCAAATCCTTGCAGTTTTATCAAAAGAACCACTTGCTATGTATTTACTACACTGTGATACAGCAACACTTTTGATTGCACCTATTTTAATTTACAAGTAATATGAGTAAAACTATGGGGAGATGCAAATTGTATAAACACAAAATTAAGCAACGAATAATAGTAGTATGATAGTACCAAAAGCTTTTGCATTTTCATTGTTTTAATTACAAGGTCTACATAAATGTTACAAACATACTACGCACTTAACTATTGTTTTTAATGATGTGACTTTTGTAATAACTTTTATTTTAGTAAAGCTTATGTATAGTAGGCCTAATATTTTCATTATAAACCTACACTCATGCCTCTATAATAACATCAATTTTCATAAAGCTTATATATAGCAGTATTATCATTATAAACCTACTCTCATGGCCTTTAAGTGCAATGATGCACACTTTTGTTTTTACATTGAAGATTCTCACTCTTTTATCATCACTTCCAGTAACCATAAATTGAAAATCCGGAGAATAACTTATACAATTTACCTTCCAAATAAAAACAATAAGCATTTGCATTAATTAAATGAAAAACTGAAGATGTTTTTTTTTTTCAATCTTTACAAAGATGGAACAAATTAAATGATTATACTAAGGTAATATTATTATATTAAAATATATTAACTGCATTTTAATAAGAATCTGCGGACCCTTAGATAAAAATAAAGGTGAGTTGTTGTGAAGTAAGTAAATGATCTGTGCCAAAATGTTTTAGGATAAAATCATGCTTTAAAAAAACAAAAAGTATTGATGAAACTAATTTTTTAGGGTTAAGAAATGTTTTGTCACTTTAAACAAAACCTTACCTCATCTTTATGTCCAATAAATTCTTTTGGTTCCTGTTTGCAAAGCTCTCGTGGTGTGGAATACATACTTTAGTCACCAAACACATTTGCTTTGTATGCACTAAAATATTTTTTTTATGTTTTTAAAATTAATTCAGAAGCAAAAAGGCTATTGGCAGAGAAAATTCATTTTCAAAAGATACAAATTATATGGCTGATGCATTTACTAAAGAGCTAGAGAGGGGTTGGGCCAGTAAAGTTCATGGTTGCCAAAACTAACAAGATTTGCTAAAAAAAACCATAAACAAAGAGAAATTGCAAACTAAATAAAAGCTTGTAAAAATTGGTTTGAACCCCTGGGCAGATGAGACTAGATAGTCAGAGATAGCAAAATTAAACACCAAAATTAAACAGTCCCGTAGTTGGTTCTTGGGTGGTTGAAGGCTTTGGAGTCAAATCCAGAAAGAAAAACAGGCTCAAATCAGAGTTAACAGGCCATTTGGTGCATTCAACATTACAATTAAGAATGAAGAAGAAGTGCTACAGAAATAATTCGAACCAGTTTTTCAAACAAAAAACTTACCTGACTATGACAGAAATTTATGGACAATGAAATTTTAAAGATAAATTCTCAAAAAAAATGGAGTAACCTAACTTGTCCCTGCTTTAACATGCAATTTGAAATTATGCAAGGAGAATATGGATGATGCTTAACCATATATTTGTTTTTAATTCTCAATTAGCTGTTCAAACTTTTAATAATGGATACTATTTTTGATGATAAATTGTCCTTATAGTTGACCTAAATCAGTAATTTTTGGAAGAACAGCTAAGAAAAGAATATGCTGTTTTAACATCAACTCTGTTCAAATTCAACATAAAATCTTTTCAAAATCAATCTAATTAAACTACATAATGTAGGCCTATGGACGCTTAGTTTGTACTATCAATGAAATTGACTATCATTGTTACAGTGTAAAAATGACAATATAAATTTAAGAGAATTTTATTTAGATTCTAGTTATAGTAATATTTAGATTGATATAACTTATTTTGAATGATTTAAGAAAATTATAAACTGAGTTTAATTAAATGAATCAATAGTGATTATCGAAGCCTAATAATATAATGATTATTTAATTGTTCGCTTATTTTGACATTTGTTAATATAATAATTAGGGGCCTATTAATTATTTTAATAATTTATCACTGACATCAGATCATTAATCAACCCTGTTCCTTCCCTGCACTTCATCAATCACAATAATTTAATCATTGTGTTTGATGAATGAATAGGCCTAGTTGAAATCTCCAGGAATTTGAAGGGAAAGGGGGGGGGGGGGGGGACTTTTGGGTTGTGCCAAGCATAAAAAAAGTGTGGCTCTTCTTTACCCTATATATTTATATATAGACTATGTATAGACTTAGTTAATAAGTTAATTTATAGTTAGACTCTTAGACTTAGGACTTAGACTCTTAGACTCTTAGACTAGAGTAACTTAGATAGAGTCTTGAGATTAGATCTGCGTTTATCTTGTGAATTCGATTTGGTCAGGATATTTTAAAATTACTAGATCTAGAGATCTAGATTCTAGATGTAGATCTAATCTAAATTCTAGTTGTATCGAACAAGTTAGCTAGATCAAGTGTCTGTTTACTAGATCTATTATTTTTTTTTACCATCATAATCCAGTGAAATTCACCGTAACTAGGAACGCGGAAATTGGGAAATACTTTATTTCGTTTTATTTTAAAAGTTTAACTTTTAAAAAGAAAATTGTGTATTAAAAAATGGCTGCAGAAACAACAATAAACTCTCTCATTGAACGCCTTCAGCAAATCAGTTTGGGGGATAAATTAGATCTGTTAGATGAGTTAAAAACTGCAATAACAGCACTACCAATTCATGAACTTAGGCAGATTCTCCCAAATATATCGATTACAAGTATTTTTCAATGCTTAAACACAGAAGACAGGTAACTACGACGAATCAAATCATGACTCTGCCTTTTTGAATTTTCTACTTTCGATATCTTATTGTCTTCTTATCCTAGTTAGTAGATCTACGTACTACGTATTAAACAGCCGACCCCTATTCTATTAAATATTAAATACTTTATCAAGATCCAGCTAGTCTAATAAATTAATAATAAATAATTTGGGCTAGTTATTAATTATAGTATTATAGGCCTAATTAACTTAATTAAAAGTAAGTAGGGCCTAGAATGCTAGATCCCTAATTAATAAAACTAATAAAAAATCATCATTCATCAACGAATCACTAATCAATGTAATCATCAATCAGCACAATAAATTTTAAAATGTTTTTTAAGCTAAACACTGTTTAGTAAACTGACAATAGGCCATAGGCCTATATTTAAATCAATTAGGCCCTAATTATATTAATTATTATTATTAGGTAATCTATCGTTTTAGGTACGTAAAATCGCCCTCGACTAGTAATGTGAAAAACAGGTGACTCCTTACATTTTAATAATTATTTCACATTTTGAGGAGGATTTATGTTTTGAAAAATACCAAAATATTTCCTTGTTTCATTTATGTACCGGTTTTTAAACAATTGAATTAAAACTTTTCAGTAATAAATGAACACCAGCGATGTTTCCAACAGATGCAAGCATGCTCATTTACTATAGCAGACATCTTGTTAGTTTTATTTTTATAGACTTATAGCCGAGATTCAGGCGGAAGTCACTCTATTTTACAAATGGCTGCTGTTTATATAGCAAATCTTGCTTGCAGACACTGCTGTTTAAAGTCAATTTCTGGCCTATATTGATATATTTAGCCATTGATTTAGGTTCATTATTCATGTATCTATAATATTTAATACAAACATATCACAATATACTTCTATTACAGCCTTGACAATGAGGTAACGTTTTCGTACATTAATAGCCGCAGGCGATTTTACGTACCCAAAACGATAGATTACCTATTATTATTATTAGGCCTATAGGCCTAACTAATTATAACTTAAATTATAAAGTCTTTAAATGTGTAATTTTCAAGTTGTTGGCTACAAAAAACAATGACTTTAGTTTGATTTCTAAAACTTCTTGGAATTGAACATGCTTCATATGTCTGTTAGTCTGTTACTGTTATGGTTTTTTCAGGTTTTAATTAATAGAATACTAGATCAGTCCACACAGTAGTAATTAATACAGTTAGTAATAGTTTATATTATTAAGCTTTTGTGTTCTAATACCTTTCTTAAGCTCTCAACAAAAAGTGTGTGGGGAGGTATTGGATAGACTGCTGACTACTCTCAGTCCATCGACAGTTTTGCAAAACTTTCACCCTCAGCTCCTAACATGGCTCAGACTTCCAGATGATACACTTAAAGCACTTTGTTTAGCACAGGTAAACACTATTGCTCAGAAATGAATTTAAAAAAAAAATTGAAAAATTGTCTCTCAATGAACTTAATGAAACATGTAGCTTAGTTTTTTTAATGTTTCAAGGTCCATACAGCTTCATATTGCAACGACATACAGTCAATTTTTTTTGCCAGTTTAGTGTTTTATTTGGCAACCACTTGTTTTATTTTCTTCATCTTAGCTTTTGAAGATCAGTAAAGAAGTTCCTGGTGAAATCTGCATATATGAGGATCTGGTACAGGAGATAGTCGACCAGCTCCCTTCAGACAGCTTGGATGTTGGTCCTGCTGCAGCCAGCATTCTTACATTTATTGGTAGGGAAGAAACGGCGTGTGGTTGTGAATTTTAAATGAATTTCAGTTGTGTTTTTTTTTAAATACAGTAGTTTATAGAAAGTATCATATTATGAATTAGTTTTTGTATATAATATTTCTGAACAGGTCAAGATCCCAATGGTCTTCGGGTGCTATTCAGTAGCCCAATTGTCAGTAAATTTGTCACAGCCATGCAGAAAAATGACGTAACACGCTTCCGCATATACCAGGCAATTAAAACTTCCTTTATATTCCTCCTTTTTTTAATATTTCTAAGTATTCTTATTTTAGTTTTTATCAACAGTCTGTACATTGATTTAAAGAATTATGTAAAGTTAAATTAAGTGGGTTTTTTTTTCAGATTGCAGTGGATTTGAGCAGAACATCACCCTCAGCGCTGGACGCTTCCGTGGGTTCAGGTCTCCTTCAGCAGCTTGTGAATGAGATTGAGAAACATGACATCCTTGTTCAACTGAATGCTATAGATATGCTGTCAGACCTGGCCCAAACAACTCATGGTCTCATGTACTTAGACACACAAGGAGTTGTTGGGAAGTTGGAGGAGATGATGCGTGGGTTAAACGATAATCCCTTGAGTGGTCTTCTCCTGCCAGGTAAATAAGTTCTTATCAAAAGAATTCTCGCCCATCTGCGGGGAATGGTAAAACCTGTTTTAACAAAAACTATAATGTACCTAGCATTTCTTAAAGTAGTACTTTTAAAAATCAATGTATTTTTATATTTTTAATCAATTCTTGAAAGCTACCTCTAATATTTTTACTAACCATTTTCCTATAACTTTTAGGTCTGATAAAATTTTTTGGTAGTCTTGCAAGGCAACATCCCAAAGAGGTTTTGTTCAAATTTGACCATTTTGTGAGACTGGTATTACATAATGTTAGTGAAGGTGATCCAACTTTAAAGGGAGTCTCAGTTGATACTATTGGATTCATTGCCTCTACACCAGAGGGGAAACTTGCTCTTGAAAAACTAGGTTAGTTTTTTTTTTATATATATAGACTAGCAGGCATCAAAATTCTGAGCCTTTTTGTAAATTGATTACAAAATATGAATTCCTAAGAGGTTGTAGGGTAGAATGCTCAGCATATCCCGAAAGTCCCCATTATCCTTTCATATGCCAAGTTCATAGAAACGGTGACCAGATGCGCAACGGACAAGTGTGCACAATAAATTGCACAAGGACATTTTTGTTTGCTAAAATCGAGCATTTTTAGACATTAACAAAGAGTGACTACATGTACACTGTAGCATATTAAAACATATTTCCATAAAATATGACAAAATTTAAGTTTTCTAGAATAATTAGGTAGTATTTACACACATTCCTGTTTTGCTCAGTTTATCGGTTGCGCATTTTTCTGGGAACTCACAGATTCAGGTGAACTCACCTGCGCAAATGACCACCAGGTTCAAAGGGGTAACTTTACTTTCTAGATCGGTGCTGAATTAAAAAAAAATGTTCTTGTGGTACATACAATTGTAAAATCTATATTTTAAAATTGTTACATATACATTGTAAATCCATATAAACACATCTTATAACATATTTTTAAATCTACCGTAACAAAATGAGCAACAAATGTTGGTAATGACAAAAATGGCACACATTAAAAATGTGATGAACCTAAGGCTTAGTGTTGTGAAACATCAACCAATGAACTTATTGTTATTCACAAGTTTACCAATTTGAGGTTTGTTAATAGTTTGATATGTCCTAACCTCAGGTAATCCCATGACTGAATGTCTTCATGGAATAGGAAATCTTATCAGGACCGGCACCTCAGATTTGAAAGTGAGAGCTCTAAATGCTTTAACAAGCATAACCCAGCTGCAGGTACGTAAGGGAATTATACATTTATATTTCAGTTACTCAAGATTAAAATGTTTTGTTTAAAAAAAATATTTCTCTATTAAAAATTGAAATTCCTATAAAACTTGAATGTTATATTTCAACAACCTAGCTCTTTTTGTTTAAAGTGTAAGGAATTATCAAAGAATAAACATGTATAGGTGTAAAACTAAATAATCTAGAACACATAATTTATTTATAAATACTAACATTTTAGCTTGTTGTTGTGTGTCATAGTTACAAACAAAAATTGATTGCCCTTGATAACTGTTTCTCATAGGTGGAACATCAAACTGTTGAACTACTAGCCCTGACAGAAAGATGGTTCTCCTCATGTGCACCCGACACTTTCAACATGGTCTGGTCAATCACCCAACAGCCGTTTCTGGATCTTCGAATTCCCGCATTTCGTTTACTGCATAGTGTGGCTTCACTCCCATGGGGTCAAAAAATCATTAACAATGTGCCAGGATTCAAAGAGTATGTGTTGAATAGAGCTTCAGAGAGTAGCAAAGAGGGAAAAGAAGAAAAATTTGAACTTGTTAACATTCTGGCGCACTCGCCAACAGCTGTGGAGATCTTGGGACGACCGTACCATGTCAAGCTTATGGAATATTTTAATCAAGGAGCGTTCTATGTGGTTGCACAGTCAGAGATCATGATGGACGGTGAATAGATTTAATGTTTTATTTCTTAAATGGAGATAATTTTCATTTTGTGTGTACAGGTTTAGTTGGAGCACTGGCATTTATCTGGTCAAGATCTGTGTCACAACACGGCCCTACAATTTTACTTTCTAATGAAATGTATTCTAATTTTTCATTTGATAAATATTAAAAAATCCATTTGAATGTAACAATTTGAAATGTTTTGAATTTTTATTACCACTTCTTATTCAAATTCTCAAAGAAAATATTTTTATAAAGCAATAATAATATCAATAAAAGTAATTTCTGATGTTGTGTTCTTCCTTTTATGAACTAAAAACAACTTGATTAACATTCTTAATAGTTGGACAAAGATACTCGGTGTGGAAAGAGTATAAAGCCTTTGTGTCATTTTTTTTAATTAGTATAATAATGTCTGTTTTGATCTATCACAATCTAAGTATTAAAAAAAAAAAGTCCCCTCCAAACCTTGCAGCCGGGCAGGTGAAGTAGAGTTCACCTGTTTCTATAACTTCAGCGTATGAAGGGATAGTGTGTTCAGCATTATGCCCAGCCGCGTTTACTTTTCCTAACGACAGTTGAGGGGACTCAGAAAAGTATGACAACTCTAGCCAGGGACATGACCTTGAGACTTAACCATAAAAGTTGAACACTCCACCATTTGACCACGCCGTCCCACTATACGATTTCAGATCCATAAATGAATGTTTAATAACTCTGCTTTTTTGGGTTAATTACAGAAGCGTGACACAACTAGGGGGTTACACAAAAGCAAAAAAATCTCACCCGAATGAAATAGAATTTGGAAAGAAACATATTTGTGCCAGTCCGTGTCGTCCGTACCCCCCCCCCCCCCCCCCCCCCAGGAGAAAAAAAATCTGAAAGAAACACGGATCACAAAGCTAGTATAATACCACGTGATGACCGTCTAAAATTATCAAATCACTGCTAATGGCCGCCCAGTACAAACATGACGTCAAGCAAGTTTTTTTTTTTTTTTTTAATCGATGATGATTACTACAGCAGTGGTGTTTAATGTTTCACTGCAGCCAACATTTCTTTAAAATCTGGATCAGCGAAATTGTAGTTTTAGGATCAGGTTCAAACTTCATTAGCCTCTACATTCAGATTTTGAAGATTTTTCTGGTTCAGTCTATTAATTAATGATTTGTGGTATCATTTTGCTCAATTACGTTGAGGGGTGAAATTCATAAGGCGAACTTTAATTAATGTTAAATTCATGAAGAGTAGATTGGTTAATTCAGATTGGACAATGAAAATTAGTAAAATAATATTCATCTGAATAAACAAATAAAAAAAGGAAAGGATTAATTTTAATAACCTACCTGGGACTTTAGAAGGTCAAAGGTAATGACATTTGGAATGAACGACAGAAAACTATTCTGAATTTGTAGGGTTATTTTGTTCAATTCCAATAAGTGACATACAATAATTCTGGTGCTTCTTGGGGCTGTCCCAATTAAGTGAAAACTATTTCTTTATACAAAATGAATGTATCGAATTGTTCAGACCCAGTCTTTTTAATTTTAACGAAAGACCGTAATTTGAAGCCTGATTTGAATATCATCACGTTTGTGGCTCTAGTGGTACTTCTGCTTACGGCGTTTGGAGTTTTCTTAAGCCTGGTTATTTTCATGGCCTTAGCGAAGTACAGGTCAAGGTCGTCGTTACGTCAGCGTCACGTGAGCACCAGCATCACGACGCTGCTGATGATGTCCACGTCCGTGTCTGACGTCATTAACGGCATTGTGGTCATGCCCCTGGTTGTCTACGAGATCACGACTTGGGGGGTGTGGAATCTGGGTCAAGGACTGTGTAATGTCAAGCTTCTGGTGAGCAACATAGTGTATGCTGTGTCGGCGTATCACGTGTGTTGTCTGGCTGTGGACCGCTACCTGGCAGTGTGTTGGCCGCTCTTACACAGAAGACTGACCTCTAGGACTGCCGCGTACATGATCCTAGCCTCATGGTTTGTCCCCATCGCCTATAATCTAACCTGCGAATACGCCGGCCTAAACCACCAAGGTGTTGAGTACCTTACCCAGTGTGTTGAAATGCTACACATGTGCTACCCCGTCTACAACACATATACAATGTTGACGACATGTATTGTTTCATTCACTGTTCCGTTTATCATTGCCTACGTTCTATACGGCTGCATCACCGTTCAAGTATGGAAATTCAACAAACGGAAAATTCAAAAACAAGAAAAGCAAAATTCTAAAATTGAAGCCTTTGGAAATGCGATTTCTACAATTTCCGCACCGGAATCAAACATCTTAGATACAACGACGGAAGAATCAAACCTTACATTAACCAAATACAACATTGTCGTTTCGAAAATCAAAAGTCCCCAGAATATTACCACCAATAGAGATTCATCAAGGAACTTTAAGGCCGTCTTCACCATCGGGAGTATTGTGATCGTGTACACTATATGCTGGCTGCCGGCATGGGTCTTCAGTATTTTCTTTGCCAACAGTACTACGGTCTTTCCTTACTGGGTCGTTGTTGGCATCACATTGTTTGGTTACGGGAGTCTGTCCTTAAATCCCATGCTCTACTGTTTTAACGGTTCTGTTAGGAGGGCTGTCAGGTCCTTGTTATGTCACTCGTGAGCAAGATTTCAGTCTCAAGTAAGACGTCACTAGCCACAAGAATGACGTCACTAGCTACCAGGATGACGTCACTAGCCACAAGAAGGACGGTACTGGTCTTGAATGTAGGCCTACGCTTAACAGGAGAAAGTCATTACAAAACGTTTAATACAAAACGATAATAAAATTTTCTTTTCTTTTTTAATTATTTGTGTTCATTTATATTATCTAGATTTATCTTACTTTATGTATGTGCATGTGACATTTTTAATTCTTTTTTATTCTTTTTTATTCGATTTTAATTGATTTTTTTCTCCAAATGTATTTTTTGTCTACTTCGAATAGCCTACGTTAGATTGCTTTATCTTTGATGTAATCACTAAATTGAACATCCAGTTTTTCTAATGTAGCTGAAGTAGAGTAGGCCTACACGTAATTTCGAATAAAACTCAGATGTCCGATATCTTTTTTTAAATGCCGAGTAACCAATCGCCCAGTTTTGTTAAATGGTATTTACATTAAGATAAACAGCCTGGCAAATCGCCGAATATCGCTAAAACAACTATAATGACAGATGGCATGTTAAACAGAGGTTCAAAGGCTTCTCTTCTAGAATTATCGATCCCTGTCTGTTGTACAAACATCAGTTGACAATAGATTAGGTCAACAGTGGACACAGCAAACATGGATGGTGGGCGTCACCAATTAACTTTAATGGACTTGTTATTGCTTAGTTATCATCAAATTTTAAACTGATGGCGCAAAGGGAAGTAATTACTCCTCCCACAGTTATCGTTCTTAAAAATAAAGTCCTTACAAACACGTGACCTAAATCACGTGATACCTACGCCCGCCGCCACCGTGGTGTACACCAGACGTAAACACAATCAGCTGTTCACCAGCGCTGGACGTGTTCACCAGCGCTGGACGTGTTCACCGTATGTAAAGAATCGCGCCCGCGGAAAAGGAAAAATATGTTAAAAAATTTGAACTCTTAGGAATTGAAGATCCTTATACAGTTATTGACAGTTTCGTGGATAATATAAATATGTGGCCAAAATTTCTAAATAAAAATACTGTTAGTAATACCGTTTGCGTTTAGAGTTTAAGTAGACGAATCTGATCAAATGCAGTAATATATTATAGGTTATCTACTGTAGCAAACGTGAGACCACTTAACTTCTACAAAACCCACACTTCAACGACTAATATAATCCATGGGTAATAACTAATCTGGGTAGCATGTTATACAATTTAAGACCTTATAATCCAGCAGGGAAGTGATCAGACACATTAATACTGATGTTCAACCCTGATGATGGCTGCCCCCACATGTATCTAGCCCACAATAAAACCAAAGAGGAGTCTGCCCTGCCCTCCCCTGAAAATGTCTCATCTCCGTGATACCCAGCCCCACAGAGATAGTATTTCTTATATAATTTTGACCCTCAGGGCCCAGCAGGGAGAACAAAGGGGAAAGTCCCACTGCTCTCCCCTCAACATTTCTCACCTCGATGTCATGTTATGTCATTTATAGCACACATGGCTTATCAGGGGAAAGCATTAAGGCATTAAGAATCTTAACTCTGGACAGCTACACACTAGTATACTATCTACACACTAGGTGCCTACTGTAAACTACTAGACTGTAGGCCCTATGTAGACCTGCAATAGTATCAATTGTAGACTGGGTCCATTGTTATTATTCTAAACCATCTCACTTATAATGTTTCTAGCTTGATTTGTTTCTTTTATAAACAGTGGATTAAAAAAAATTAGCCTAATCATTAACCAAAATAATAATAATGTGGTTATTTGTTGTTGGCTGGTATGATCTAGATTGTACTACTAGGCTACAAAAACTTAGTAGACCAATTACTATATATGAATTTGAATTTAATTAAACTCAGTCCAGTATCAGATACATATTGCTGTAAAAAGACAACAAAGTAGGTAGGCCTTAGTAATTTATTAAAGCCTTCTACTACAGTAATATCAACTACATGCTTGTATAAAGTTTTTACAATTTAATTTAAGTAGCAGATTCTAGATCTAAGTCTAGTCATACAATCTATTTCAATCAGAAAATTTCGTTTGCTAAAAAAATGATTAGATTATAGAGCGAGATTTTAGATCTTAGAGACAATTAAATGCTTTATTAGGCCTATTATGACTACTTTTGATTTATTATGGGTGTATTTTGAATCGAATGTAGATCTAAATTTTGTAATTAAATTTAAGTAAAGAAGTAGATTCTAGATTCTATGTCTACCCAGCGGAGTCAGTCACCCTAAATCCAGAATCTAGATCTGTGGTCCGAATTTTGTTTACGCCATGTTTAGAGCTAGATTCTAGATCTAGATATTAAAACACTATTATTAGGCCTACTGTTAGATCTTATTCTTCTTATTATTACTTTTGACTTTGTCTTTTATTAATAGTTATCTTTTATAATTAAAATGAAGTTTATTATTTTACTGTCCTTGCCTGAAACAAAGTATCGAGAACTGCATTTGATCAGATTCGTCTACTTAAACTCTAAACGCAAACAGTATTACTAACAGTATTTTTATTTTAGAAATTTTGGCCAAATATTTATATTATCTACGAAACTGTCAATAACAGTATAAGGATCTTCAATTCCTAAGAGTTCAAGTTTTTTAACGTATTTTTCCTTTTCCGCGGGTGCGGTTCTTTTCATACAGTGAACGCATCCAGCGCTGGTGAACACGTCCAGCGCTGGTGAACAGCTGATTGTGTTTACGTCTGGTGTACACCACTGTGGCGGCGGGCGTAGGTATCACGAACGGACGTGACGTCATATGAAAGGAATCTATAGGCTGCCTGTTTTTGGAGAAAGACGGGGTTGGGGGGGGGGGGGGGACACGACGACACTGTTAAAACTATATATTTTCTATATAAATTTCATTTCGTTCGGGGGGGGGGGGGGGGGGAGAAAGACTTTCTTCGAAGAGATGCCTGGAAGAAACTCTGATGACCCTTCCTAGGGTTGACACCCAATGGGGCCGCGCCATCGTCCCTTCCCTAGCTACGCCTCTGTAAAAAAAAAAAAAAAAAAAAAAAAAAAAGAGTATTAATATGAGAGTGAAACGTAGCGTGCTACAAAACAGCCGTCAGTGAGGTTGAATTTACTATATAGATCTAGATTAAAATCTGTATAACAAGAAAATATTTTATTTATGCACTAAAAAAGAAGAAAAAAAAACGATTTTTAACACTTACTTAAGGGAAAATATGCTATATTCAGTTATGTTTTAAAAATAAATTGCATGTTCACAAGTTTTTATTTAGTTTGATTCCACATATCTTTGTGTCCGTCGAAACTATAGAACGAGTGACATAAATTTGAATTATTGGATGTTTAATTAGTTTTTTAAGAATTAATTAATGTTACTTATAGAATTTACTAATTTTCCACTCTATTACTACACTCTGAAAGCACACTGTTGGCGCTCAATTGTTGCACAATTATACTTTTAAAAAAAATATTTAAAAAAACGTTTCAGTAACAAGATTTTACATATTGAATTATGCACTAAATGAAAAAAAATTTCTAAGAATATATAGGCCTAAAAATGCATCACTATTTAATTTAAATAACTAAAAAGAAAAGCGCGGGTCGTTATATTGTGTAGGCCTATTTAATAAATTTAACTTTTTATTAAAATGTAATAACAATGTGACCTCCGCTTTTTTTTTTATAGTTATTTAAATTTAAAAATGTGATGCAATTATTATATATTTAATAAATATCATCTACTAGAAATCTATCTTCTTTTCGTCTATAATGATATAATGCAAGCTTGTTATTAAAAAGTTATTAAAAAGTGTATTTATTAATGTATTAGGCCTAATGGTTTTTTTTTTCAATATTTCTAACTTAATGATTAATGACTATAAAAAATAATAAAATAATATAAAATAATGTCAATGTAAATTTTAGAAAAACATGTTCTCTTTCTTTTTAAATACCTATTCCGTTAAGTTTTAAAAATAAATAGGGCCTAACATTTTAATAGTTTAACTTAAGTTCTGAAGTCTAATTCAATGTCAACACATTTTTAAATTGTGTTCTTGCTTTTAAAATATTTTATGCAACTAGCCTAACCAATTAAAATTTCGCATTTATAATGGCGTCGTAGCAACCAATGTAAACAATATCCGCTTTGGTTTTAGTACGTTTAGTTTAGTCGCCTTTCAAAATGGATCAAACAAAAAGACCTTTTCGCGTTCCCCCTGAGTTTGCAACTTACGCTGAAAAACATGGGATATTCGATATGTACAAGGTAGACTGTTTAAATTTATTCTGCTTAAGATAAAGAGTCTTTAAAGTCAATAAAGAGAAAGGTAAAAGACAGTTAAATTATAAAAATAAATAAACGTATTTAGTATTTAGAGTTTTAAACTAGTTTAGTTTAGTTTATAAGTTTAAATCTAGTTTAAATTAAAATTGCACCTAAGTTCAAGTTTAAGCCATACTTTAAGTTAGATTATGATTAATAATAAATTATTATAGTAGATACTTTTACTTTTTTCTTCTTCTGTTACAGAGGCTCATTGAACAGTTGATAATTTCAAAACCAGAAGATCCTCTTGTTTTTCTTATAAATCTATTAAAGAAGGAGAACGATGATGGTATGTTAATTTCAATAATTTGTATTATGATCATGTAAATTGAAAGTAAATTGTTTAGTGAACACACTTAAACATTATTTATTTTAATAATTTAATATAGATCTAAATCTAGATCTAAAGAGTCATCAATTCTACTTTTTGAGTAATTTTCTTTCAACTTGACTTAGACCATAGTCTGGGTTACATTAATAGTAATTAATACATTGTAATTTGTACACTATGTTATTAAATTGATTTTTATAATATTACCTTAAAACTTATCAACAAGCAATGTTGTTCATATGAATCCAATTTTTTACTGTCTTATGTTTTGCGTTTATCCTTAAGGTCTACAGTTTAATTTCATTACTGAAAATTATAGATATTTTAAAAACATTAGATTGAATTTATTGTAAAAACAGTTCCTCAAATTTATTGAATTTATTGTAAAAACAGTTCCTCAAATTTGTATCCTGGGAGCACCATGTTCAGGGAAACGATCCATTGCCAAGCTTGTTAGTACCAAACTGCGCTGTGTGCATATTGTACCTAAACAACTGTTGGAAGATTGTGACATAGCTTTGAAGAAAAAACTTGCAAAATATCTTAACAGTCTTGATGTAAGTTTTTTGCAACTACTTTAATAAAATGAGTCTAACCATATGATGAACATTGACTTTGTTCTTTTATCAACAAAATCTGTGAAAATAGGGATCAATTTTTTTAAAATTTGAAACATTTCAGAATACTAAAGCAGCTTTATGGGAGAGGCTTCCACAAATACCTCCAGAGCTTTTGGTTAAAATTCTAAAAGAGAGATTGAATTTCCCTGATTGTATAAAAAAAGGTTGGGTATTGGAGGGAATTCCCCAGACAAGAGAGCAAGCTCTTAGTATGCAAGAAAATGGAATCTTCCCTAAACACTGTGGTAAGCTTTGCTAGATTGATATTAAGCCTACACTTAAAGAAGGTAAATTTATCCTATAAATATTTTATTATTGGTGTGGATATATTTGAGAAAAGTCGTAACCATAGTTTATCTTTCAAGTCAGTATGTAGGCCTGTATGATAATTTGACATGCATTTTACATGACTGATACAAAGTTGCTGAAATAAAATTTATGAAATGTTCTACTTTTTACAAGCTTTTATTTAACTTGCTTCCTCTGTCTAACATCATGGGTCTCTTCCTTTATATTACTAAAAATATAGCCAACAGATAATAATATTGTGACCCTCGTTTTTCTTTATAGAATTTAAATATGAATGTATTATCATATATTTAAAGAAAATCATTTATTTTCTCCTTTTTAGTGCATTTTTACATAAAAGCTTGTTATTAAACGTTTTTGTGCAATTTTTTGTGATGATACAAAATCATTTTCTTTCAGTTGTCCTTGAAGCCCCTGACACTGTTCTTGTAGAAAGAGCAGCTGGAAAGAGAGTTGATAAGAAGACTGGAGGTACAGTCATAAAAAAATCATCTGTTTTGCGATATAAAAATGTTTTGCTAAACAGCTGTCCCGTCCCCCCCCCCTCCAACTAATAGTAAAGGAAGTTGATAATTAAACTGTATTTGATTGTTGCAGATGTTTATCATACAACCTTTGACTGGCCGGGTAATCCTGATGTCCAGGAAAGACTAAAAGAACCCAAGGGCTACAGAGAGGAAGACATGGTGAACAAGCTGGTAGTTTACCATAGACACAGTGATGGGATTTTTCGCTGCTATGAAAGGGTTATTAAAACGCTAAATGCTGATCAGCCTAAGGCAGATGTCTTTTCCCAAGGTTAATTTAAATAAATCTTTCTTTTTTTTCTAAGCAGTTATATTGAGTAGCAAGAATACATAAAGATAAGTTCATTCATATACTAAAATGTGATACCTTAAATGTTTTCTTTAAATAATTTGCTTTGAAACAAATTTTTTAATGAACAATGTATCTGCAATCATAATCCTTTGACCATATTATCATGTCTCCTCTTACAACTTTTTCTGCCTATAACAACATACAAAATGTTAATTGTTACAATAGTTATTTAAACAAAAACTGAGATGTTTTTAGTTTAGGTGTTCTGTTTTTCTTTAAAAAATTTGAAGTATTGAATTATTTATGAAAAATTTCTTGCCTTCAGCATATTCTTACCTATGCAGTCAGCCCAGGTCGAGTGCACCACACACACCTCGCATTGTGTTAATTGGAGCTACTGGAAGTGGTAAAGGAGTCCAAGCAGCTCTGCTGGCTAACAAGTATAATCTAGTTAAAGGTTTGTTGAAGCAGGTTTACGCCTAGAAAATAATTAGCCAGAGCCCTTACGCTAAATAAAACAAAGCTTCATCTCTCATAGATCATATTTTTATTGCTAAAATTAACGATATTGGTTACATTAGTTCATGTATTCAATTTCATTGTGATACAAATGTTTCTTCCAATTTTAAGTGTCTTGTGGACAGTTGATAAAACAAGCAATAGCCCAAGAAACAAAGTCTGGACTTGCGGCTAAGCCGTATGTTGAGAAAGACTTGATAAGTAAGCTTTCTTTTTGTTTTACATTTCTTTACGCATTTCCCCTAATTAGATTTCTCAAATATTCAAGAAATGAATTTTTTAAAAAGTTCCAGACAGTATTGTGTTGGACATTTTGAAGGACAGGCTATGTCGATTAGACTGTGTTACTAGAGGCTGGGTTCTGCATGGTTACCCACGCACCAGGGAGCAGGCTGAGCAACTAGATAAAGCTGGTCTCAGACCCAATAGGTTAGTTCATTTTTTTAATTGATTGTTTTAACCTGAAGTATTGTTTTATAAATTACACTCTAAATTAGGCTATATTTTTTTTTTAGAAATAATTATTTAATAGTAATAGCACACTGGAAAATACAACCACCCCACAAAACACTTCTACTTTCATGCTACATTCTAAAACATGAGAAACCTGTGATAAAAAATATTATTGTTCTCATTGTTATTTTTTAAATTTAAAATCTGATTGTCTCAGGGTATTTTTTCTCGATGTACCAAATGATTCTGTGATAGAGAGGCTGACACTCCGAGCTATGGATCCCATCACTGGAGAGAAATACCACATGCTGTATAATCCACCAATCAACCAAGAGGTGAGAGATGACTGAATGAAATAAGTGTAAACACAGATACAATTTTAGTATTTCATTTCTGAATGAAATAATTACCAACACAAATACTATTTTACTATTCATTTCTATAATGGCATGGTATTTTGGTAGAATGCATGCTTGCTAATTCCAAATTGCCCCCAACACATTACAGGTGATAAAATAAAAACCTGGTAACAACAAGCATTTTTTAACATCCATGTTACCAACTGTTATGACCAATGTGTTTATTCATCCCTTTATGGTCTGCCTGGCTAAAGAGCATTGCTCAATCTGGCTATACCCAGAAAGATAAACAAAATAATTTTTATTTCTGGAGAAATATCATAGGAAGAAATTCAGATGTTGAAGTATAGAAATGTGTCTCATTCATAAGCTACAATTTAAGTGGTAGATCATAGTTCAAACATCTGAAAATTTTTATTCCTGATGAGCAGGTCAAGGACAGATTGTGGAAAAATGAAAAGGACAATGAAGAAAATGTACGTAAACTTCTGGGTCAGTTCTTTGCCTACATGGAAGAATTGTTGGACTTCTACACTGAAGGTCAGCACATCAACGCTGACCAGGACCCTCACACTGTCTTTGAGTGCCTAGAGAGCATGATTTGTAAGCCACTGCCCAAAGCTTTCAATTGAGCTTGCTGAATATTTTTTAAAATCAGGATAGATAACTCTCAACTTAAAGATAATTTTACAAAGCTATCTAAGTGTTTAATAAAAATCTTTAAAAAAAAAACATTAGTATACATTTGAACGTGGGAAAGAAAAATTTGAATATTTTTTTAAACAGTCTAGATTAAATGGTTTGGTGTTTGAAAACAAATTTTCTTTTTCATCAGCACTTTCATTGATAGATTTAAGCCAGTGGTTTGCAGGTGTTGCCATATGTACTCAATAATCTCTTTTTAACTAAAGTGTTTCGAGTTTAGTTCGACTTTGAGAAATATTTCAGCAAAAGTTAAATTTTTTTTTTAATTGTATAGAGTATTAAATCTTTCTATACAGTATTTATTAAATGTGTCACATTTTTATAACCATATATCATAACTATAATACATTGTCACTTTGAATAATCTAATAAAAGAACTTTTAAAACTGACAGCTTTTTGCTTCAGTGCTAGTTTTGTTAAGATGGATTTATTACAATATTTTTATTATAGTTTCAATATTTCGACTGATTAAACAAATAAAAATACTGGTATATTTTATTTTTTAAAATTTATTTTATAACAGTGTGTGTGTGTGTGTGTGTTTTTCACTAATTAAAGGTTTAGATAAACAACAATTGATAAATTGCAAAATAAGAAAAACTAAAATTCTAAAGTCAGCACTTTAAAATTATTAACACAAGAGACATGTTCAAACAATGTCAGCTATTTAAGTAGCATACAAATTCTAACAACTAAAGTAAGCAATGAAAATGAAAGTATATAAAAAATTTCAAATTTTGTTAATATCACAAGAAAAAAATTTGCAGACAAAGCTGACATTTTTGTTTACTAATACCATAGCCGAAGTATGTTTTAAGTGAGCACAAAGTATCAGTCAAATACTGGCAATGCAGAAACTTTAAGGTGTGCACCCAGTTTCAGCTTAGCACCAGCTGATTGCAGTTAAGGACTAACTTTTAGTAAGGGAGCTTAACTAAATAAAAAATATCCAAGTGCCTGCACACAGAAAAACATTAGATTACAAATGAAAAGAATTGCACAAAAACATTTATGTTGATGGTAGATGAACTTTTTAAAATGAAAGACATACAAAATACAGATATCAATTAAATTAAACACAGTTAAAAAGTCAAATAATCATAAAATAAAAATTCAAAGAATAGTGGGGAAATAAAAGTAACATTGGATCAATTTACAAAAATAATTTTTTGATTTAACTTAAAGCTGTAAATACTCTAAAATAAATTTTTAAAAATTATGTATTAGTGAACACCATCTTCTGAATGGTTTTATTAAAATGAAAATATTTTTTAAAAGTTATAAAAAATATATAAGAATTATAAACAAAATGTACAAATGCAAAGCACTAGAAAACAATTTTTTGAGGCAACTATTTTATAGAAATACCCATGCACAAATGCTTTTTAGAAAAAAAAATTGATAAGCTATTCAGAAAATCAAATACTGTAAGATCCTTTTTTGTGTTTTTATCTGTGATATTTGAATAAAATGTATAGTTTAATGAAATGTATCATAGACAATATTAAAAATAAATACTTAAATATAATTTGTACTTTCCATATATGAAAAAAGGAATCATATCAGCTTGGCTCTGACAAAACATATTTCATTTATTTTAATTCTTCTCATGACGGAATAACATTCTATTAAAAGAAATACAAATAACAGAAAATTAAAAAAAATTTAATCTCAATTTTTTTAAATAGACCTATAAATAATAATCATTAAAAAAGTTTTAAAAAACCCACGTTTTCTGATTGAACTAAAAAGTAGAAAATAAATGCTATACATCACAATAATGCAAGCGATCACTCTACTATAAGCGATGAAAAACGTGGGGCGCCGAAGTACAAGTTATATTACTATTGATTAGATAATACTATTGACTTTAATTAGGGAGCTTTTATTAGAGAGTCAACAGTATTAGAAACTGTAAGAAAATCACGGCGCCCCACGTTTTTGATCGCTTATAGTAGAGTGATCGCTTGCATTATTGTGATGTATAGCATTTATTTTCTACTTTTTAGTTCAATCAGAAAACGTGGGTTTTTTAAAACTTTTTTAATGATTATTATTTTCTACTTTTTAGTCTTTGTCTGTTTGTTTGCATTAAAATCTTGCTATCGATTTTATCTTTTCACTTTTTGTTGGGTAAACGAAGACAACTCGTAAAAAGACAACTCGTAAAAAGACAACTCGTAAAAAACACGTTGTGTGAATACGTTACTGACTAGAACACATAGATTTGAACCCGTGTCGAATGGGATAGCAATCGTGTGCCCAACCACTCGACCATATCGTCTCCCCCATACTGGCCACCAGTTGTTACGGTTGTTTGTACACAAATTACAGTTACTGGGTTATGTCCCTTTTTCCCCACGTTTTTACTACAACGTGCCGACCCGCGGCGTATCATACGCCGCTATTTAGTTGATTTATTTTGTACCTTTCAGTAATTCATAATTTGTGAATTCGACAGTACCAATGCTGCCACTGAAAATATTTGCTTTAAAACACTAACCCCCCTCCTTTCCCCTAGCCCCGACCCTACACCCCCCCCCCGTAAAAGCAGCTCCTCTTAGTTACCTCCTGTAAGTTTAAAGTCGGTTCAAACTAAATTATCTGCCCCTAATAGCCGTCACTAAACCTGGCTGTACGGTTTGTAAACATTAACGTGACCACAGCTCAGCAGACCATGTGGGGGTGGGGTAGGGTGGTAGTGATAGTGATAGAGAGAAAGAGAGGGGACTGTAAGGAGGCGCTTGCAGCTTGTTTTCTAATGGCTCGCAGAGGAGAATTATATATATAGATTATATAGCGGTCTAAAATGCTCAATAAAATGTTTCCATGGATCAATTTAGTAATAATAACAATTGAATATTCTAATGTCATCCAAAACAAAGCTTCCCTGAAAATTTCAGCGCGCTAGCTAACTGAGAAGTGTCAGAAATTTCGATCGCAAGATTTGATTGGAAAGACAAACAAACAGAGACGAAAGCAAGTTAAAGAAAACGTGGGAAAAACCTTTAAATGTTAAGAGGGCCACTGGAGATAACATGTGCTCCCATTAGCAAGCAAAAGCTAAGTTAGTTATTATGTAGTATTATGTATAATACAAAACTTTTCTCACCTAAAAAAATAATCCAAATGCTAAGTGTATTTTTTGGATTACGTTAATGAATGGAAATAAATATGTTGAAATGTTAGAGCTTATGACTGCTAGCCTGAAAGTCTTGATTTCAGATCCAGCGCTTGAGTCTATAGAACGCCAGAGTTTACTAAACTCTGATGGGTACCTGACTCACATTAGGGAAACTAAGGCAGCTGGGCATAGTACTGACCACACTATCCGCCTGTATACAGATGTCATTGAAACTGATGTACTCTGAATAGCCCCATGTGTCTTGGACAAGAAATATAAACTAAAACATGTTTCGTAAAAATGTAAAAAATCTGCTGTAATCTGGCTTATGCTTTCTTACTACTAAATAGTTGTCAAATGAATTTAGATAGTATGAGTAATTAATCTTAGAAGTAAAATCACTTTAGTTCAGAAATTATTGTGAGTTTTTTATTACATAAATATTAAGCAACTAGACATCATAAAACATTACTTTCCTGCATTTTTACACAAGAGTGGGTTCCAAAAACAAATATCTTCAAAAAGTACATTCAAGCTGAACATTTTGTACGTGAGAAAATGGTTTTATCACACAAATCCGTGAGAAAACAGTTTCAAAACTATTGAAGAGAACACATTTTTCTTAAATTGATCTGGAATTTTTTTTCCACACATAGAAGGCATCAGACTTTTTCAACAATTTTGTGTCAATTTTCATCTTACTACTTTCTTGTAAGAGTATGGAATTGTGTGCAAGTGTGTATGTGAATATATGGCACTGATTTTCTTATATAATGGTATAATAGATTCAAGCATCTCACATTTATAACATCAGTTATAAATCAGTGCAACTCAATAAAGCATTACCACACAAATATTAGCATTGTTTAAATGCTCTGCCAAACACCATTAAGTACATTAGCATTTTTTCAAAACTCAAGCACCATACAATGGTAAAACATTTTATCAGACACTGAGATTACAGTGAAATTTTCACCTACCAGCATCATACAGACATCAAAATTACATTGGACTCAATACAACTGCAGTACCTTAATATCACCAATTACATTTACATGTGTGAGCAACAATGTGACGAAACGTATCAATTTTCCGTCTGTCAAAAAATCGCCGCAACTTTTTTGGTATTGCAAGACATTTCTGCAAGTTGACAGTCCTAACATTTGGGCAGTTCTGGCTGATTGCACTAGGAAAATAAAAACAGCAACTGGTTGTTTCGCACAGGAAATTTTATGACCTAAACCAGGGGTCTCCAAACTGTTCAGTCTGAGGGCCGCATTAACTATCAAATTTCAGTTCGGGGGCCAGTTTCTTCCTGGCATGTCTTTAATTTTTCTGGTCAAAGTTCCTCAGCCATCACCAACAAACGCTTTTTTTCCGTGGACAAAAATATCTACGCGGGCCGGATGAGAGGACCTTGCGGGCCGCATCTGGCCCGCGGGCCGTAGTTTGGAGACCCCTGACCTAAACAACAATTCTAAAACACATTAACACTATGTCTATTGTTATTTAAAATTTGAATAAAACTATAAAACATACCTGACTAAAGGCATGGTGATGTCCAAATTCTCTAGCTCCACTCTTTCTATCAAAACATTTTCATCTTTCACCAGACAGAACATACCTTCTGTGATGTCTTCCAAACTAAAACTACTGTAGGATAGGACTATTTCACATAGACTGTGCCGCCACTGACAATATAAATTTACAATTTCATTAACAGAAAGGTCTGATCACAATTTTTCAAGAAAAACATCAATGTAATTGGAAACTACAAGCTAGAAATAAAAACACTCTGATTAACTGATTAATCATGACAACTATATAAAAATTTTTTATTAAGATAATCAATTTAATCATTGCTGCTAGTATTCAAGAGTCTCCCCCCCCCCCCCCCCTGACATCTACTGCTATTGGTACTTAGTTTACTTAGATCCCTAATATAAGTTTTTAGTTTTAGTTTTAATTTACAGGAATGAGACAAAAGATATCATCAGCAATCTTTGAAAAGATAATCACCCCAACATTAACAATAAACAAAACCAGATAAAATCCTATCCACAATTATATCCTACTGTGCATGTGGGCAATATTTATTGAATTCTTAAAGAAAACTTTTGGGTATACCCTTAAAGACCAAATACACTAAGAGTAAGTTTGATAGAGATAATACTAAAATGAAGTAATATAAAAAATAAAGTCAGCTAGAGAAATGTAGTTACAAGAAGTTAAAAATAACCCACCTTGACCCACATCTATAGTAGTAACTTTAACATGTACCTGTTTCAATAACTGCACAAGTCCTCGAGGGTCATCAATGATGCGAATTCCCATCAAGAGTTTCTCTACATCCAAGCAAGGCAGCTTGAGCAATGTTTGAACAGAGAAATGTTCACAGCCACGTAGATCCAGACTTCGTAGTTGTCTTGAAGACATTATCAACCTGCAGGGGGGTCAAAACCCAGCATTTAACAGCAAGATACGTTTTCAGCAGCAATGCATATTTGTTTATTACTGTAGTTCTACCAAAACATGAGTAGATTTATTTATCTTCCATTGTTACATTTAAATAATTTAACGGCATTTAACAGCAAGATACGTTTTCAGCAGCCATGCATATTTGTTTATTACTGTAGTTCTACCAAAACATGAGTAAATTTATTTATTTTACATTTAAATAATTTATATTTTATTATATTCCGATGGCTTCTGCTGCAGGCATTTTACTTATAAGCTCTACTGCGGACAAGACAGGACAATTTATGAAGTACAAAACCAACCTCTCTATTAAGTTGTCATTTACTGGCAAGGGTTGCCTGTTATCACAAGGGCTGCCAGCAGCAATAGATAACTCTTCCAGTGATTGAAACCCTGGTGAGAGGTACTAAAGAAACATAAGAGGAAATTTAAACAAAGAACAAGATCACTACCCAATTTAATTTAAAAACAATTAATGAAGAAACGTAAACAAGAGGAAATTCTTACAAAGAAACAAGATCACTACCCAATCCAATTTAAAAACAATTACTGAAGAAACATAAACAAGAGGAAATTCATTAAAAGAAATAAGATCATGACCAATTCCAATTTAAAAGGAATTAAATTACTACCAGTATCTAAAACACAATTTTTGTTTTGGTATGGCAATTAAAGTATGGTCATTAAACATGAGTTTACTGAATCATTACATTTAATTACTGAAGTTTAGCATTAATAGCATTATTCAATAAATAAGTTAATCAGATTAAAATTAAGATTATCTTAATTACAAGATATAAAGACACTTCATTTTGTGAGATAATAAGTAACACAACAGTGAAGAAAAAAACAAAAAACTATTCTAGATTGTTGTCTTTGTTGGGTAAACTCACAGAAGGATAATCTTCAAGGGTGATGCTAGTGGCTAAAATGTAGCCCATATTTAATACCCTGAGATGCGGCAAGCTACGCTGAAGTCGTTCTATATCCAGACTAAATACATCGACTCTACAGTAATTGATTGACAAGGCTTCAAGATTTCTACAGTTTTCCTGTGCAAAAAAAAAAGCAAAGCAAAATATAAAAATTTTTATAAAAGAAAATGCTAAGATAATTATTGTCTATCAAGACTAACTTAACTTTTGATTGAACAGTACAGTTTTATCTTAGATTTTTCAACACATTACAATTAGGTTACTGTTTATTAGAGGACCATTATCCATTATTCTATTCAGAATGGAACTAAAACTAACATGAAGGCTATCTTAACAATCACTAGTCCTGAGAACACTCAAATGTAATCTGTTACAGCTAGAATTGTAAGCATAAGAATGTCAGAGTTTAACCAAAGCTTACACAAATAGCATCCATCAGTTTATGAAAGCCATGCATCAAATTTCCACTGAGATTAAGACTCAACAATTGAGCATTGTAGTGTTCAATTATTGTTGTCATGGGTAAAACACTGACTAGATCATTCTGTAATTAGAAAAATATTTTAGCACATTCAAAACACAATGAATGATTTCAACCATTTTCACCATTTAGGCTAAGTTTTTTTAAAAGTACTTTTGTGTTCTTAGAGTAGTAGATGAAATAAACAAGAGGACTTACACAAGTATGAGAAAAATCTAAAGATGTGATGTGTGGACAATTAGTGGTAAAGTAAGTGGCAATATCCATGCTGAGCTTTGTGCAATATGACAAGTTAACTGACTGTAGCTTTTTGCAGTTCTCTGTCAGTTCCTGAAAAACATGTCAAAATTATAAATTTAAGTAGTTACTGAGATGTTAAGAAATTCATAAATTTATGCACACAATTTATAGGTAAGATATTCTGTAGCTTCAACTCAGAACAAAACATTCCATCAACCTGCCTATAGCTTGGAAAAGTACACTAACATACGGTACGTTCAACAGTGCTTGCATCCATCAAGTTTTTTTTTATTAAAATAGACGTCTAAGTCTAACTAACAAATTTATAACAATTCCTAGAAATATTATCTAGCACATTTCACTAACCTGAACACCTAAAGCTGTAATATCCCAGCCTGTCAAATCTATTTCTTTACATGGTGCTAGTCTGTTTCTTGACAGCCATATCAAAAACTCATCAGTTCGCCGCATCCAATAGTATCCGCCATAGGGAACTTTGACAACAGTCCACAGACATGGATTCAAGCAGAGATTATACCAAAGCTTGCTGACAAGTGGTGCCCTAATCAAATCAAAACAAGAAATAATAGAAATTACCATGTTAGGGTAAAAACTATGTCATTATGCGAAGTCAAACAAATGATAAAACAAAAGCTTAGACTTGCACAACATTCAATACAAAAGTTAAAGGCAGGAAATGTTTAAAAAAAAACATCTATGGAGCTCTGACAATAATTTTATTCTCCTAAAAACTTAAAAAATAATCTGTGAATAGCATCTCTGAAAGTATAACTACAATTAGCTTGAACTACACTATACAACTCACACTTGATAGGACATGCTTCTTGATCCCTAGCTACCATGCTTCTACACTACACAAAGTGACACACTAAAGCGTATAATCTATACCTGATCATGAAAGGGTACTGCCTCTCTGCAATTATGTAGCTAAATATTTTGATCCATATTTCAGGGGGTAGCTTGGGCAGTTGTGCCCGTCTTGTTCGATGGCTCACATTTAGCTGCCTCTCTATAGCAAATAGTGACTCTCCAGTATCTTGAATTACCAGTTTACAGTTTCGATGAAGATGTCCACGACTGTATGGCGAAACCACTAATTTCCGTTTCAATGGTCGTGTTTCTTTTTTAAATTCTTTACACGATTCATCTTCACTCATTATTCACAATCTGAAATAATAATTTCCAAAGCCAAATGTACATTTATTTTGAAATGATTGTTAGTGTAGATGTTTCAATTAAATAAGGGCATAAAATTAGAAGAAAAAAACAGAATTAGGAAATTTAAAGTATTCAGTAACATTGCACTAATAAACCCTATTCATAAATGTTTTAACTTACAGTGTATTCAAGGCAGAATGTTACTCATTTAAAGACTTCTGAAAAAACATTAGTGGAGACTTTTATTATAGAACATGTGTTGCATCAACTCAACAGGGATCCTAAAAAAAAGTTGAACACAAATTTCATGAATTTTCTAAGACAATGGACTCTTCTGAAAATAGGTGTGTTAGGTTGTGAGAAACATGGTAACATCAGGTTTAGTGTGTTAGGGTCAGAAATGATTAAAATGGTTATGGTGCTATTTGGTTTAGCATTGATGTTGGTAAAGTATTTAGTAGTTTAACTTACTGCCAGTAACCTAACACCCCTTTATTAAGAATATTCCATTATTATGGCATTATCAGATTCTGGTATAACTTATAGTTTTGAAAAGATAACTTCAGCAAGTTTAAAACTTTGGCTAAGTATTAGGGCCTAACTTGGCCACTAGAAGTCTTCTTCTTCTTCGTTATTAATTCTAGGAGGGATTCCCTCCAACACAATTAAGTATTACATGTCAACTTGTTATGCCGTTGACTCCAATTTCAGCATGCTTTTCTTTTTGGATCTGCTTCCATAGCAAACTACAAGGCTGCAGCTGTTTTATTTTGTAGTTGTCTCTCCTACAAGAGTTGCTGTCCCCAGCTATCGAGCCTCATCTGCCTGAGGGATCAAACATGAGACTTTTTGGTTTAGCAGCAATGACCTCTACTGATTTGACCACGCCGATCCCGCTACTAGATCTAGTAGCTATTTTTAATATTTTGTTTGGTTACCTACTGCATTTTAAATCATCTAACCACAACAAGCAAATCAGATTTTACCAGCTAGTGGCTACTGCCTCTACTCTCTACCTGTGCCTAAGGATTAAGCTAAGTAAAATAAATTATGATTTAGAATGACCCAATATTATTAGAAATTTTAGTAATATTAAATAGATATAGGCAACAAGAAACTGGAAGGATTCTCGTCAACTCGCTCGCCTCCATCGACTGAGTAGACTCAGGAGTCAGTAGACAGAGTAGCTCAGAATACTCAGATGAGTAAGTCAGTAAGTTCACCAGTGAATTGTATATTAAATTTTACTTAGGCCTACTACAATGCATTGTCTAAGTTTATGACTCTACTAGATCTTTTCTAACCTCATATTTTCTTAAATCTTGGACTGCTGCCTTAAGAAGTTAAGAGAATAATTTATAATAACGAATAACTCAACACCCATAGTTTACATTACAACAGTTGAGTGAATGTGATAGAGTTGGCCGGTGCAATTTTTACATAAAAGAGCCTAGGAATCAATTTTCACGCAGTTTCGATAACTAGGGCTTATAGCTGACTTTACCTAAATGAAATACCCTAGGTAGCAACTTAATAAAATACTTGTTATTTTTTTACAGATTCCAAATCAGTTCTCATTCTTGTTAACAAATGTTTGCTATTCAGAATGTATTATTCTCTATTTATTTAAACACAACAAAATTTACGGATTAAGAAAATTTTTTATTCCAAATTTTCATCATTCTTGTGAAAGCCTAAAATATTTGTAATGTGCGAATATATTTATTTTCTACTAATTTAAAATGTCTACATTTAATTTAATTATTGTATTGTATTTTGTTAAAAAATTGCATGCTAATCACACAACTATTTCATTAAATAATTTATTTTTATTTGTTTTCTAATGTTTTATTTTGGTGAGTAAAGAAGGACATTTTTCTTAATGTGATGTGGGTGATGTGTAATATGTTTGTGTAGTATTATATGCGCACAATACTTTATTTTTCAGTATCTAAAATTACAGCAATTTGGTTTTTGATCTCTAACTTAATGTAACTTATATGTAAAATCAATTCCCCATAGCCCAAGTCAGTCAGTTGTTTTGTTTTGGGGAGTTTAAATTATCCCTGGCAATTTTTTGTATTTTTTATCTGGAAAGAAAATTACTTCCGCTAAATGTTCACATTGCATGGTTCTTTGCAATTTTATTAATTGCCTATTTGGCGACTCATTGGGTAGAAAGATAAACATAAACATCAAGTTTGGACTAATTCTGTAAACTCTAGAGGTAAAAATTATTATTAGATCTAAAATTTAGCTTTGTTCTAGTTAATAATATGACGACCTTATTATTAGAATAGCCAGTGGTGGCGAAAGACTGAACGAGCATCTGCCTGGATTCTGATTTTTCGGAATTTGTGAATTTGTCATTCATAGTTTTAATCATCATAGTCAAGTCATTCGATTATCTTTTCTGGGTAATCGATCGTTTGATGTAGATCTATGTAAAATCGGCCGAGGCTAGTAATGTGGAAAAAAGGTGACTCATTAAACTTTACCAAGTGACTTCGCGTCTCGCAGAGCATGGCCCCTAATGAATTGACTACACGTCTCGCAGGTTTGATTTGCCATCTTGTAATTGAAAATGCTTACTTTTTACTTCTCTATCACATCCGGTGTGGTTGAGTCCACAGTGTGCCAGCTGTAGACTGTAGTTCATAGACCCGGAGTTCAGAGTTCGAACCCTGGGTTAGCTTGGCCGGTACTAGTTTTTTCTTTTTTCATATTGAAAATATGGCGTAGACTATGATTCTTGTTTTGGATGATATTTCGAGTCGTCCCTTTGAATCCCGGACAGATCGTCCCCCCGGCGTGGCCTCAGCCAACCGGCGGGCTCGTTGCATTGAGTTAAATATAAACTCAAAACAATAATATAAACAATCTCCTTTTAGGTCGGTCAGGCCACATACCAGGCACGCACAGTGTTGTGTGTCGTTCCTTAACCAAAATAAACTATCTCCCTTCATTATCATTAGATATATTTAATTAGTTAATTAATTAATTAGCTAATTTATAAAATTATGTATGATGCTATAGCAGTAGGTAAGTTACGGTAAGTATAATTTTTTTAACTATGTATTTGTACTATAAAGAAACACCTTCGTTGTTTGAATACCACCCCCTCCCCTTCTTGAACTCAAAGTTAAACTTTTAACCCCGTTCGTAGAGACATGCGGTATGTTGTAAAGCGGCGGGTGGGTAGGGTATATACTCGGTGAAGAAAAAATCCAACGTGGTGCGTGTTATTGGCCTTGGGCCTTCGGTGACGTTGTTGGCGTTTGCTGTGAGGGGGAGAGGGGTGTGTTATATCCGTTTAAAAAAATCGCAACATGGTATTGGCCTATGATGACGTCGGCGCAAGCGGGGAGGGGGGGGGAGACACTTTTTTTTAAAAAACCAAGAACTAGGCGTTTAAAGGCTGTAATGAAAATCAAGGACTGGTATAGCCATGATGTCGAATTTAACGAGTGATGCTTGCTGGGTCTATCATACGATTGCTTGGCGATGGGAATCTTGTCAAGCTCAGTTTATATTTACAGTGAACTATTGGGATGCTGTCATACATAAAGTAACAGCTACCGAATGTAGCACTTAAAACATAGAGTGCATCCCGCTCATTATAAATTTGAAATACAAGTTATGGATTGCCCAAAAACTTGAAGGACTATCAGAATATATGCATTGTATTATAACATTAATCATTACGATATAACTAAAATGTGTATTCAAATATTTTTAGGCTAACAGGATCTGCATTTAAATAAACAAGACCTATTAGGCTACTTTTGCATGGTAGCACAACTACATTTTTAGATTTCATAATGAGTAGCCTAGTCGTGCATTAAAGGACTGTACTCAATAACAATGAAAAAAATGAAATGCCGGCTTCAAACTTCAAGCTATGATTTCCCCGTATTCTTCTACTAGAAATATAGCTCCGTTGTTCTAATGACCTCACCCTCCTCCTCTCACCTAGTTCAATTTAAAGTTACACTTTCAACCCCGTTAGGATGCGTGAACTGGTGAACCGCGTGAACTACTGATGACCTAACTATTGAAAAAAAAATATTCTGGTGTTAAATTGCCCTCCCCTACTCGCAGCACTTTGGGGCCATACACATCAGGAAGGTCTAGGTCGGTGTTGTATCTCGTGCAAATTTACTCACAACACGACTACACACTATGCTTGTATCCAGGACTAAAGCTGCGACACTCGCATAGAGTTGGATTTATTCGTTAGATCATTGTGCTTCAAATTCTGTTTCAATATTGGATTAGATGGATATAATGTTGGAATTCAGTTAGTTTGTTATATTATATTTATCTAAATGTCGTGTACCATCAGAAACTAAATTGGTTGACAAGACACATGTGTAGGCTAAAGAATGACCTCTAGATCGAGCCAAAGATGGCTGGTTAAGGTTGACAAACTGTGGTTTTCAAATTTCATGGTGATACTTTTCTAAAGGATTTTATTTTGTGCTTTCTTTGGGATTATTTTGTGTGATGTGATTATTCAGAAGTAATTTGTAAGTAGAAGCTTTTCACATCCAACCATTTTAACAGTTTGCGATTGATCTGCGGCTGGGCTGATTAATTTACATTTAGCGAAACTACACACTACACGGCGCCCTCAGGCCGTTGTTTCAGCATGCCCTACTAGTCAATTATAGACAACTTTAGAATCAATACATAGAGCCAACACACCGATTTTTATTTAATAATCTTCAAGAGCCATTCCTCTAGGGTCGTTATTTTCACGAAATTGTCGTTTTCCATTTTGTTGTCAAGAAACTGGTATTTAGTTCACGAGAACGTATGAAAACCACTCATGCGTGACCGAAATCGTCGATTGGGTGCCTTCACGTGGTTTGACACGTGTTGACCTAGGCCATTGTTTACATCCAAAAATCACCCAAAACGGCCTTTTTTCGAAAAATTTGTTTGAAAAAATGGCTAAGTCCAGTTTTAAAAAGTGTCATTTTCGGGCCCATTTTAAAAAACGTAAAAAAATCCGAACTACACGTAGAAAAAAATGGCTTTTTCTGCCCTTTTTAGCTCCAAAAACGCGTCGCGTGACGTCATCGTGACGTCAGCCGCCAACCAAAACGCGGAGAAAGCGCGCGTTTGATTGGTTGGCGGCTGACACTATGAAATCCTCTAAGGACGATTCGAATGGTATACCCTTGTTTTTTAATAAAATATTTGTAATCTTTTTTTTTGAACTCCTCTAGCTTCCTTCAAGAATTTAATTAAAGTTAAGAATGCCTAAAAAAAGCAAAGCCGAAAAAGAAAAGTGGAAGGGGGATGATGATGATGAAACTGACCTTGCAAACAGTCTGAGTAAGCTTTCAACAAATGAAGATAAGGACCAAGATGGCGGCAAAAAAGCCAAGAAAAAGGTAGGTCAATTTGTCTATTTATTGAATGGTCATAACAATTTATAAGTAAATTCTCAATTGTGCTAAAATTTGGTAGCTTATAAATCAGAATAATTAATATATTGTCCTTTTCACCTATTTATTACAGGAAAAGAAGAAAAAGAGTAAAATGGATAAGTTAAAAGAAGAGATGATAGCTGGCGAGCAAGAAAAAGAGGCGATGGAAAAAAAGAAACAAGAAACTACTAAAGTTGAAGCAACAGCAGCTGTAAAGAAACAAGTAGTTAAAGAAGAAGAAAATGGTGTAGAAGATGATGAAGAAGAAGAAGAGAATAGAGATGCTTTAGTGGAACAGAATAATGTTGCTGCTGGTGACAAACAAGGTTTGAAAAGCAACATTATATCTTGTTTTTGTATTCCTTGTGGCTAGAAATGTATATATCAATCCTTTCATTTCTTTGCATATAGTTACTTTTTTATCGTTAGTTTAACAATGATGTTATTCTATTTTACCAGAAGAAGAAAAGGATAAGCCTAAACTGAGTAAAAAAGAGCTTAAAAAGTTAAAGAAAAAGGTAAATTATTATAAAGCTTGTTTTCTGATTTTGTATGGTGTGGTAATTATTATAAATATATATGTTATTATATTCTTAGGCCATTAAAAGTGTTAATTAATTTTTTCAATGCTGAAAAAAAATCTTTTCTATGACCTGTACTTATAAATGCTGTGCTGCACATACTTGAGGTAATCTTTATCGTCATTAAACTTTGTATTACTTTTCTTGTTCAGATGGAGTATACCAAAGCACTGGAGGAAATGGAAGAAGATGGTCAGTTTTCTGTTATCCAGGCTGAAAGTTCAAAAAAAGACCTTTTACTGGACAATCAACTTGATATTAAGGTAATTTTTATGTTAATTTGTGTTAAGTCAATTGTGATTTTTAAAAATTATTTTATAGTTCAAATATTTGATAAATCAATATGTTGCAATTTCCTGTTACAGATAGAAAAATTTGGTATATCTGCCCGAGGTAAAGATTTGTTTGTAAATGCAGATTTATACATAACACATGGAAGAAGATATGGTCTTGTGGGGCCAAATGGGTAAATAAAACTTTAACTTTGGATTATGTCAGTTACTCCCCTTTGTCTTTTAATGTCTGTGTGAAATATGCAGTACCTTGCTTGGTCCTAATTATAACCAGAGTAAGTTAAAATCTTAATGCAGCAGACTTATTTTTTCTTAAGAGGTAGATAATTATTTTAATAATAATAATTAATCTAAGGAAGATTTAAATCCGCTGAGAAAATATATCACATTTGATTTTTAAAAATTGAGTGTATTTTGTGATTCTTTTTTCATACTTTACTTTCCTTTTCCTTCCTTCTCTATAAAGTCACGGAAAAACGACATTGTTAAAACATATGGCCAGTCGAGCTCTGAGCATCCCAGCTAATATAGATGTTCTGTACTGTGAACAAGAAGTGACTGCAGATGAAACAAAAGCCATAGACGCTGTTCTGAAAGCCGATAAGAAAAGGACCGCTCTGTTACAGGAAGAGAAAGATTTGATGTCAAAGATAACAGAAGGTGGTAGAGAAATTACTGACAGGCTGAAAGATGTGAGTTGAGAATTCACAGATAATGAACTGACATTGAAAAACATTATTTACCATTATATTTGTGAAACAATTTTTTCTGATCAATGAAGAACTATGAGCCATGTTTGTATATATTTGGTCCACTTTCTAGTTTTATGAAGAACTACGATGTTAATAGTGTATTTTTGGTCCACTTCTTCTATGTTTATTAAGAAAAATATGTGAATAAATATATTTTTGGTCCACTTTTTCTAGCTTTATGAAGAACTAGATGTTAATTGTGAATTTTTTTCTATGTTTATGAAGAGCTAAGGATCATGGCTTCTTATTTTGTTGAATTTTTTATGTTTATGAAGAACTAAGATGTTAAAAGTATATTTTTGGTCCACTTTTTCTAGGTTTATGAAGAACTAAGATGTTAAAAGTATATTTTTGGTCCACTTTTTCTAGGTTTATGAAGAACTAAGATGTTAAAAGTATATTTTTGGTCCACTTTTTCTAGGTTTATGAAGAGCTACGGGCCATCAATGCGGATGCTGCTGATCCTAAGGCTAGAAGAATTTTAGCTGGTTTAGGATTCACCAAGGAGATGATGAACAGGGCAACAAAGGATTTATCTGGTGGCTGGAGAATGAGAGTCTCATTAGCCAGGTGAACTACTTTTTAAATATTCACATATTTAATTTTGTGGATCTTGATTTAAACTTGAATTTTGAATCTATGACTCTCAGGTTTAATTGATTAAATAATTTTTATTTTAATATTACTTTTTTTTTTCCTATTAAAATGTCAAAGTGTAAAGTTAAGTACCCTTTTAAACCTGATGGTCCATGGTGGAGTAGCCTTCACCTTTCAGTGACCTCTGCACATGAAAAGACAGTGAGTCTCAGTCAGGCACCCATCAGAACTGGGTGGACTCAGGGACGTTCTACTGAAACGAACCCAGGATTCAAATGAGACTTTTGTGTTAGCAGTCATATGCTGTACCATCCGACCACACCATTATTACAAAAGCTGCCGAATCTACACAAGCCTCTGGCAATCATTTTCTCACACTTCAATGACTCATAACCAGATGAAATATAAGCTAAAAAAAATATTTTAGGAACTGTTTTCTGGTTTTCTGCTATCAATAGCAACCTCTAACACTTAAATCTTTTTTAAAAAGGTAGTTTATTAGTAAAGAATGATGAACTGCAATAAAAATGTGTAGTTTTAAAAAATAAAAAAATAAATTAAGATATGTTGCTTTACCTCCAGAGCTTTGTTTATGGAACCAACACTTCTAATGTTGGATGAGCCTACCAATCACTTGGACCTTAATGCTGTCATTTGGCTTGATAAGTAAGTACAGTTATTGTCATTGGTCATGTACAGACAAGCTTCAATCCTCATATTTTCAGCACAAGTAATTAATGTAAAAGTATGTTGCCATTGTGAACATGTTTGTTTTTTGTCTATCAGTTACCTGCAGCAGTGGAAGAAAACATTGTTGGTAGTTTCCCATGACCAGAGTTTCTTGGACAATGTTTGCACAGACATCATTCACTTGGACCAACAAAAATTATATTACTACAGAGGAAATTATGGTAAGGGGTTTAGTTTTTTTCCGCAGTTAAGATCACTTTGAATGGTGTTTTAGGAAACAATGAAGCATTATAGTATTGATAATTTTAGAATATTTAAGATATAAAATAGAATACTAGTTAGATAATTTTTTCCCACTCTGTCTTTGAAGCAGCTTGAATGGGCAAGGGAGGCATTTCTTTTCAAACTATTTCCTATTTCCATACTAGTATTTAAGACTACTCTCTTTAAATTTTTTTACTTCTGATGACCACCCTTCTTTAACACTGACAAATTTCACCTCTGACAGCAACCTTTAAGAAAATGTTTGTACAGAAGAGAAAAGAACAGCTGAGGGACTACGAGAAACAAGAGAAAAAATTAAAAGATATGAAAGCATCTGGCAAGTCAACTAAGCAAGCTGTGAGTTGAACGTTATTCTATAAAACATGTATGCTGTACTTTGGTTAAGTTTTTACAAAACGTTTTTATCAGGTTTCAAAACATGTATTCATGTACTAAAATTTATTTTTATGTCTGCTTTATATAAGAATCTGTTTAAAAAAAATTCATTCCTTAGATTTTTCAAATTATAATTGTTAAAATTCAACCAAAGCCATTTTTTTAATAAATGAATTCTGTGTATTAACTTAAATGTTTTGTTACCTAGGAAACAAAACAAAAAGAAGCATTGACACGTAAACAAGAGAAGGGTAGGAAAAAGCAAAGCCAGTTTGAGGATGAAGAGATGAAAACAGAACTGTTGGCCAGACCGAAGGAGTATGTGGTCAAGTTTTCTTTCCCTGCACCTGCCCCACTCAACCCTCCCATCCTTGGTGTCTATAGTAAGTAATTTAACCACAGCTTTTGTTACGTTTTCATAGGTATATCTGGTTTCAGCATTAACTCATAACATGTTAAAAAAAATGAAATTGATTTCTTTTTGTTGCTGTAATGGAAGTAAATGCCTATCTGTTTACACATGATCTTCTACATCACAATTTTGATTGTTTCAGCTGTAACATTTGGCTATCAAGGCCAGAACCTTCTCTTTAAAGATTTGGACTTTGGTATTGATATGTCTTCAAGAGGTAACATTTGTCTTGGTTTGACATTTATTTGCATAATTTAAGTTGGGTTTAATTATAGTTTATGTACAGCTTAAAATTGCAAGTTTTGTAAAATAAAATGTTTTTAATTTTTAACCACTAGATTCATATTAATCTCCAAAAGGGATTGTCTCTTTTTGTCAAAGGCTGTCACTGAAAATAATATAAATGTCCAAGAAATGAATCTTAATTGTGTAGTTATATAATATTGACTGACAAAATATTTATCTCCAGTGGCTATTGTTGGACCTAATGGTGTAGGGAAGAGTACATTCCTTAAACTTTTAACAGGAGAGATTATACCAGTAAGTATTTAGTGGTAATGACATTGTTTAATGACATAGCTTTCAATAAATGCTATTAATAGATTAGGTTTTTAAATTTCAGTAACAATATTGCATGCCTCTCTTATAAAGTGAAATTTACATATATTTTTTTGTTAACTGTGTTTAAAACTTAATATCCTTTTAATTTTAGGAAATCGGAGAAAGAAGAAAGAACCATAGACTGGTCAGTAGTATATATTACATACATTTTTATATCTTTGTTTTAAAGTTTATTTGATGTGCCTCATAAATAATAATCATCTTAAAGTATTTCAATCTAAATATTTGTTTTTATATTAAGAATGCATATTTCATATTTGTTTAACATTTTCTGAGTGAAAAATGTTACAAAAGTTAAAACTGTCAGATAGGTAATATTGCCTCCAAACTTGGGGATAAAAAATTGTTATTTTGTAGAAACATTTTCAAGTTTTCCTCTTATTCAACTAGCGTATTGGAAAGTATGACCAACATTCAGCTGACCAGTTGAACTTGGACGAATCTCCCACAGAGTATTTGATGGTGAGTGATAACATCATTTCCTGATTAAGCCATAATGCTGGTGCACTGAGAAATTAAGTTCATAATATGTTGTTTTCATTAATAACTAACAGAGATCTAGCAGTAGGTGAGAAAATTTCCTAGACTAGATACCTGAGTCTAAAATAGATGTTTCTTTGGTTTAAAAGGATTTTTATTACACATTACATACCAGTCTCAAATGACAATCTACAGGCCTTTGGAATAAAATATCTCTAAACCAGCATATACGTTAATGCCATTAGCATTTGACCAATGAATTTCTTGGTTTAATGCCACTAATCAACTTGACATCTCTTTTTGGTGAGTCGCAGCAGGCAGGCACATAATCTCCAGTTGTATGCATCTGTTTGTTTCTATAACAAAACCATTGACAATATGGCTTAAACTAAAGAATTCATTCAAATTCTAAATATGCAATGTCTATTAGTGAAGCACATGTACAAAACATTTAAATCCAGCTGTGAATGGAAAAATTGTTAAAAATATCAATTCCACAAATCTGTTAATTTTTCATAGAAAGTTTGTGAGATGCCAATGTTAGAAAAAAATGATCAACAAACTGTTTTATTTTCCAGAGACTGTTTAACCTTCAGTACCAAGATGCCAGGAAAAAACTTGGCCAGTACGGCCTGGCCTCGCATGCACATACGATATTGAACCGTGATCTGTCGGGTGGTCAGAGAGCTCGTGTAGCTTTAGCAGAACTCTCCTGCAGGGCTCCAGACGTTCTGATCTTGGTAATTGGCTACACATATTTTTATAAATACAAAGCTGTTTTATTGATTATGTCTGCTAAAAAATATTTGGGGATCAGCACTGAAAGTTGCAGTAATTTTTTAACGTTTGAACATTTCTTCATTTTATATGCATAATTACATATTTTTATGTCAAATAAATTAGCTTCATGATTTTTGTCATATTTTTCTTTTTGATGTTTATGAAACTCAAGGCAATGAAATATTTTTTTTCAGGATGAACCTACAAACAACCTTGACATTGAATCAATTGATGCCCTAGCTGATGCTATTCGTGATTTCACTGGAGGTATATTTAATTAAAATGATCTGATCAGTCACATTTAATGTTTGTTTCATTATTTTATCCTCACTATTTTTTTATAAATTTTAAAGTATATTTTATAAGCAATTCTGATTTAGTTTATTAATAAAAGTTATTTAGCATCTGTAAATTTACAATTAATTTCTTAATTGCTCTGTTACACACACTCATTGATGTTAAATTTTATGTTTGCAATTAATGCGAGTATAATTCCAAATATCCAGTCACCTATTTATCTAAAAATTATCTTATAAATTTTGTTCCCAATAGTTCTAGCAGTGTGCTTGTCAACTTTTTCAGGTGTGATTATAGTCAGCCACGATGAGAGGCTGATCCGAGACACAGACTGCCAGCTTTGGGTTGTGGAAAACAAGACAATCAACGAGATTGACGGCGACTTTGACGACTACAGGCGTGAGCTGCTGGAGGCTCTGGGAGAAAACATCGCCAACGCTGCAGCTGCCTCTGCACCATCAGCAACATGACCGTAACTCCCTCGTCTCCTCAGATATACATACTTTCAGCATAACAATCTGGCAAACGTGTTTAAAAAAATTCAACAGCGACTAACAAATGGCTTGATGACACATCAGACACAGCACGCCATAGATGTTGCTATAACCAGATGATGGAAAAAAAATGTATATGGCTCTGTGTTTACCTCCCTTACCATTTCCACAGTGATTTTAAAATAGATTAGCTGATTAATGAATGCATAATGAGGTCTCATTGGTTCAAACACATCTTGATTAGCGGTGTTGATAACTAAGCTACATGTCAAAATTTTATTTAAAGATTTATACATCATCCTTGTCTTCTAAAATTGTAACCTGTTTCAGATTATTTTCTTTATTTAGTCATTTTATTTATGACGTAATTTTTTCATTTGAGTACTGGTCCATAGAGCTCCTATTTACTTTATGACTTCCGTAATTTAAATATTAAATATCCTATTCAATATTTTTATGCTGATATTTTTAGATAAGATATGTAACAGAAGTCTTCTAAATTGGTTTTGGGGATATTCATTTGTTTTTACTAATTTCTAAATTTCAAGTTCTTGATGGTTTTTTTTAATGTTCAGGGCTAAAACAGCCCCACTGAGATAGTTATATATATATTGTTTGATCTTGTGACGGGCTGGAAATATATGAGACGTGTAGAAAACTAGTTAATTCTCGGTGAATCAAACCATTCGTGATGAATCAAACCATTCTCTGCGGTTCTAAAAATGTTTGTGGGAAAGTTTTCCACATTGATTTGGGTATATGCTAATACTTTTAAAAATGTGTGTCTGTTATGTCTTTATATTTGGTTTCAATCATGATTGAGGTATACATTTTAAAGTTGTCCTTGTCCTCTAATGTACAAAAAAATAAATGTTATTTACATGAATCAAACATTTGCTACACATTTTTTTCTTTTAGTATTCAATTTCAACAGAACATAATTTTTTTTCAGCATTTTATTATATTTAAAAAAAAAAATTAAAATCAAACACTTTTATTAACTAAACATTTGAATGAAAACAGCAGCATAATTAACGTTTCACACATAATTTAACTGGCAATATCAACTGTGAAAAACTCTATACAATATAAATGAATGGCTATCAACTTTTTGATTATGTGTCAGGTTCAGAATGATATACCCTTCCCCTCAAAAGGTTTGTCTTGTAAAGACACCTCTGAATACACAAGTTGACCATACACGCATATCACAATCACAAAATTTAACAATATTGTTAATTATAAAATATATACACTTGTAAATGAATGCATAAATTAGTGAGTAAACTGTGGAGAAATGTTTGTTCATAACAAAGCTTGTGCGTTATTGCTGCCTAAATGAAGCCATTGAAGATTGATAAACCTTTGATGCCTTAAAATGGAATGATGTGCATGTACATTGAGTTAAGATACAAAAATTCTTCATAGAAAAAGTAGGGGGAAAATATTTGTTTGACACACATGTTGGGACTGAATTACAGAAAAGCTGTAGTTGGACAATACTGGATTGGTCATTAAACTAGATCTGTCATACAACACCTACCTACTGCCTCTCAAAACTACATGCCAGTTAGGCCTATCTGTCAAACAATTTCTATAATAATCTCTCACTAAGTTATTCAGATCGTCATGTTTATATTGACATAGCAAAGACGATATAAAATGTACACTTGTGTGCATACAATTGTGAAGCACATTTAACAAAGCTTTTAATGTGAGTACATTTTCAACTTCTTTACCTAATACACCCGTCACCGGACTTTGCTCAAACTACATACGGCAGTGTTTCTTTCAGGCACCTCTTCCGGGGTAGGTGGGAGGTGGTTACGGCCAGAGCCTTCTTTGCGAACGAAGACAAATATTAAATATTTATTTTAAAAATATAGACTACTTAAACCATTGCCACCACCCACACGAGATTTTCAAATGCCACCTGGAGATGCCTGAAAGAAACGCTGGGTGACGGCCTTCACGTTGATCTAATGTACATTTTACTCACAACTCTAAAAATGGCGATAATTTAGACATTACAGAGTATTTATATTAGTATTTAAAAACAAGGTTTAAAGCTTTTTACAATATACAGCATTCGTTGTCAAGGATTTAAATTATATTCTTTTGTTTCGTGCTCTTCTTCTCGATTGCCGATCCGTATTGTTTTTTAAGTTCTCTAGTAACTCCTTTTTTTTGGCGTGAACATTTGACACCCAACTGATTCTGTATAATCTGGATCATGAGATACTGTCCGATGGTATTGGCAGTTTTTGACCTGGAAAAATTGGATGCTTCTAACAAGCAAGTTACCAGTTCCGGTAACTTTACGCATGCGTGCTGAACTCTCTTGGCATTTTTTAGGAAAAAATCGAACGCGCAGTTCTTGTAAAGTTGGTTCTCTTTGGACAAGTTTTGGTCTTCTTGGTTAATTTTGGCCTCGTTTTTAATATCACATTTCATCTGGCAAATGGTCTTCGATCCGTTTCTAGCAGCGTCGATGATATCGTTGGTGATGTAGCCGAAGGGGCTGCCAATGCTCAAGTAATGTTTAACAAGACAGTTGGTGAAGCTGTTGAGTGCCGAGCAGGTGATAGGTGAATCTTGGGGTGGCAGCTGACACCCTGATACAAGCAGTGTCACGGCGGTTAGTGTTGTTAGAAGTAGGTGCAGTGGAGCTGGAGAATGAAATACAACATTTCAGAATTGGGTTATACTTGCTATACATTTTCAATATTGTGGTCAGAGTTTCTTCCCCCCGAACGAAATGGAATTAATATAGAAAACATACTTTTACCAGTGTCCGCCCCCCCCCCCCCCGAAAATATCAAGTGCACCTTCGGAGAAAAAGTCTGGAAGAAACACTGTTTCTACGGGGGGGGGGGGGGGACGACGACACTAGTTTAAGTGTATATTTTCTATTAAATTAAACATATATTTCTAATTCATTCCAAGTGAAGGGAGGGGGGGGGGGCACAGAGCATGCTCCATGAAAGAAACACTACGAGGCTGTGATTTAGAAAAGGTCTTTACTTAAAAAATGTTCACACGCCCTGACTATCGGGACACACAAAATTATAGACCAAGTTTTTTTTTCAATTATAGAGAAACGAATTGGCAGGCTCTTGTGTCAGCTTGAGAATTGAAAAGAAAACAAAAACTATTCCATATTATCTTAACTAGTACAATCGTCACTGTTGCTTATGAACTGTACTCATTCAGAAATACGTTGACCAACTACTAGATCTACCAAATAACAGCCTGGCTTCCCAAGTCCCTTCATACTATTTTCACAAAGGGAAACAATTCACTAAACAGGTTATCGTAGCGTACAAAGTTACACGTAAGAAACAGATAATCAATTTCAATGTGTTCAATGTATTAATAAGAAATAACATTTTTAAAAAATTATTAGTTTTTGAATGTTCGGTGTAAATAGTTTATCAAACAACAGCAAACTGCTCACAAGTAAAGCAAACTCATAAAGTTTTTTTTAAAGAAGTTTCTAACTAACAAATGCTTTTTTAATAGGGGACAATTTTAAAAAATAAAGCGAAGTTTAAAAAAAAACAACTTACAAAGCATGATTTTATTCTGCGAGAGTTTAAACTTTTCTGACGAAGTGCAGCCATTTTATAGGCACAAAATTATAGATGTCGATTTAAAAAGATGTGTATGTCCACGTAAGGTGTTCACTAAGGTAAATTACACGTCAGAAGAAGTCGGGGTAGTCATGGGCGGCACCTCCACACCTTTTTAAATTTTTAAGTAATGCCCCTCTGACGTGGATAAAGGCTACCTTTCGCAGGTAATAAAAATATAATTATGCGAACCACTTAATCTGACAAGGAAATTAATATGGGAAAACATTTCTTTAAATAACACTTTAATTATTAGGCTTTATAAATGTGAATTTATTATGTAAACATAATGTTAATAATGTACACGCCATTTAATTTATAATGCACCCGATTATTTGCGGAAATTACCAATAAACTATTGATAACCAAAAGGGAATTTCCAAAACACGTATTTCGAGGAATCTCTAAAAGCCATAAGTTAGAGACAATTGATAAAAATAATTTTTGAAAATTTCATATTAGAATTTTAAAATTTAACTCTAACATCGCTGCCACATAGATACAGTTTTATTTGGAATTCCCAAATATAAAGTATTTACAGGTGCATCATGATAAAAACTTTCTATCAAAAGCCCAAAATTCTGGATCAAAGACACAAAATTGGATACTTGTATTATCATTACTATCCTTTTCTCTTTTTGTCCCTATATGTATGTATATATATATATATATATATATATATATATATATATATATATATATATATATATATATATATATATATATATATATATATATATATATATATATATATATATATATATATATGTGTGTGTGTGTGTGTGTCCAAGTAAGTTAAGAACATTAAATATATAGCTGTTTACACGAATTGGTACATTCAAAATTTTATCACAAATACATTTTCAAACATTAACTGCCCAATGTTATATCATTTTACTCTTTTATTACAGTAATCGTTTCAAGGGTGCTTGTTTAGTCAATATTAATCACTAGACTCTTATTAAAGAAATAACAGCATGAATATAAGATGTTTTGGCGATATTTGATTACGCTAAGGGTGTAATCCGTTTTTTTTGTTCTGGACTTCCCTGTACGTTGATTCGGCCCGTGTGACCATAACGCCCCCACCACACACCACCCGTTTGTTGACCACATTGAGTATGGCTGACATACGGCCACGTCACGAGCAGCAGATACGTCATTATTGACAATATTGTCGTGGCTCAGTGTGACGGAACTTCCGAATAGAATTTGAATTCAACTTTCATTGAAATGAAATCATCGGGGAAAATGTTGAAGGATTAAAAAAAAAAATGATGTAAAATTTACTTAAAAGAACTTGGCTCGAAAAATATAAAAAACTTCAAAGATATAAATTTAAGACTATAGGCCACTACAGATATAATAAAATGGTAAATCTCACGATAAAAATTAGTAAGATTAGAATCGCGCAGAAAAAAAAAGAATCGTACACCAAATGAACGCAACCAGTGTGAGTTTATTATTATACTTTCTCTATGCTCTGTATACGAGAATGTAAAAAACAGAACTTTAAAAATGTCCTTTAGTCAGTTTTGTGAACAAAGTTAAAGACAAGTCACAACTATCCTATTGTAATAAGACTTGATCTCATAAAAATGATGTTTGAACCGAATGATGATAATTTTCCAAAAATTAATAATGAAATTCTCATTCCTATACAATAATATTTTTAAAGATCTGTTAAATTCGTAGACATTTCTTTTTAGAAAATTATAATTTAAATTTTTTTTTTTTTTAAATCTAAATAAATTTGATTGCTTCCCATTTATCAAATTAAAACATCAAAGGTAGACAAATCTAAAAACAGTTCTCCCCAATGTCGTTTAAATTAAGAGAAACACAACAGTACTTAAAAAAAATATGAATATGATTTTTTAAAATTTTTTTTTTTACAAAACTATTTGTTTAGAACCATTACACTGTTTGTCTCTACTTTGTAGTTTTTATAATTAATTTTTGGCGCTAGCACAAGTAGAAAACAATAGCTTGTTAAATAGTTGATTTATATATATTCTAAGGGTAACATAGCACGATGATTATCTTTTGATTCTGACTAAAACATTATCTATAAAATTATGTTAAGTTTTCTAAAAATGACAGGATCTACAGATCCAGAGCGGTTTGATGGAATGTTGATGGCTATGGCCCAGCAATGTGAGGGTGGTATTCATGAGCTTCTTGATGCCTTCTTTGGATTCTTAGCTCGAAAGACAGATTTTTATTCTGGAGCTGGAAAGGAACAAGCACAAAAAATGGTCAGGGAAAAGTTTGAACAATACAGAAAAGTAGTTGCTGAAAGAATGGAAAAGGAAAAAACAGAGAAAGAATTAGAAGAGAAGAGGAGGCAAGAAAGAATAGCCAAAAAAAAAAGCAGAAGAAGAAAAGGAAAGACTAAAGGCTGAAGAAGAGCCAAAAATCAAAGAACTGACTGATGAAGAGGCAGAAAGATTAGAGAAAGAGTTAAAAAAATAATGGTACCAACATTGCTGAAGACAGTAATGAACCAAATGATAACAAAGATGAAAATAAAGAAGATTCAAAGCCAGCCAGTGATGATGAAGAAGATGAAAAAGATAAGGGAAAACTTAAACCAAATATTGGAAATGGTGCTGACATGCCCAATTACTCATGGACTCAGACATTACAGGAAGTGGAGAAACTATGTATTGGCCTAAAAGGACATCCACCAGTTTTAGATGGTATGATGTACAATGATGTGAAAATAGAGGAGTCTACTTGGTGTATTATTGATAAAAAAAACACTTCTTATAAATATAGAAAAGGTAAATCAAATGGAATGGTGGAGTAGAATTATTACTACTGAACCAGAAATTAACACACGCAAAGTACAGCCAGAAAATTCTAAGCTTTCTGACCTGGATGGTGAGACACGATCAATGGTAGAAAAAATGATGTATGACCAACGACAGAAAGAAATGGGACTACCAACATCAGATGAACAAAAGAAACAGGATGTTTTGAAAAAATTCATGGAGCAACATCCAGAAATGGACTTTTCAAAGTGTAAGTTTTCATAAAATGTAATTTTTTTTTACTGTGCTCATGCTCATCATGTATTAACTTTTCAAAACCATTGATTTAATTTAGTATTAGCAACTTCAGAAAATATTTGATTGTATATTTGGTTTATCTTAAAAATGTTTTCATTATTCCCAGTTTCTTGAATGCAACTGATTGAAAAAAGGTTAATGAAGAAACTAAACACATTCATAACTTGTCATGAGGTCTTGTTTATTCTTTTACAAAAAGCACATATATGTGATATTTTAATTCATTTCAGTTCAAACTCACAATACTTTGACGTAAAAATAAACATAAAATATACTAAAAGTTAAAAAAAAAAAAAAAAAAAAAAAAAAAAAAAAATTCCCACGTACTAATAATTTCGACTTACTACATTTTGTAAAAAAAAAAAAAAAAAAAAAAAAAAAAAAAAAAAAATAGTAAAACTATTAAACAAATTATTATTACTGATTTAAATGTTTAAAACAATTGAATAAAAAAATTAATTTTATTTTATGCCTTTTTTTACAAGTTTTAAAATAACATCGGTGATACTTAAGTTTTTCATAGAATTTAGAATATTAAATAATTTTTCATAAAAAACGTTTTAATAACAAGCTTTTATATAACAATGCAATAAAAAGGAGAAAATAAATTTTAGATTACTATTTAAATAACTATAAAGAAAAGCGTGGGTCACTTTAGTATCTATTGGATACCTGCCTTTACTAATATTTGAAAAGAGACCCACGCTTTTCTTTATAGTTATTTAAATAGTAGTGTATAATTTATTTTCTACTTTTTAGTGCATTATTACATAAAAGCTTGTTATCAAAAGTTTTTTATGAAAATTGTTTTAGTACTTTACATTTTATTTACAATAGAGTTACATGACTAAAAACCATTGCGCGCCTATTGAATGTCATAACGCGCAATGGAACGTGATGACGCGTGTGGAGGAGTTGGATAGAACTGCCTACTAATTCGGACAAAATTTTAATTAATCCATAAAAAATTAATTAGGCATCCAATTAAGTCAAACTTAATGTCATGATGCATTGTCTTCATGTCTTGACCCACGTTCCAACTACGAACCGTATATGTCAGTTAGAAGTACCAGTAATTTCGCCCGGGCGTTTCGATCTAGACGGAAGACTGACGACAGAGGAAGTGAGTTAAGTAAATGCTTGTAACCAAAATACATCAAACAATGGTGTGCTGTAGATACTGATAAGTATATGGGGGTAACACGTATGATGGTATCTTTATATGAGCTGTGGAAGACATATGATGAGAAGAAAGAAATACAAGCTATACTAGCAAAAATGCCTAAACCAAGTCCTTCAAAGTAACTTGATGTATACTAGTCTATTGAGTGTAACAACTGCTTTCTCTATGTGAACTGAGTTTTTTTTTTAGTAAAAATCTGTGATGACAAAAAAAAAAAGATCAGTATTTTAACCATCTGCTTCATGTACTACGGACTTCGACTTAATCATGTGAATGAATCGGCTATTTGACATCCATTGTTATACTTTCCAGGCGTGTAAGTAATAAGAAATAAACCGGGAGTGATCTCCCCTAAACTTTCTCGAATATTCTTATATAAAATAACAGGGGATGGGAACTCGGGCTATAGACATGATTTTTAATCCATTTTAAATACTTAAAGTTTTAAAAATAGAATAAAATCTCCTAGACAAATTAATTGCACACCAAGTGAACGCCAAATAAAAAAGCGCATAATGGTGCGCAATATTATTAGTACTTTTAAAATTTATATTAGTTTTTTGAGAAATCGGAAGTAGCGTAAATTACTACTTCCGGTCAACGGAAATTACTCAAAATTTAACAGAAGGTAGAGAATTAGATCTTTTACTTACATGTGAAATTTCATTTATCTATCTGAAATAGTACTCAGGTTATAGGCTTTTGAAAAATTCAAAGTAGGAAAATTACCACTTCCGGTTATCGGAAATCGCTCAAAAGTTG